GAAGGGTTGCCGGGGTCTCCCTCGCATCGGTTCTCGATGTCGGGTGTGAGTTTGTGACTGCGGGGGCAGTGGTTGGCTTAGGTTTGCGGAGTACATCTGAAAAGAGGCTCCCATTCCTTCTTCCAGGTAGCGATCCTAGATCGCCGCCACGCGGAGCCACCCCCGTATTTCACCCCCAGGGGGTTGTGGACCTGGCAAAACCGATGAGTTCGGGCTGCTGACTGTTCCACTTCTTCCGAGCGCGATCATGCTACGCCTCACGCCTCACGCAAATCCAGCATCAGAAGTTTCGTTTTGATATGGGGAGGGGGGATTTTTCCTGTTGATAGCTGAGACAAAAGAACAAGCCAAAGGAAAGAAAAGACCTCAGTCGGTACGACGGGAAGCCAAAAATGACTGCTGACGGTATTACTGAAAAAAGCGCACTACTTCATTCACTTCCTGAGGTCACTGCAATCGTCTCGATTTCTATAGTGTAATTTGGTATTGGTTGTCTTGTGCTTGTGTTCTGTATGCCGGCATGAAGAAAAACTGTGCTTCGTGTAGTGGTGAACATAAAAAATGAGAACACGTCAGGCACCGTCGTTCCCCGGCCACCTTTGTCAAGGTCCACGTCAGTACAGGAACTCGGCGAGATCACTTTTACGGGAATCAACTTTAAGAAGCCAACCGCCATGACAGTAGCAAATTTCAAGAAGGGCAAGCGACTATCCATGTGCTGGGACAACGTATTACATACAGGCTGCTTCTTTTTTTCGATGCCTTTTCGACCACTGTAAAACTAAAAGCTACGTAGTGTATGTCTATCAAAGCTGTTTTCATGTGGAGGAGCAGCTTACACAGTGACAGGTACCTATGCGAAAAAAACAAATTATCAATTTGAATTATTCGCAAAACAGATCGCCAGTTACGGTTCAGATTCGTGGACGACGACAAACGGTGAATTCGGCAGCGTCGTACAGCCAAGCGTGTTGAAGGCCAAGAGGCACGGGGTGATGAGCTTTGAGAACTCAAGGTAAATCATAATCTTCTATTGCGCTGTAGTTGCGGGGACAGTGTTCTTTTGTTTGAGCGTTTTTTTTCTATGCGATTGCGGTGGGGTTGTCGAGGCCAGAGTTGAGCTTCACTTTTCTTTGCGACGACAAGGGTGGATGGATTTCGTAGTGATTGAAGCGCCGGGCGATTTGTGAATGTCTTACGGTGCTGGAGAATGAAGATAGAAGCAATTTCTAATTTCAGATTTCTGCCGAACCATCCGCACTGGAAGGACCGACCGTACAAGCCTGGTGAGTACATCAAGTGCCCCCGATCCACGTATTCGCCTGTTATAATACTTTCTCACATGTAGACTACTTCTTGCAACAATTCACTTGGATTTTATCATGCGGCCTTCGTCGGTCTTTTTCTGCAAAAATGATAGTTAGACTGTCGTATAAAAAAAAAAATTTCAATTAGAGCTTTAGATGTCGTCTGTACTGTGATCAACTGCAAAACAGGTATTCGGATCTCGGTTCCTACTACATTGATGGATACAAGTATCATGGGGAAAAAAGAAGACGGTCTCTTCAACCTCGTATTTGCATTTTATGCACACGATTATTCCGCATCCGCTGTTGAAAGAAAATGCAAAAAAACAAACAGCTGTAAAAATCAAATTGCACAAAGAAAAGCTGCCATGCGAAGATGCCATTTGTGGTTTGGAAAAACGACACCGTATGATTTGTTTCTCGTGCATACAAAGCTCCCGCCCGAGTACCAGTACACGCTTACCAAGCGCGTGACGGATGGTGTTGACAACGGGAACCCAGTGATGTAAGCAGGATTTTTTCCGGATGAATCAACATGCATAAAATGAAACGTCAATTTTGCATGACCAAGGTATGATAGGCAAGAACATCACAATTATTTTGCCTCATCACAAGAATTTTCGTCGTGGAAATAAAGGCAACAATTTTATTCTTTCATCGCAAAACAGAATTTTCATTTCGAAACCTCCTCACTATCAAGTCTAGTACCTTCACATTGTGTTTAATTATCTTCAGTTTTATCGCAAACACGAAGAACACCCGAATCAATCTTACAGTCAAAAATAGCGGCTTGTGGTAGGAGCGGAAATTGTAGCTATTTTCAATCTACCCTAGATAGGTCTATCCCAAAAACGAAGAAAACAAATGTAGCAAAAATGGTCACGGAAGCTGTAATATAATTATCCGAACCCAGCGAGGGTGGTGGATGAGAGTCAGTTACAGTTTATTCATGTAAAAAAGGAAAAAGCGTCATGCATTTGATGCAGTTTGTCTTCCGGGGAAACAGCAGTACTGTGGCTTTCGGTGGATCTTCACGCAGGTAGAAAATTCAAATGTATACTAGTATCGCCGCATGTACAATACGACGAAAATAACGGAGTCCTCCATAGTCCCATTAGGCGTTTGGATACAAAACGACACTTACACCAATAAGTGCTTAGATTGTTGTTTTGTTGATGTAAAATGATGTGTCTCAAGAAGAAAAACTTGAAAACGCTCCGTCAGCAAAGATGTTGGACCACTAAGGAGCATATTACGGCAAGTGGTTGTTCAGAAAAATGTGCAGCCCTCGCTTTTTTATTGCGTTGAGATATATTTAATGGTAGTGCGTCGTCCGCTCGTGTTTTTTTGTTTCTATCGGTCAATCGTTTAGACGTCTAAGGACAACTCGGTCTAAAGGAGGCATGAAACAACAGATCATACCTGTATTAAGAGTACAGTGGCTGTAACTCCCGTAACAGTAGAAAGAATTCTATATTCAACGGCAACCAACGCGGACGAACTGCAGCGTCGTTGCTGGAAAGAAGCACGAAGAAGAAGCGGAATTGCATCGGTGAAGATGAAAACGATGAGGGCTATTCATTTCATTGCACAGGTCGGTGGATAACTTCTACCTGGGAAGGAATGTGAAACGCCAGGAGTTGGCTGGGTCGGTTTCGTGTGCGGTGTGTCGCTCTCGTGCCTCGGTGTGTTGCAACTTGATGGTAAAAGATAATCGGTATGCGTACTGTTTCTGCCCCGGACGTCGTGATTTTAAACAAAGTGTTACCCGCGTCATCGTGCCTTGCTGAGACTATGTTCGTATCCATATCATTCACGGTCCAACACGATGTTGATTCGTCAAAAATAGAAGGCTCTGGCTTCAACACGGCTGTGTCGGTGTGGTTTCATATGTCCGTCTGACTGCATTCATTTTTCTGTTGTCGTCTGACTGTTTTCTCTTGTACGTCCACTTTGCCCTCTTATTTGCCAGGCTCAAACTCCCTACGAGAAAAGGCGTCACTCCGTTTTGGCTCCCCACTAGTGCTAAAAACTTGTCGCGTCTACTTGTTTTCGTGGTTCGAGCTTGAATTTTTGTTTTCAAACTTCAACTGTCATCAACTTGCTCGGCACTCGAAATCCATATTATATATTCATTTTCATTTGTGTAGTACCCTGTCGATTTCAAATTTGATTGTGATTTCCCCTATGATCTAAGGAAATAATTTTTGACCTTCCATTTTGATTTGTTTTTTCTTTCATTTTCAGAATTGTTATTGTAGTGAGTGCCGCGAGTTGGTCGGGCACAAATATCGAAGACCGACGACAACAGACGATTTATCCTGTGTAATAGAAATGTCCCCACCGCAGAGGAAAGAGAGGGTCTGTGAACTCCGCATGACAAATCCGCGTGCTTAGTTTCGTTGTGCCTGACTGTAGAAGCCGCACCACAAGTCGATCATCAATCTCATGTAGCATTAAAAATCCGATGAAAACACCATGTGAAAGATGTTCCTCATGGGGCTGCGCATGAGAGACATCCTCACCATGTAAGTAACTACGCATGACAGCTCTGAGACGTGGGGACGTTTTTACACAGGATACGACTAAGAATTGCAACAACGAGAAGAATTGCGCATAACGAGCGAGGCGAATTTGATAAAGAAAAGCTAAAGATAGTAAATCCGGGGAGTAGTGCTTATAGATACTTAAAGAGAACAAGGAAGGAAAACAGCGCTCCGCTGTTCCAAGTAATAGGCAAAAGAAACAGAAAAACAAATCAGGAGAAGGCCAACCTGTCACCTGCGGCGCGACGCGGTACAAATTTATCACCTGACCACTCGTTTTCGTCCGCTTTTCTTCGTACTTAGAGTCTTATTCCTGCTCGCGAAAACTATGATCCACAATATTTATTCTTGCATCTGATCTATCTTCAATACAGGCACGACTCGCAAGAACGCGGAAAAAAGAAGTGCTGTGCAGGCCAAAGAAAAAGGTAGAAAGACCGGAGAAGCCGTCGTCGATCAAGAAGCCGTCGTCGATCAAGAGCAGAACGTCGTAGCAAAAAATGGTGCGAAAGTTAGCTGTGAATGAGCAAGAGCAACTCCTCGCGGGTGGCGGCGGGGGTGGTGGAGCAGATTCGGTGGACGACGCTTGGATCCAAAAGTTGGAAAACAAGGTGAAGCACCCAAGTGGACCAGCTGGGGACGCAAAGCACTATTTGCGCGTGAAGAACAGGAACGAGAAGTATTCGGCGGTCCGCTGCAATGAGGTAGAGAAAATGCCAAATGGAAGTTGGCAGATTACTGTCGGCGGCGGCGGGATACCCTTCATTCAGAATGGCCAGTGGATTCGTACACTGGATGCACCGCGCCGCGGAGGTTTGGGGAGGTTTCAAAACGACTACTTCTCGCCCATCGCGTTCCAGGGCCGCCTTGTTTTCCTGAACACGAAAAATTTAGAAGGATCGGGCGCCTGGAAGGCGGGGAAAAGTCCCGAAGAGAGGCAGGCTTTCGCGACGGAGCAACACCGAAAATGGAAAGAAGCGTACAACTTGCACGAAAAGTGGATCAAGAACTTGCACAGTGGGATTCAGTTTCCGTCCGCGCCAAACGGCAAACAGTACCACAACGGGCTGAATCGTTTCCGCGAGGTGATTACGAACGACGTGGTGAATAGAGCACTGAGCCCGGAAGGCCTTCCAGATGGAAGCGCGGACGAGCTCTCTTACCAAAGACTGACCGATACCTATCTGGGGTACGTGGCCGGTCAAAACATTGAGCACGTGGATGCGTTAATGTTGGCAGAGTACAGAACGGGGAAGACAAGTCTGAACATCGACCCACGTGTGGTCAAAATCAAAGATGACCAGAACGGGGAGTTGCGAGACCTCGAAGCGTTCCGCGAAGTGCCAGACCAACATGATGCTATTTTGCAAGGGCAGGGACTCTATCAGATTGGTTTCCGCAGCACCACGAGCGGCGCGACGACAACCGTTCACATGCGGGCCGAGCTGTTGGGGCTTGCAGTCTCCAGCGTCAATGGAGAGCTTGGTGGCGATGGGTATGATGTTGGCAAGGACGCGCAGGTGGCGAACAAATTGATTCAAGAGGACGCCTTGTGGTCCGAGCACTTCGGTTTTCGGGATCCCTTGCCAGCGTTAGGCGGTAGTCACAAAAATCGTGCCGATCGCGGTCTGTGGGAGGAATCCCCCGGAATGCAGGCAGCCGTGAAAAAGGGCTTGGTTACCTCCACCGAGGCGAAATGGATTACCAGCTTCGGCCGTGGAAGTCGGGATGAAACCTACGGACGCAACGGCAACCTGGAAGATTCCGTGCGCTTCCTGCAGGCACTCGACGCGGAGGACCAGGAGCTCCGCCTCCAGCAACAAGGAAAAGCAGGGCAAGGAGGAGCAACAGGAACCCCTACAGGAGCCACGCCCCTGGGGGATTTGGTGAAAGCCGATGGGAATGCTTTTGGTGCCTGGGGCATGCTTGTTTTCGGCCACAGGAAGGACGAAAAAGACTTTGACCCGGCCGCCTTTGCCCGAAACGCGGCTCCAAAAAAGGAGCTGGTATCGCACGACGCAAAGGCGCCTTTGGTGGATGTGCGGCACATGAACGAGGACATGCAAAAATTCTTCGGCGTCCGCTTGATGCGCGACGGGGACGCGACTCCCATCATCCGACCGAGTTCCAAGTTCGGCGCGGTGGTTGCCATGCACTTCGACCCGGATGGTTTGTACCCGAAGAAGTTCTCGTTCAAAGGGTACCGAGATGGCGAGCCGGGTTCGAAAGGCGTGTTTCTTGAATCGCACCCGTTTCCGCACGTGGTTACGGCGAAGGACGAAAAGGCCGTTTTGCGCTATTGTTTGGCGAAATACGGGACGGACGGAAAACTGTACATGATAGAAGTGGTTGTGCCCTTTGGGTACGGGCTTTTCGTGAACAAAAACGTGATCCACGGGGACACCTATGTGAAAGGAACGGTGCTCATCTACCTGGAGCCGCTGGAAGAATACGCAGACTCCGCGCTGGTCCGCATATTCACCGCAAATATGTCCTCTGGGTCACTGGAAAACGGCCACTTTTGTCATGCACATTTTGCATGATCCATGATTTCTGTGATGCAGCATGCCCTCGCATCTACACAGATTTTGTGATGGCTTTCTATATATAAATACCTATACCGCATGAGAAATGATGCCCTCTCCGCGTAGCAAGAACTGGAACTCTTTGGCTTTTCATCCAATACAGATTTTCATTTTGGGTTTGTAGAGTCCCAAGGTTGCTTCACAAATTCCACCTCTCCAGACCCAGACCTATTTGCATTGCATACCGCACCGCCGATGGCAAAATGGTGAACTACTACAAGGAAAGCGACGTGCTAGATTTCCCTTATCAACATGGACCTGATTTTGTTGCTCAAGCTCAAGGTGCTGAAGATGGTAGTTGTGGCGGAAATTTAGTTTGCAACGGCGCCAGCACCGCGGGCCTGACCATCGCAGTCGTTTTGGGCTGTGGCCTTGTGGTCGCCGTTGTCATGTTTTTTCTCATGGGCAGAATGGGAAGGGCAAGGGGGGGCGGAAACGATAGAACCGCGGCGACGTCAGCTCGTGACAATGTCGACGCTGATCTAGCGTGATGCAGGTGAATGATGTAGATCTGAGAAGGACTCCTAGTGCGAAGACACAATTAATTGTTCACTTTATTTTTAAAATGAGAGTTAAAAAATATTTATAGATAAAGATTATATGATGAATTCTTAGTATATTAGGGTCTATTTTCGCTTCGCTTTCTTCTCTTCGACCCAAAACGACAGGACAAGCCTACCAAACCTCGCAGTTCGCACCGGCTCCAGTGATCTACTCAAACTTCTATTTTTATTTTACATTGCAGTATAAGTTCTAGGTATAGGTTTTGAAGAGTTACATATGTAAAAAACTAAAAACACAAAAACAAAACGTTCAAACTTACACCTTCAGAAGTTCAAGAGACACAAGTTCCTGCAGAAATAGACTTTTGGTTTTGCTGTTTTCACACAAGCAAGCTCAACTTTTCGCAAGCACGACCTTTCGTTTTCTCTTACAGAACTCCGCACTCGCAGCAGGCGCAAGTAGATTTCACTTTTTCAGAAGCAACAGCAGCGTTTACTTTTTCAACATCTAGAGCAACTTTTGGACTTTCTCTTCGACTTTTTAACTTTCGAAAAAAAAAACTTTTTCCTAGTTCAGAAAAACAGCTTTCCGGAACGTTTAGTTTTTCTCAGGCTAACGAGGCCAAAGCTGCTGTAGCCACCTAGTATTTTTTTTAAACTGAGAGTTAGTGAGGTGAGAGTTGGCGTCCCCTTCTCTCCCCTTGCTGGGAATCACTACTACTACTAAACTAGCTCTAACATCGTGAGAGGAAGGTAAGCCCTTCAAGCGGAAACCACGACTCCAACACTAACAAACAAACAAACTACAGGTTTTGAAGAGGAAAAAAGTGAATAAACATCCCCGCAAAGAACATGCGGAAAAATGTGGGTGCTCATTGTGTTCAATTTGTTTATACTAGGCTGTAGTTGAGGTATCTATGGGTGTTTACGTTTACCAAAGCCTGACGTTTTGCGGCCGCCCGTTGATCGAGAGGGAGCAGAAAGATCTCTAGACCTGCGAGTGTTTTTTTTGTCTTTATTACTGCAAGAGGAGGGATTTTTTAGTGAGTAGAGAGTGAGCAAAAATGGGATTTCTGACGCAAGCGTTAGCGTGAAGAGGATCAACCTGCCGTGCGATGTAGAGAAAGAGGTTTTTTGGTGTGCTGCTTTATTTCTTCGTGCAGCTTGACTGAGCGTACTTACAACTTGATTCGCTGCAGAGCAAAGCCAACTGTTGAGGTTTACTTTTGGCTTTGCTGCAGCTCTGCGTGCCGGCGCCAGTAATTTCGTACTCAAAATTGTGATGAAAAATCAATTTGTGCGGTCGCGAAGAAAAGGTCGGCAAATCTGCCGGGACGAACCGTGATTAAAAGATGGCGTTTGCAGTCGAGGGCTGTGTCGAGCCAGACGCCAGCACCGTTCGTTTCTCCAGTCGAGAAGGGGTTCGGAGCAAGAATTGCAGCCAGTCGTCACGGTCCAGACATCAAATTTTCCCACGCACGACCGGGAGCAGTGACAACAAGATGCTGTCACTTGTAGAACCCTCGCGGCAGGAGGACCTGCGTTTCTTGAGTGACGCGTCGAGTCTTGTTGACAGCAGTAGGGGAACAATGCATATGCAAGATGAAGCTGATCATGAAAATAGCTACAACGGAAGTCGTCAATCAGCGGGCGGAGCTGCATTTTCACCCTGTGGTCGTTTAGGGTTAACACCAGCTGCATCAAGGACCTCCGGTTGTACACTACCTGCAAAAAGGAGAAGTAGAAAGAGTAGAAACTTACTCCTGTCCAGGACAGCTACCGCGAGCTGTCTCGTCTGGACTGCCGGAATGGATCTCCACCAGTCCGTACGCGCCGACTCGTCGGAGTACCACGTGGACCTGACCTGCAAGGGCACGCAGCGGGAGTATATCCCACAGAAAAAAGCTGGCAGGGCATATTTGTAATGCAAAAATCAATACACAGAAAAACAAAAATCTGCCATGGGCGGCCTCATAGCATGCTATTTAGGATATGCAATACAAATTTGTTTGTCAATTTATTTTTGCATTACAAATATGACCTGCAAGCTTTTTTCTGTGTGATAGAGTACGAGGGCTGCGAAATCGAGCCCTGCGAAGTGAAAACCTGCATGGACTGCGTCTGGTCCGTATCAAATGTAAAAATGTCTGGGTCTGGAAGAGTGCAAGCCTTGTCATGCACATTTTGCATGACCCACGATGTCTGTGATGCCTGCCCTAGCATCACAATTTTTTTGACGGCTTTCTGATGCGTATCCTGCATGACAAGTGCCCTCTCCGTGTAGCACAAAATCGAATCCTCTTGCTGGTCATGCAACACAGATTTTTTTAGAATCCGACGACAGCATCAGGAGTTGCATCCTTCCAGACCCAGACATTTTTGCATTCGATAGTCCGAATGGGCGCCGTATTCCGCCTGTACCTGCGAGGGCTTGCGCGAGCGCCACCGAGTCATCGCACAGCAGTCCAACAGTTGCGGGAAACCGTGCGACGGTACTACTATACTAGAAACTCGCTGTTGTGCTTGGCGGCGTCCGTGCTAGTAGACCACGGTGTGCTGACCACTTCTAGAGGAGACTCTCTAGTTGTGTTGTAACAAGCTTGCTCCTGCTCATATGCAGCCTGTCGTGCTGCAGTTCGTAGTTATCGGTTGGTCAACTGCAGCACTGCACTAATATGCAGAAGATGCCAACAAGTAGAAGTATCTTGCAAAACCCTCAACACCTCCTCAGCGGTGATCTTCGAACCACCACTCTCTTTGTCTACTTATCAGGCCCGAAAGTCGAGACTGCCACTTGCACGCCGGACTGTCACCACAATCCGCAGGACTGCGTGCTCTCGGAGTGGTCGAGCTGGTCGTCCTGCTCCAAGGACTGCGGGGGCGGGCAGAAAAACCGCACGCGCGTGGTGGTTACGGAGGCGGCGCATTTAGGCAAACCGTGCAGCGGCAGTCTGGTCGAGACCGAAGCCTGCAACGACGCGGCGTGCGTCGCCAAGCGGGACTGCGAACTTTCCTATTGGTCTTCCTGGGGGGAGTGCAGCAAGAGCTGCGGCGGCGGCCAGCAGAACCGCACGCGCACCGTGACGGCGACGGCGCTGGCGGGGGGGAAACCCTGTTCCGGCGGCCTGGTCGAGCTGCAGGCGTGCTCGCTGCCCAAGTGCGAGACGGACCTGGACTGCATCTGGAACGAGTGGCAGGAGTGGTCCGCGTGCTCGCGGTCCTGCGGCATCGGCTCGCGGGCGCGCAGCCGGATGATCGAGCAGGCGCCGCGGGGGCACGGCAAGCTCTGTATCCGATAAAAAAAAGCTGGCAGGGCATATTTGTAATGCAAAAATAAATACACAAAAAAATCCGCATTGCATATCCGAAACAGCATGCTATCTGGCTACCCATGACAAATTTTTCTGTGTATTTATTTTTGCATTACAAATATGCCCTGCCAGCTTTTTTCTCTGGGATACTCTGCGAGCCGCTGGACATGGTGGAGACCGCGGCCTGCGACATGGGCTTGTGCTATCCACAGAAATAAAATTCCTGTACACATAAATACAAATATCGCGCCGGTTCCTGCATGACAAGAGAGAAGAGACTTGCTTTTGATTCTAGAAGTCACAGCATGGCAAGTCATGTTAGGTTACTCTCTAAGATTGGCGAAATTTGTGTATGCATGTCGTATTTTTATGGGAAATTTGTATTGCATATGTGCCACGAGGCCGTTGATTGCTTGTTCGAACCCTGGACCAGTTGGGGCGAGTGCTCCAAATCCTGTCACGGCGTATTGATAATGTGCTGCGATGAACAAGATAGGTCATCATGTGATTACTATGGTGGATGCTAGATTGCGGTTGCCTCGCACCATCGACCGATCGTGAAAGCTTAATATTTCCAGAAAAAGAAAGGCATTAACGATGAAATCTGATTTCGAATCATTTTTCCTTCCCTTGACCACTGCTACCAGGTCCAAGAGCGCACGCGCCACATTGCAGTGTACCCAGCGCACGACGGCGCTGCGTGCGAAGGGAACCTGAAGGAGCTGCAGGGGTGCAACAACGAGGGTTGCATTGACGAATCGGAGAAGGTGCCGGTGAATTGCGAGCTGAGCGCCTGGAAGCCCTGGGCAGAGTGCTCCAAGAGCTGTGGAGGCGGGGAGCGTACACGGTCGCGCGAAGTGGTGCAGGAACCGAAGAACGGTGGGGACCCCTGCGACGGAGTGTTGGCAGAGATGGAGCCGTGCAACGTGGAGATCTGCCCCGAGGACGTCGTGCCAAAAATCGACCCGGTACTTACTCGCGCCGGGAGGCTTGCATGCTTCATTTTTGTGTCATGGAGCAGGAAGAACTAGAGCTACAGATAGTTTTTGGTGGCAATATCATATGAAAATCCGACCCGATCATACACTGACTTGTGTTCTTCCATTTTTACCTATTTACGCACAACCAGGTCGACTGCGCCTGGAGCGAGTGGGAGAGCTGGGGCCAGTGCAGTAACAGCTGCGGGGTCGGGCAGAAGTTTCGCAAGCGGCGCATAGTCCAACTGCCAAACAACCTGGGAAAACCTTGTTCTGCGAATGACTCCATGGAGGTCGCGGAGTGCAATTTAGCATCGTGTTTGGGTAAGTCCGTGGTATTACTGTTTTAATAAAGCTGCTGCTTAAGATGCAGTGCCAAAGCCATTATTGTATGGGTATCCATTTTCATCATCAGCAGCAGCATCCATGTAGTTGTAGCGCATTTGTTTCTTTGATGAGCAAGAAAAACGAACTTTAACCGTTATTTGTCGAATGTTCTGTAGGGGCTGCAGAATATGCAAGTTTTTGTTCACTATCACTGCTTTGGAATCTTCATCATCAACACTGCTACAGCCGTCGACTGCGTCTGGTCTGAGTGGTCCGCTTGGTCCGATTGCACGTGCAGCGGTCTGCGGGAGCGCCACCGCGAGATTAGCCAGCACTATGCGGGAGACGGTAAGCCCTGCGAGGGCGCAAAAGTGGAGACCAAAGAGTGCCATGCAGATTGCTACCCGGACCCAATAGACTGCGTTCTCTCCGGCTGGGCGGACTGGTAAATTTAGTACTTACTACCGGAGAAATTACTACTGAGTATCGACTTGGTGGAGCTCACGCTGTACCGAAGAATGCTGCAGCTGCGATTCTTGTTTTGTTCCACAGCGTGTTTCTTTTTGTTGATCTTTACATACAACTCTCCCCTAAGTTGTACTCTTGTCTTCTATCCAAAGGTCGACCTGTTCCCATCCCTGCGGGGGCGGGCAGAAGAAGCGCACGCGGAAGGTAAACACCTTGCCGCAGTACGGCGGCAAGGATTGCGCGTCCGGATTGGAAGAGGTCGCGCCCTGTAGCACGGAGCCCTGCGAGCATCCCAGCGACTGCGTGATGGGGGACTGGACGGACTGGGGCAAGTGTTCTGCCACCTGCGGGGGCGGAGAGCAGCACCGCGCGCGGAAAGTGGTGAAGGCCTCCAAGCACGGCGGCCGCCCGTGCAGCGACGAGACGAGCGAGGTGCGCGGCTGCGGCATGGACCCCTGCAAGGCCGCGGTGGACTGCCGCTGGGGCGAGTGGTCCGAGTTTGACGAGTGCAGCAAAACGTGCGGCGGCGGGCAGCGAACCCGAACCCGCCACGTCGAGACCAGCCCGCGGAACGGCGGCAAGCTGTGCGACGCCTTAACCACCGAGGAGGTGGCGCCCTGCAACACCGAAAGCTGCGAGGAAAAGCAGCCCTGTCGTGACGGGCAGTGGGGACCCTGGAGCCGATGGTAAGTCAAAAATTTTGAGGGGGTGTTGAAGAGAGTGACAGATGTTGAAAGTAGAAGAGTGTCTCATTGCGAATATCAAACTCATAGGTCGACGAGTCAACGAGCCCCTGGCTCCGGGAAACGAAAATCAAAATCGAAAACAAAAACAATCTTTTGTCTAGGTCTCTCTGCTCCGCTACGTGCGGCGAAGGGTATCGTGTGCGGCATCGACAGGTTGGCGTTGAGCCGAACTACTGCGGTGCAGCGGCGCATGGCCAGTACGATCAGTACGAAAAGTGCAATCTGGGTCCCTGCAACACCGGAAAACAAGATTGCGAGTTTGGAGAGTGGTACTTACTACAACGTGCTGAATAAGTCTAGAGCAAGATTTTTACTGCGTCCACTAATCGTGCGTTTGCATAGTTTTCGTTTGGAGAAACCTCTGAAATGGCCCACGATGACGTCGGTACTACGAATCAGAATCTTGTAAAAAGCGAATCCTAGAAATGAAATTAAAAAAAAAGCCGCATTATCTACTATGAAAATAAAGGCAAAAGTGGGAGCCCTGCAGCAGCAACTGCAATGGTATTCACACTCGCGAGCGGCTCGTAAGCCAATACGCCAAGGACGGTGGGTCCCCCTGTACGGGTGCCACGAAGCAAATAGGACCATGCAACACCGGACACTGCAAGTCGCTCGAGCCCGTGGACTGCGTACTCGGTGAGTGGTCAGCGTGGGACGAGTGCACCGCAGCCTGTGAGGGCGGCAGCCAGGCCCGGTCCCGCACAATCGTCGAGCTGCCGAAGCGCGGTGGTAAGCCCTGCGAGGGGGCGCTGGACGAAGTGCGGGCGTGCAACGAGGAGCGGTGCAGGGCGACGCAAGACTGCAAATGGAGCATCTGGGGCGAGTGGGGCAGCTGCTCCAAACCATGCGGGGGAGGTACTGAAGTTATTTCTTTTTATCGCATTTGGGGTGAGTTGGGTAGAATTTTTCAGCAGCGTGCCGTAGCGATGATTGTGCTACTGGCTTTGCGAAGATGAACCAATTTTTGCAAAGCGTCGGTCGGGAGGAGGAGTCAACAAAACTAGAAATGTAAAAAGAATTCTGGTCAACACATCGGCAGGCGAGCGCACGCGGTTTCGGCACATAATGAAGAACCCGCGGCACGGCGGCAAGGCGTGCGATGCGAAGGAGGCCGGGGAGATGGAACCCTGCAACGTGCACCACTGCGGGCACCGGGAGTACTGCGTGTGGAGCCACTGGGGCCAGTGGGGCGAGTGCAACAAGAGTTGCGGCAAGGGCACGCGGCACCGGCAGCGGAAGCTGGAGATCAGCATGAGCCACGCGGACGCGGAAACCGCGCTCTCCACGGGAATCTTCTCCGAAATAGCCTCGTCTTGGTCCTTATGCATTGCAAATATGTCAGGCTGGGTCTGGAAGCTTGTAATGCGCGTCAGTGAATAATAAGCATGCGCCATCCAGCATGACAGATTTTTTCGTGGCTCTGTGTTGTGTAGTCCGCATGAGAAGCTGCGTTTTTCCATGACAGACAACAGAGGCTGTGCGTGGCTACGCAATACAGAGCTCAGATTCATGCCAGACTAGCATGACAAGTCTCGCAATCTTCCAGACCCAGACATGTTTGCACTGGATAGTCTCCCGGAAATTTCTACACCGCGGACCACCTGGCCTTCACCTTCCTGATCGGCATGGCCAGCAGCGTCATGGTGCTCTTCGTGATTTACCAAGGTGGGGTCCGACTCAGGAGAAGATCACAGGGCGACGACGATTCGTCAGCGGCAGCACTGTTCCTCGACGATGACCGACCACTCGCGCAGCCATTCGCGATGGCGTCGCCGGTGGAGTGAGATGTTGAAATGCAGTGTGCAAGTAGCAAGAAAGGCGACGGCAATTATTCATGCCGGCCGGTTGTAGTGTGATTGTGAATGGCATAGTCGAGTTGAGTAGATTCACTGAAATTCAAAATACGTAGTCGACGGTCCATCTTCCATGTTGAGTCGTCTCCAGAAAGACCACACAAGAGAGGACGCTAGAACTTTCTATGCGTCGTCTTCCAGTATAGCTACAGAGAAACACAGCAGCTTGTTATGGCAACCACACATGACGACTTTTTAATATGCGCCGGTGGCGGTTCTTTTGCGTCACCAGTCGTGCACGCAGGTCCGGCCAAGAGTGTACTTGAACCAAAGCCGCATGATTTTCCTAGTCTCGTGTGGATCCGTTGCCTCGTCCACGGCAGCGGGGTGGACCACTTGACAATCAAAGAACACAGAAGTAGATTCCTGCTCGCTGCATGGCGTTGGCGTCACGGACTGGACTTGCAGTTGATAAATCTCCTTCCCCAGCTGTTACTGGCGGCTGCGGTTGCGATCTGGTATGTTGGCAGCGGAGCCAATCCTGCGAGTTGTAAGTTGTCAACATTTGTGAAGACGAGTTGAGAAAGCCTTTGGCCATGCTCATCATGCTGTGAAAAGAACTTTGGGACGACGAGAGAAATTGGAATTGCTGCCCTGCGCTGAGCCAGAGCACCGTTTTTTTTTCAGCTGTGGGCGGCGGGCCACACGAATTGCTGAGAGAAAAAGGTTTTCGTCGTGGTGCTGTCTCCACCTTGGAACCACGTAAAGCTTGTTCTCTATCGAAACTGTGGTTCGGGCAGCTCCGAAAGCGGGAAAGCGCCGGCGCAGCTACGGGAATCCTCGTGATAGAAAAAAAATGGCGCGAAAGCCCAGGAAAAAGACCATGAGAGTGGCAACAGCGCTGCTTTTGGCGGGTGCGACGTCCACACGGCGGGCCGCCGCGGAGGAGAAAGCGGGCTTCACCTGCGAGGGGACACAGAAGGAAACAAAAGTCTGCAAGCAGCCCGACTGCATGGGCTCGCCATGTATCTATCTTTTTCCCGATGTTGTAGACTGATGACAGCAGAAGTTCCGGTGTATTTGTTCGGCGTGCTTTCATAATGCATAAGCATATGTGCTTGTTAAAGTTAATATCTTCATGTGTCACTCAATCTATCATATCTTGACAAAACCAACGCGCAAAGATCGTGAATGAAATTCCGAATCGAAGAAACTCGTAAAAACCCCACGACATCAGGCAAGGACTGCGTCTGGAGTGACTGGAGCCAGTGGGCGCCACCGACGTGTCTCGGGCTCTGTGAGCGGCACCGGGAAATAGTATGCATCGCAAATATGTCTGGGTCTGGAAACTTGTTATGCAAGTCTGTGAACAATAATTGCTCTGTCTCTGTAATGCGCCGCCAAGCATGACAAGTTTTTTCGTGCTTCTGTGCTGCGTATTCCGCATGAGAAACTACGCTTTTGCATGACAGGCAAGAGGACCTCTTGGTGGCCACGCAATACAGAGTGCAGAGTCATGCCGGACTAGCATGACAAATATCGCAGTCTTCCAGACCCAGGCATATTTGCATTTGATAAATAGCGGAGCACAACAATTTTTGCGGCGACCCCTGCCACGGCCCCATGACAGAAACAAAATTTTGCCAGCCGGACTGCGATCCCCCGCCCGTGGACTGCGAGGTATCGGAGTGGTCGGATTGGTCTCTCTGCACGGAGCTCTGCGGCGGGGGGCAAACCTACCGGGAGCGGAAAGTGAAACAGTTCCCCAAGCACGGCGGCAAAATTTGCAGCACGGACCTGACGCAGACCAAGCCCTGCAACCAGAAGAGCTGCAACACCCCGCAGGACTGCGTGCTAGGCGACTGGGGCGCGTGGGACACCTGCAGCGCGAGTTGCGAGGGGGGCGTGCGGAAGAGGAAACGACACATCGTATTGTAAGGAAAAATCCCCCCTCCCCATATCGAAAAAGTATGATTCCGAAAATTTGTGTTGCTGATTTGAGACCACAAATCACGTCTGTCTTGCAAGAAGACAAGTGCAGAAGCTTCCGCTCCATTATGGAAGCGATTTGGCATGCTGTTGCGCCTAGGGGGCAGCCGTTTGTAATGCTAAGCAACTAGACCCAAACACCCCTACCTAGGCCGAGGATCTGGCTGCGCTGCCTCACTGCAAGACAAATCAGATTTGTGTACGCAGATCCGGCATCAGAAACTTCGTTTTGATATGGGGAGGGGGGATTTTTCCTTTTGATACATCGAGGCCGTGGCGATGTTCGGCGGGGTGCCGTGCCAGGGCGAGCTCGAACAGGTGGAGGAGTGCATATGGGGCTCTCAAACGTTACATTCTCAACTGTTACATGATTTGTCATGCAAAAACGCTATCACTTTTCACAATTTCAAACCTTCTCCGCATGACAAGTTCTCGACACGCTAGATAGCATTGTAATCTGCTCCAAACCTGTAATGCAAAAGGAGCAAGCTTTTCCCTTTCACTTTTGCCATTCTTGCATTACAAATTTCATGTAACAGTTGAGAATGTAACAGTTGAGAGCTCCATAGTGCAACGAGCAAGCGTGCATCTCAGCAGTAGACTGCTCGTGGGGCGAGTGGGGCTACTGGAGCGACTGCTCAGCATGTAAGTAGTATTCATGTGTTTCTTTTCCGGTTTTTCGGCTCAAGTACACAGTTTGAAGATCATTCTGTCATACTTGGGACTGTGTCGTGCTGCATGATCATACTAGCTTACAACTACACCTCCTCGTTTTCTACTCTACAGCGTGTGACGGTGGCGAGCAGACCCGCATGCGATTGATAGACATCGCGCCCAAGAACGGCGGGAAGCTTTGCTCCGTCGATATCGTAAGGAAAAATCCCCCCTCCCCATATCGAAAACGTACCCGTCTGAAAATTTGCGATGCGCATTTGCGACCTCAAATCCTGTCTGTCTTGCAAGAAGGCAAGTCCAGAAAGCGTTCCGCATTTTGCAGGCAGTTTGTGATGCTGTTTGGCTTAGAGCATACACGTTTGCAATGCTAGGCGCCTACGTCAAAACCTCTCGACTGAGGCTTGGCATATGCCTGCACTCCTCTACTGCAAGACAAATCTGAGTTGTGTATGGAAATCCAGCATCAGAAACTTCGTTTCGATAGGGGGAGGGGGGATTTTTCCTCACAATAGTCGAGGATATGGTGGAGGTGCAACCCTGCAACCGACTCCCTTGCAAGGGACCCTTAGGGACTTAGGGACCTGAGGTCCAGAAAGCAGCCTAAAACGAACTCTAAAACGCATGGTATGCTCGCAAAATGGCCGACCATTTTACCCCCCCCCCCATTTGGGCCCCCCCAGAGTGCTTCGGCGGCTTCGGGGCTTCGGGGTCCCTTGCCGTCACTTGCCAACAAGTGTGGGCTCTTGATGGTCGAATATAGTTCGTTAGCCGATAGCGGATGCCACGGACAAGTGGCATCTAGGGGGCCAAAAATTTCCGCATGCGTGTCCTCCACGCGGGCGGCCCCTGGGGCGCTGCTGTCGTTATCCATCAGGGAAAGTTGAAGCGGGCACTTCGATTTTCCTTCGATGAGGTAAAGTTGAAATGGCCAACTCAAATTTCCTTCGATGAGGGAAAGTTGAACTTCAATTTTCCTTCGATGATGGAAAGTTGAAGTGCCCATTTCAAATTTCCTTCGATCATGGAAAGTTGAAGCGGCCACTTCGAATTTCCTTCGATGAGGGAAAGTTGCAGCGGCCATTTCAAATTTCCTTCGATGGGGGAAGGTTGAAGCGGTCGCGTCGATTTTCCTTCGATGAGGGAAATGCGAAGTGGCCACTTCAAATTTCCTTCGAAGAGGGACATTTGAAGTGGCCATCTTAAATTTCCTTGCTTCGATGAGGGAAAGTTGAAATGGCAATTGCGAACTTCCTTTGATGAGGGAGCGTTGAAGTTAGTGGGCACTTCGATTTTCCTTCGATGGGGGAAAGTTGAAGGGCCCATTTCAAATTTCCTTCGATCATGGAAAGTTGAAGCGGCCACTTCGAATTTCCTTCGATGTGCGGGCGCGCGGTGCTCGTTTGCCTTCGAATCGATGCAACGCCATTGGCTGCGTATGGAGTGAGTGCGCGCGCGAATTTTTTTTTGGTTCTATGGCTCTCATTCACTACAATCATATATAGTAAGTGTATAAAAGTAGAGAACAGTGCGCAGAAATCGAGCATACCATGTGGATTGGATAGCATTAGCAGCTACGAGAATAGGGCAAGGTCCGTAAGTCCCTGAAGTCCCTAACGCTAGGTCCCTAAGCTCCCAAATTTTTAGCCTTCTATATAGGATATGGTGGAGGTGCAACCCTGCAACCGACTCCCTTGCGGGACCGTAGTGGACTTATTGTGAGGAAAAATCCCCCCTCCCCATATTGAAAAGGTATGTTTCCAAAAATTTGTGTTGCGGATTTGAGGTCACAAATCACATCTGTCTTGCAAGAAGACAAGGGCAGAAGCTTCGCCCCATTATGGAAGCGATTTGTCATGCTGTTGGGCCTAAAGGGGAGCCGTTTGCCATGCTGAACAACTAGACCCATACGCCCCTACCTAGCCTGGGGATCTGGCCGCCATGCCTCCCTGCAATACAGAGCTGATTTGTGGCCACAAATCAGCATCACAAATTTCCGTTTTGGTATGGGGAGGGGGGATTTTTCATTTTGATAGGACTGCGCCTTCAGTTCCTGGACTTATTGGTCCGATTGCAACGCACCCTGCAACGGGCTGCGAAATCGAACCAGGGAGGTCACCGCGTACCCGGAGTTCGGCGGCAATGCCTGCGACGGACCGCTCAAGGAAGTCGAATCGTATAGTACTTTTGATTGTCTCAACATACTCGTCCTATGCCACTGAAAAAAGGAGCAATCGTGATTTATCGATGTAGCAGAAGAAGTGGGCGCATGTTAGCTTTGCTAATGCGTAGAGCAGAATTTGACTCTGCGCCAGAACTACATACACCCAGGTGCAACACCGAGAAATCGCTTTGTATCGATGAACCGCCGGAGCCGGTGGACTGTGTGTTCGACTCCTGGAGCTATTGGAGCAAGTGCAGCAAAACCTGCGGCACCGGCGTGCAGCACCAAACACGGGACATCAGCACGCCCGCGAAACACCTTGGCAAGCCCTGCCAGGGCGAAACCCTGCGCGTGCTATCAAATGTAAACATGTCTGGGTCTGGAAGGATGTAACCTGTGATGCGCATTTCAGAACACACAAAAATCTTTCATGCATAGGTAGCAAAAGCTGCTCACTTTCTGTCACCAAAATGGGGGATTTGTCATGCGGGTTCGGCATTGCGTAAGCTTCTCGAAACCTGTGATGCTAGCGCTTCCATGCCAGACCTTCTGTGTCATGCCGAAACAGCATGACTCTTCCAGACCCAGACATTTTTGCATTTGATACGTGCGCCCCTGCAACGAAGACCCCTGCATCGAGCCGCCGCACGAGAGGCAAAACTGTGCCTACGAAGAGTGGGGCTACTGTATGACAATGAAAAACGCCTCCACCCCCGAACTTGGGAGCATTTGTATTGCAAACTTTTCCAAATGAAACATTCGCCCTCTTGCATCTATCAGCATCACAGATTTCCGATCGTAAATAGCAAAAATTTGTATTGCAAAAGACCCCAGCAAAAGCGGCGCTTGTCATGCAAGCGATGCGACACACGCCTTGACTCTGCATCAGAAACGTGGCTCATACTCCTTTCATGCATGACAAAAAGTTTTCGTTTGGAAACTTTGCATCACAAATTTTTCCAACTTTGGGGGTGGGGGCATTTTTCCTCGCGATATACTGGTCGGAGTGCACCGTCAGTTGCGGCGGGGGACAGAAGCAGAGAAAACGAGGCATTTCCCAGTACCCGAACAAATACGGGACGCCCTGCGCGCGCGAGTCTACGCTCGAGATCGCGGAGTGCAACACCAAGGAGTGCTACTGCCAAAATTGCGTCTGGGGTACTACAGTTAGACAAGCTGGTTGAGAATGTTGATAAACCACTTCTTTTCTAGAACAAAAAATTTTTGGGTACGTCAACGAATTCTGATGCGGAGCCAGAAAGGTCGTGGAACCACCAAGGAACCACAACCTCCAGAGGTAAGTACTAACTTGCTTTTGGTTCGGCATGCAAAGTAGTAGACTACACTTCTGAACAACAAAGCACATGAATTACATCCTCTATCGCATTATATCTCGCAGGCGACTGGTCGGAGTTCGGGGCCTGCACGTGCGAGGGTCTGCAGGAGCGCCACCGCAAGGTCGCGATTCAACGAGACCCCTGTGGCGATCCCTGTGTGGGCGCCAAGGTGGAGACGCAAACTTGCAAACCCGACTGCATAAAAGAGCCGGTCGACTGCAAAATCGGAGAATGGGGCTATTGGAGCTTCTGCTCCAAAGACTGCGGCGGGGGGCAGAAGGTGCGGACCCGGGAAATAGAAGTGCCGGAGAAAAACGAAGGAAAGCCATGCGGTAGAGAAGATGTGGTTTCGTTTGTTTGGCTCTAGTATCGTTCCAACTGTTTGATGGTATCTGATGTCTCTCGAATGACAACCGTGTGATGCATTTAGATTTAGATCGAAAATCTTAATAACCAAACGCGCATCTTCACCCCCATAATAGGCGAGCAAGACGTGAAGCAAATCGCGCCTTGCAACGAGGCACCGTGCAAGGAGAAACAGGATTGCGTTCTGAGCTACTGGACGGACTGGACTTCGTGTTCGCAGACGTGTGGTGGCGGCCAACAGTACCGAACACGAGAGGTGGAAACCCCGGCGAGCGCGGGCGGCACGCCCTGCGAGGGTAATTTGAAGGAAGTGGTCGCTTGCAACACCGACCCCTGCGTAGAACCGGTTGACTGCAAATGGGGCGAATGGACAGAGTACTACGTTCGTCTTGTTGATAAAAAAGACGAAGGCCTGATAGTTGTATAGTATCTACTTGCTTACTGCAATATTTTTGCACGACTTGCCGCGCAACAGAAAGCACAGTCAGATTATACAAGCATTGCAAGGTAGTTCTAGTTAACAAAGACCGAGCAACCCCTCTACAACTTCCAGGTATGGTGCCTGCTCCGCGTCCTGCGGTGGCGGGGAAAAGGTCCGGGATCGCGAAATCGTTGTGGCCCCGCGGTTCGGCGGGAAGCTCTGCGAGCCGCACGTCAAAGAGGAGGTGGCGCCCTGCAACCAGCAGAGTTGCGACACGCACTGCATTGACGGGGCCTGGGATGAGTGGGCGGCCTGGTCTGCCTGCACGGCCACCTGCGGCACCGGATTTCAGTGGCGCCACCGCGAGATCCTGCAGCGGCCCAACGGCTGCGGCAAGCCGCTCGAGGGGCTAAGGGAGGAGGTCCGAAAGTGCGACGACCTATACCCCTGCGAGGTCGAGGTGGAGGACTGTGTATTTGACGAGTGGGGCAGCTGGGGCGACTGCAGCTGCACCTGCAACGGGATCCGGGATAGAAGCAGAAGAATATACCAAGTCTCCAAGAACGGAGGTACTAAATAAATATGTAAGTAAGTGATTGTTAATATCGTAGTTGTGGATGAAGTTGAAGATAATCATCACGGCAGTAGAAGACCGGCAGCAGCTCTCATTGCGTCATGTTTTTTTCGCACGAAACGCCGTGAGACGCAAGAGCAATTTATAGAACACCAACAAAACGCCAGGTAAGCCCTGCAAGGGATCACTGAAGGAGATCGAGCCCTGCAACGTAAAGTCCTGCACGGTTTTATCCTGAGGAAAAACGTCCCCACCCCATAGTCACGATGGGAAATCTGCTAGAGAAATCAACGAGCTTTGGCTGTTGCGCATGACAAGTTTGGCCTCTTAGTGTGGTCCTGTTTGGCTAGTGCAGCAGCCTCACAGATTTAGCACACGGCGCGGATTTGAGCGCCACAAATGGCAAAGCGCCAAGAGTACTAGAAACTGCATCGCATGGGTCTACTCCGCATGAGAAACATTCTCAGCATGCAGATTTGCATTGATAAGTATACAGCTCTGGGGTGGGGACGTTTTTACAAATGATTGGTTTTCGACCCGGTCGACTGCGTGCTTTCCGAATGGTCCTACTGGAGTAGCTGCTCGGCCACCTGCGCCGGCGGCGCCCGGGAGCGCACCCGGAAGATTGAGGTGGCCCCGAAAAACAACGGGAAGCCTTGTGAGCGCTCATTGCACGAGGTAGAGGCTTGCAACTCGCAGCGGTGCGACACTGCGGTAGACTGCAAGTGGAGCGATTGGTCTGCGTGGTCCGAGTGCACAGCAGGTATGATTTGTTGATTGTGATAAAGCCACCTGAAGTTCATGAAGTTCACAGAAGGTTAAAGATGAATTTTTCGAACGTAAGTACTTTTTTATCGAGAAGAAACAGAAGAAAATATACGACTCAAACGCAGAATGCGGCGGCGGGCAGAAGACGCGATTTCGACGGGTAAAAAATCTGCCAAAAGACGGCGGTACCGAGTGCCGCATGATGGATGCCCAAGAGGAGGCCCCGTGTAACACGCACGTGTGTGGCGAGGTGAACTACTGCACCTGGTCGGACTGGACGGAGTTTAGCGAGTGCAGTGTCACCTGCGGCCTCGGGTCCATGGAGAGGTCACGAACCTTGTCGCACAGTACAGAAAAACCCTCGGTGGTAACCAACGTGATAGCAACAGGTATTAGATTACTTATACTTTCATTTTACACTGGCGGGTGGCAAAGGAAGAAACCGAGGAGGTCTCTACGGAGGTTCGGTTGCGCAGGGTTACTTTTGTACGCATGATTGAAGAACTAGAACTAAAGTCGGAGCTCTTGCTGTGTGATGGGTGCTGGGAAATAAACATGCTCACTGTTATGAAACCAATTTGTAAGGTATTCTCGATGCCGTCTTCCGACACAACGCCGGCTTAGCCCGGTTCAACGCGGAGCACATAGCACTTACCTTCATAGGGGGCTTTGTCAGCGCTCTAGTGGCACTGTTTTTGCTGACACGAAGGTCATGGAGCAGGGGAACAAATACTGGACAAGAGGGCCGCGGCTTCAGTTCCATTGTCGAGGGCGATATCGAGCTGCAAGACCATGAGCTGGTTGAGTAGCGGACTGCATGCTTTTCCAAAAAAGTTCCATAAGTAGATTATGCTTTAATAAAGTTTTTAAGAAGCACAAGGACCACCACATCTACATAGCTCTGTTCCTCTACAGAAATCCAACTGTTACGTAGATAGATTCACGATGTCAGAAGTCCATTTTGTGGACCCATTTTCCTTCTGGACGCACGGAACAGCGGCCTTGAGACGTGGAAAGATGGTCGTCAACATGGAACGCGGAATACTAAAAACCAGTGTGATTTACCACGACGAGTAAAAATTCAGTAAATTCGAGAACACAGCTAGTATTCTGAATCCGCCAAGAGCGTTCCGCCCGCGGTTGCGAAGACGGGCAAAATGTAAAAACCGCCCCCCGCAGTGCATACAAGGGGAATTCTTGCAGGCCAAGAATGCTCGAGAAACTAACTCTCATGTCGGTCGTGCTCGTGTACAGAATAACATTAAAGATCCTACCAGGGAAGTAAAACGGAGATCACACCAGCCGTGAAGAGGTACCAGGACCGGATCCGACTCCTTGAGAAGGTGCAGCACTGGTAGCGCGAGACGATGTTGAAGAATCAATTGGGTCACAAGATGAAGTAGTAATTAAAATGAATCGAGTTCATTCAAGCTCATTACTAGAAGAAAACAAATGGAAAAAATGCATGATCCGACTTCGCCGAGACCGACACTGAATGTCGGCGAATGACAGTGCATGGCCTAAGCTAATATTTGATGTTTCGTTGTCGACCATAAACTACGAACTTTAACTTTTATACTTGTTTTCCCATGGCATCTTCAGTGTGAGTGTCGCCGTTTCAGGCTCGATGAATAAGTACACCGATTGAGCATGATGCGTTGAATATTCTCTATGTACACGTGACTCTCTGCTCCTCAATACAAACTCAACGGAATCATGAAGTTCCACCTCCTGACCGCCTACACCGACGACGGTTATCGCGAGGTTGGCGACCTGTGCGCCGAGGTGAACGAGAAGTATGCGGCGTATTGGAATTATGCGTCCTTCACCGCCGTGGTTAAGTCTAAGGAGGAAATGATGCAGGTAGTCGGCTCCCGCGGCCACCCAACCTGGTACAAGGTGCATTTATTTCGGGAGTGGCTAAGGGATGAGGCTAGGAAGGTTTCTGTCTCCGATGATAGAATCGAGCAGGACCAGGAGTACGAATACCTCGTGTGGCTGGACGCGGACGCTGTGGTGGTAGATTTCCAGAAGTCATTGGAAAAAATCGTACAAAACGCAGACCACAAGGACCTCATTATCGCCGAGGACATGCACTCGGGTAACTTGGTGAATTGTGGCGTGATTCTGATAAAAAACTCCGACTGGAGCCGGAACTTGTGGGACCGCGTTTGGAAACTGCAGCGAACGGTCCAAAGTAACCGGAGAAAAAGAGAGGTGGTTCTTGTTGAAGAAGAGGAGCCAGCACAGGTGCCTGTTTCAGAAAACACAACTAAGGAAAACGATGTTGAACAAAATAAAGAGTACTACAACAAGCCTTTCTACGAACAGACTGCATTGCAGAAAGTGCTGAAGTCACTGGGGCAGTTTGCGACTTTTTTCACTGGCGACAACATGGAAGACGTTTTGTTGAAGACGTCGAGCACAGCTACGAGGAGAATTTTGGGCGAGGAAATGCATGAAGGAGTGGAGGTAGTAGATTCGGCCACTGTTCATCTTGGAGACGAAGTTGAGCAGCAGCCCGTGATCATATCGTCCACGTCGACCCAGAAACGAAGACAGAAGTGGGACGGCTGGCACTCTTTTCACCAACCGGGGAACATCCTCAAAGACGTTTCTGTACCAGAGGATGATGCTTATAATTTTTCCGGTCGTACGAACAGCACTGGTACCTGTACAACCACAGATCATTTGGTGGACCAGCAGCATTTGAACTTGAAGCACTTCGCAAACGTGTGTATCTATCCGATTCACAAGCTGAACAGTAACATCACGGACGACGCCTTGAGGCTGCTCCAGGAGAACAAACAGCCGAGAGGGACGTCCTTCCGCATGAACGGGAACAAGAGAAACTACCACAGGAGAACCGAGTTCATCTTTCACGCCGCCGGGGCGAACAAGAAAAAACCGCTAATAGAAGGCATGCTCAAGGCACGCAGAACGCTTGATGATGTTCTTCTTCACGGGGAGAATTTTTCGACGGTGAATCATGAGCAGGCATTGATGAACGCCGTCGCATAGTGGTACTAACGTAACATATCTGCTTCGCTGTTGAGCGACTTTCTATCTGAAGAAGCGACACCTGACAAACATAACATGTTCACATCAAGACAATACGCCGCGTGTGCTAGTACCTAAAGTTCGCCTAACCACAGGTCGTTGCCAGAGGCTGCCAACTGTTCTTTGTAGTTTTTCGAGCGCTTCTTTTGACTCTGAAACAGGATCAGGATGAGGATCTGTATTATTTAAGCGAGGAACGGTGTCGTGGATCTACAACTATACGCAATTTTACTACGAAACCCCGAGAAGGAGTGCGTACAGAAGATCTTTTGAATTCGAAAGAAAGTGCGTTTTTGCGATGCTTTCAGCTAAGGCTATAGCTAGGGCTGTATTTCTCATGTTTTTTTGTCCCCTTTCCTTCGTCCGTACTGTGAGGGCGGGTGCGTTTGACGTAATTCACGTTTTCCATTTTTCATCCTGATCCTCTGTCAGTGCATCTATGCAAATTTTTCAATCCGATACGCGAACGTGGTTCGTCTCGCATTTCTATTTCTACACATTGACCCCCAGCAATTTATTCTTGTCGAAGTCAGCCCTTTAGTATATTTTGGAGGACACTTCTTCTACTTGCAGGTGGTTCTACCTGTAGTAAAAAGAATCACAGAAGAATATACATAGCATCACGATAGTCTGGCATCTACTGCGCAGCACGAGGACGATGATCGCACCACTTAAGCAGGCGCCGGTCTTGTGGCTGTTCCTCCTAGGGGCAGCTGCGAGTTCGTCCACTCAGTTTGCCTACGCATCGAACTCGCCACAGAATGGCAGCAAGAAAGGGAACCCGAACCACAAAGTGCCCACCAAAGCCCTGCCCTCTAGTCCGCAGGCGATGTACCAACTGCAGCGCGACTTAGAACGTTCACAGAAACGTTTTCGGGAGGTGAAGCAGGAGCGAGATCAGTTCATGCAAGAGCGCGACGATCTGAAGGCAGAAAATGAAAAGATGCAAACAGAACGGGAACAAATCCTCCGTGACTTCGAGCAGGTGAAAATGCAGCTTGCGGAAAGCAATCAGAGGCACGCGGGGATTGCGGAGGAGGTGCAGCAGCTGCAGCATACTCTGTTCCTGCTCGAGCAGAGGCGCGCGGCGAACATAACGGCCTCTCAGGAGCAAATCGTTGCTCTGAAGAGTCAACTGGTGGACTCGGAAATTAGGTTCGCACTGATCTCTGCAACGATGGAACAAGGAGCAGGAGTAGAGATGAAAAGCGAACATCAGGGGGTGTTGGACGCGAAGAATCACGATGAGGATGTTGATGTGCAGGCTGCCAATATCGCGCAGGCCCTGGGGAATCTGCAACTTCGAGTCGGGAAGAGCAGGGTATTGCAAGATGAACTTCGAGGTGCGGAAAGTGATTGCGAGGAGGACAAGGGAAGAACGCTGCGCCTGAAACTGAATATGAAATCTCTGCCCGGACAGGTGCCGTCGCCGAGTACGAAAAATAAATCGAGCTTACTCACAACCAGCACTTTATTGCGTGGCATGAAGAAGACAGACACATCTTTGAACGAGGACGGCGATAAAAGCTTGCTGTACCCTACTGATGCGACGGCACAATTTTACAACAACGATCGACTAGACTCTCAACCACGAACATCACTGGACTCTCTTGCCAGGATCCACTCTGCAGGGTCGCTCGATGTTGACGGGGGTTCATCTGATGTGATCGTCCCAAATAGTCACCTCGTGTCGCGGGGGGGCGGCGACCACACGTCAGTACTGCGCGACTTTGGCTTTGCTCCGGCTCCGAAGACCACGACCGGGCTGCTCGGCGAGAGTCCGCATGCGTATGCATCATCAATTCGGGGCGCATTTCAGCATCCCTCGAGCTCCGAAGACAAGACTGCCAACACCCCCAGCGAACAAAACAAGACTGCAAAGGTGGACTCATTTCGAAGCACCAGCTCCAGTGCAACCTCCTTTGGAGGACCATTCGACGAGCAAAGCGCGGAGGGCAGGAGCGACAATACTAGCAACAGACAAAAGCTTAAGGTAGAGGAGTTGCGTGATGGTGCACCGGCGTTGCTCGGTCCGCGGCATCTGCTGCAGATTGAGAATACTCTACAGGAGATGCATAACGAGAAGAGTGAGCTGAAAGCGAAGGTCGAGCGCATCAACAGCGAAGAGAAGGTGCTTGAATGGCTTTCAAAATCCGAGCAGCGGGACGAACTGCATCACCGTTCGGAAGCGGCCACCGCGGATGGAGACTCCCCGCCGCCTGTTCCGGCTCTTGCCGCCGCCGGATCTGCGTACGAAGTGCGGCCGGTCTTTAATTTGGACGGTTCTGGGACGAGCTTGTGAAGATAAAAAACTCCGATAGGAGTTCGATCTCGAACACATCGAAAGACAATTTTTTGTAAAAAGCTGATAAGATAGCGATTGCGATTCGCAGCTTCTCGAGGGATCAAATTTTTGAAAAAGCGATCGACACACCTGGCCATCCTGCACATAGATTTTTTTGATTTCAGCGAGCCGACGCGTTTTTTGCAAAAGAACGCATTCAGTCGGTATTTCGGCACAGAAACCACAAACATAAAGAAGATAGTGCAACGTGACCCGCAAAGGTAACTACATTTTCCTGTCCAGCTACAAATTCATTTTCCGTTCGTGCGCGCGATAGGTTTCTCTTTCTGTATGCAGGGGGACACGAATCTGACGAAAGAAACTGTTAGAGCTCCATCTGGTTCATCCCGAGCATGGACTTCTGAGTTTCATGTCTGCTAGAGCGCCGAGCAAAAACAACGCGGGGAAAACCAAAATGCATGATTTGTACGACCTTATGAGCTATTTTTTCTTGGTTTGGAACTCCAATAACTCTCTCAACGAACCTGCTCAGAAGTCGAGCAGTTTACCCTTGACAATCGAGTATGAAAATTCTTTTGCTGTTCGCTGACGGTATGAACAGTCTCTCCGATTATCGAAGGTGTCGGTTCACGGTAGATGCACCCCATGATGAGTAGGAAAAGATAAAAGACGACGATCTGAAGGAAGAACTACCGGTGGTCAACATCTGTATACTAATGATAAATTTTTCATCGAGGTTGATGTCCGGCGACTATTTCGCAAAAAGCGATTCTCGCAAGTACTTACGATATGTGGATTAAAAGCGTTTTTATCCCAGTACTGTACTAATCATGGTTTTGTTGACACACGCCAACATCATCAGGAAATGCAGCGACGTTCATGGTAAGAATCGGATGAGGATCATTTGCGCAGCACAGCAGTGCGTTCACGTCTATTTTTGCTTCGAGGTTGATGTCTTGCAGTAGCAGTTTCTTGATTTTTGATTCATGGGAGAAGGATCCTTTGTTTCAATCTCACAAAGAGTACTGAAGAGCACGGACGTAGCATTAGAAACGCGCGCGAACATCATCATGAGCTTAGTTGTGATCCGGGCCACGCTCTATTTTGCCACCTTCGTACTTACCAAGATGTGAGCACCAGTAAGAACGCGATGTGAAAAATAAGTCCCACATCACGATAGGCGCTCGTCATCTGTCGCAATTCGACGAAGTTGTTTGATATTCGGCAGGTCAGAGAGCAAAAGATCAAGGTGGAAAGAAGATCCAACGCGGAGTTAAACGCGTTTGTTGCGCGAAACTTTGGCTATGGGTGGGACGCAAAGTGTAGTGGCACCTGGTACAACGACGGGGATCACGAGCGGCAGTACGGCGGGAGACCAGCCGTCAATGCGTTTCGAGAATTTTCTTATGTACTACAACCCCCTGCATTACATCATCAGTTCTTCCTCCCTGTTCAATTCCGATCCATCGTCATCTCGTGGAGGCCAACTGGATCTGCCAAGTGCTGGCACCGCTGGGACATTAGAAAACCATCTATTGCAACAGCAGAACGACAAGAACTTAATGGCCAGTACTGGCGCTACCCCGGCGGCGGCTCTGGGAGTGGTCTCTGCGGATCAAGATGCGATTCCAGGAAAAATAGACGACCCTGCAGCTGCGGTCCTCGCAGTGGCAGCAGCCGCATCGCAACCTTCCTGGATCCCCAGTTATTTGATCTGGACGCAGATTCTTGGCGTGGTGATCTACGTGCTTTTTGTCACTTTCAAACTCGGGTTTCCCCGGGAGTACGTGGTAATCCAAACGCAGGAAGTGAAACGCGAGACCAAGCGGTGGCCGGTGTGTCTCGGGCACGCGTTGGTCTTCTACCTGCTGCGCCCGGTGTGCTGCTATCAACTGTAAAAATGTCTGGGTCTGGAAGATTCTGAGACTTGTCATGCACGTGTTGCATGAGCCATGATGTCTGTGATGCATGCCCTAGCAGCACAGATTTTTTGAGGGCCTCTTGATGCCTCTTCGGCATGACAAATGCCCTCTCCGCGTAGCAGAACTTGCGTTCCCTTTGCTGCTCATGCAACACAGATTTTTTTGGAATCCCAATGCAGCATCACAAGCTGCATTCTTCCAGACCCAGACATTTTTCCATTTGATAGCTGCTTCTTTGGCAAGCCCGGGATTGCCTTGTACGAAAGGTTTCTGCGGTCCTTCACCGTGCGCCATAACAGCTGGGACGTTCCCTATGAAACGGAAAGGATCGATCTTCTTCTACAAGGGCAAATGAGAAATGCATGTTGTGCATGTTGTAGCTTTGATTCCAATAATTCGTACAACACGTTCCTGGAAGTAGGATAGTAGCTGGACACAAGATCAAGCGGGCAGCGCATCTATCGTTGTCCTCTTGGAGGATGATCAAGGTCTACATAAAAACAGCATTCGAAATTTTCTTGTTTGCTCTCAAGTGGGTTATTTTGCGAGTTGTATACGCTCTACAAAAGCAAGCGGGCCGCGCAGCGACAGGTTTTGCTATGGTGCCGATTTTGGGGGGTGCAGGTATGAAGAATTTTTTAACGTTCTCTCGATGAAAAGCTTGCAGCTTGCAAGTACGTTTTTTTCTCTTGGTATTACCTACGTGACTTAGTCAGTACACGATTACCTACGTGACTTAGTCAGTACACGTTTCGTTCTTGAACCGAAACCTTAACCTTTGTTGCCAGCGGGAGATGATAACGGGATAAGTGGAAGAAAAACTACCCACAAGAACGTAAGAACCCACAACCAAACAGACGGAGCCCTGGGTGTGGGACCGGCAGCCTTCGGACTACGTGTCCAAAAACGACTTTTTTACCCGCACCTATGCGAAGAAATACCTGCCCCAGATGGGCCGCGCGCAAATCGTCAGTCCGGTGGATGGCGTCTGCACGTGGTTCCGGTCCACGATTGACATGCCGAAGCAGCTGAAAAACGACGCGTTTTGGGATTTGGCGTCCATCGGTATTCCCAACAGCGAACGCTACGAACGCAACCCCGCCTGCATGCTGTATCTGGCGCCAAACGATTACCATTGGTATCTATGAATGTAGTCTCAAGTACTGAGAAAAGATTTGAGTGCAAAGAACCGTAGACTGCTTGGAATCGATGCTTGTTCTAGGCGAAGTTTTACGATGATGTTTTTTTATGAAGGAATTGATTTCTACTTTAGGGCACCACCAGAAAAGCGAAAAAGTAAGTAACGATAAAAGTTCAATAAATCAACAAAAGTTTCCACGCCCCGGTGACCGGCAAAGTGATTCACTGCACGATGTTCCCGGACTTCTGGAGCGGCACCGTAAAAAGCGACATCTGGGGCTCCGTCAACATCCTCGCCCAACATCGGCGCGTGGTCGTTGTGTTTGAAGTGAAAGCGCCCACCAGCGACCGGAAGATGAAAAGATCCACCACTTCCTCGTCCGCCACCTCGCTCCGCGCGACCCAAAGTTACCGGAGTGTCGCCTCCAGCTGGTTGCCCGAGAAACAAGGTCGTGGGGACAAAGAACAAATAGAAATGACGGAAAGTCGAAACTCTGCAACTGAGCAAGAACTACCGCAGGACCAGGAAAACGACCGAGCACGAACCCAAATCGACGAGGAGGAGGCACTCACCTCCGGATCCAGTAGTGCTATCGACAGCGAGATGAGCAGCGGGAACTTCACCGCGCTATCTACGCCACAGCCCGACGTAGAAGTACTCGATCACATGTCCTCTTCGCCGGACGATGGTGGTCCCGGGTTGCTGTCCTCTCCGGTGGAGTATGCACTGCAAAAATGTCTGGGTCTGGAAACTTGTAATGCTGAATTGTGAGTAGTGAATTCTCTCTAATGCACAGCCAAGCATAAGAAATATTCGCGCGGCTTAGTGTTGCGCTTTCCGCATGCCAAACTGTGCTGTGCATGACAAGCAAAACGGTAAGGGTTTCTTCTTGGACACGCATCACAAACTCTTTAGTCATGCCAGACAAGCATGACGAACCTCGCATCCTTCCAGACCCAGACATATTTGCATTTGATATTGAGGAGGAAAATGGTTCTTCTTTGTCCGGTTCGCCTGCGCGTTCCAGCACTTCTGCTGGCCCCGGTGTTGAGCAAGAGGACTCGGTGCACCGAAGGCGACTGGGTGCGACAAGCAGCTCGTCTTTTACACCCACTAGAACGGCGGGTTCCAGTGATGGAACTAAAAATGCTTCCCCTGGCACTGCTGAAACAAATCCTTCCCGAAGAAAAGAAGCAGCAGCAGCGTCGTCAGGCTTCTCTACTACGACTCCGGTCACCCCTGGCAATGCAAACGTAGTTTCGAATGAAGAGGACAAGAACAATCTTGCATCGCTGCCAGCGTTATTTCCTGCCCGTACCAGCAGCGCAGCATCATTCCAGTCCACCGATTCGGGGATCTCTTCGACCACACGACAGCAGCAGCAGAACCAACAAGTGCCGCGGAAGAAGTACGTGGCGATGGTGATTGTCGGCGGGATTACCGTGGATAGCATCAGGATGGACATCCACTGCGACATTGACAAGAGTTCGCGGACCAAGGAAAAGCAGCAGCAATTCGAGGCAGACGACGATTGGCTGGATTGCAACGCGCCATTGCATACGGAAATCGCAAAAGTATCGCTCTCGCATGAAAAATTGCATCACAAATGCTTTGTTCAGGTTGAAAAAATGAATTTGTAATGCTAATTTAGTAAGTACCTCATCCTCAGTACGAGAGAGATTTGTCATGCAGTACTGCAATTTTTACGACTATCGGAGCGCGAAGATACTTTTGCCCTGGACATTGCACCACCCGAACTCCACCGCAGTTTTGGACGACAGCACGACCGAGTCCTCCTCGCAGGAGGAGGACGACCACGACGGGAGTTCCAAAAATAGCGGCGAGAATGTCGAATCCAGTCTAAACAACCGGCTGAGAAGCGGTAAACCAGCGTTGACGCAGCTCCCTGCAGCAGCCAGCACGGCGTCGACGGCAAGCATGTTGAGTGAAGAGGACGTGGAACTACAAGAAGATCGAAATGTGGACGAGGTCGAAAACAGCCAGACGTCGGGGAAGAATTTGTCTGGCGGGCAGGCCGGTAGTTCTAGCAACTCCTCAAAGACCTCCACGAGCAAAAGACAGTACGTGCGGAAGGGCGACAAGATCGGGTGTTTCGCGCGCGGTGGCAGTCTGGTTGCCATGTTTTTCTCGCACAGTGTGCGCCTCGACCCGGCTGTCACGCAGACACGGGAAAAATTCGGGCCTATGGACTTCAAACTGCACTTCGGGGAAAGTCTAGGGAGCATGCTGTTTTAGGGGTAAAAAATAAAGTGAGGATATATAATTGAATTTTAACCACATGATCAGACGGGCCATTTAGTTGTTCTAGTTGCACAATGAGAGAAAATACAGGACTACTCCTACGTAGTGATGATGGAGAAAATACAGTACTACTAGTCCTGATGTGGTAGTAGAAATTATAGGGAGGTGCGGCTGCGAGGAGAGCAGTTTGTCCCTTCAATGACAATGAGGAATTCAATGCCCTCGATGCGATTATCATTATTGCCGCTGCACCAGCAGCTGTTTGATGAGTGTACAAAAGAAATAAAACGTAGTATACTAGTAGATCATGCGCTTCTCCTCTCAAATTTATGGATGCTTTGAATTGACGAAGGCGAACTCCCACGACTGGCGCAACTAGATTCGGCTCGGCGAATATGAATCAGAATCTTCGTCATATTGATTTTAAGTACATACACCTACATGCGAAAAATCCGAAGCAACAGTGGCAGCTGTCAAAGGAGGGTAAGAACTACTGCTGTTCTTTTTCCGAAACTTCGCTGTCCAGTTTTGGTGACGCGAGGTAGCAAGTGCTTGGCGCAATTTTCTCCCCGAAGGAACGTTGTTTCCACCTTTATAGCAACTACTCAAGGACGAGAAAGCGACGTGCCTGAGGGAGAGAGCAAGAGTACCTGCAGGTCTTCTGAGGTTGACATCAAACCTTTCTACATGTAGAAAGTTAACGCTACGTCTGTATTCGTGGGCGTGCTCTTATCTTGCTTCCCGCTTCGCATTTATTGTACGGTACCGCAAAGTAGATAGAAGCAGAAGGGGATTTGGAAAAATCAAAGTCATGTCCTGTGTACCCAGGCGGGGGCCGCACGCCGCGGCACGGCTGCTGTGTGCCACCTACCTGACCCAGGCATTGCTGGGCCCTTCCAGTCTGGTGGTTCGCGGGATCAAGCCCGTGACGCTGGTGGAGAAGACAAAAACTACGACAAAATTGGCGAAGGAAGAGATTGAGCCGGTTACCCTGGTGCACAAGAAAACGACGAAATTGGAGTCTTCGGCCGAGGGAAAAGCGGAGAAACGGAAAGCAGAGGAAAATAAAGCGGAGATCAAAAAAAAGGCCACGAAAGAGAAAAAGGCGGAAGAGGGCGCAGACGCTGAGGAGAAAGCCGAGGAGAAACTCGAGGAGAAAGCCGAAGAAAAAGCCGAGGCTGAGGAGGGCAACGAGGCATCGGCGGAGGAAGAGGTCTATCAAATGCAAAAATGTCTGGGTCTGGGAGGTTGCGAGATTTGTCATGCTTGTCTGGCATGACTCTGAGCCCTGTGTTGCAAAAACGCAGTTTCTCACGCGTAGTACGCAACTCAGAACCATGGAAAAAACTTGTCATGCTTGGCAGCGCACTATAGTGAGTTCACTATTCCCTCTCTTGCATCACAAGTTTCCAGACCCAGACATTTTTGCAATTCATAAGGTCGAGGAAAAAGCGGACGCCGAGGAGGGCAATGAGGCCTCGGCGGAAGAGGACGCCGAGTCGGAGAACCAAGCCTGGCGGGTCGCGGCGAAACAAGAGCGGGTGGACAAGGTGAAAGCAAGATATGCATTGTCGGACCGTGTCGTACTAGTAGATTTTCAACAAATGATCGCACTTTTCATTTTGTTCAAACTTGTTGAAATAATTATCAGAATGAATGGACTTCGTCAACACGGTGGTTCACAACGAGGAAGCAAGAAGCGCATGATCTGTCATGCATGATCAACCCGTTTAATACTATAACGAGTACGACGCTTTTGCAGTGGATCTATGACGCATGATGAGCAAAGAAGCGATCGAGGAGCGAAGCAGGAAGACCAAGGCGCAGTTCAAGTCGAGCCGGCACTTCTGCTACTGGACGGAAGACACGTACTTCAAGGAGGAAGACGCCGCGGGGAAGCACCAGCGGCGGGGCACCTTGGAGGAGCTGACGACGAAGGCTGCCTTATCAAATGCAACTGTGTCTGGGTCTGGAAGACTGCGCGTTTCGTGGGACGGCAGGTTTCTTCGCATGACCGAGGAGGTTTGGAATGCGGGCTCTTGCATCACAATCTTTTAGAGGGCTCGTCGATGCCTATCTTGCATGAGAAGCGTTGTCTTGATCGGATGATCAAAGACAAAATTGAGGAGCGCTTTTGCTGGTCATGCAACACAGATTTTTCTTGTCGACGAGACCTAGCATCACAAACTCGGTTTCTTCCAGACCCGCACATATTTGCCTTTGATATGCGTACGAGCTGTACAAGGAGGTGCCGACCGTGACGGCGGACGACCTGGCGGCGCTGGTGACCAAGAAAAAGGCCGCCGTGGTGGTGTTTTTCGCAACCTGGTGCCCCTTCTGCACGAAGGTGGTGGAAGAAGGCCAGGACGACGACACCCCGGCGCCGTACTCCGAATTTTGGGGCGAGGTGCACGACGACGACCTGTTGAAGGACAAGCTGGAAGTAGTGAAGTACGACGCTTCGATATCCAAGAAAAAAAGGTTGTTAGTGTAAATTTGTGATGCGCAACATGCAAATTGATTGCGCCTGTCGTGCTGGGCATGCATTGTAGGGTCCATTCAACGGCGTTTTCCCGTACTATCTGCGCATGACAGGTTTTTCCTGTCATGCGAGAGATATTTGTGATGCTAATCCTCCAAGAAAGTTACACCCACAATCTTTTTTTTCTGGATATTCGAACACCGAGGACTTGGAAAAGGTGCCGAAGGAGTTCGGGCAGATCAAGTTTTTTCCAAACGTGAAGGGCCTCACGGCGGACGGCAAGCTGAAAGAGTTTGACAACGACCCGCGCTCTATCCAAGAGAAATATGATACATAATGTCGGGGTCTGGATAGAAATGATTTGACATCGTCTGTCGTGCAGTTCTTGCAAGTACATGTAAGTAGGACAGGAGGCCTGGAGTGCATGCGGAGCATGACAAATTCTGCGGAGCAGTGGCTTCACCTGTCTATAGTCGGCATGGATGAGGAACAATGCGAATGCCCTCTCTAGCAGACAAAAGTCGCAAGGTTCTTTTGCGGAGCTATGCAACACAGTTTTTTACCTGTTCCCCGCATAGTAACAGGTTTACATCACAGTTTTGCATCCTGTACTTCCAGACATCCGGGGATGAAGATATTTCTCATGCATACGCTCCTCGGACGAACTCTTCGAGTTCGGCAAGGCAGTGGCGGGCGAGGCCCAGGGCCCGAGCATGAAGTATGCTGTGCAAAAGTATCGTACTCGTATAAATGCATTACAAATTTCCTCAGCATGAGAGCTGGACTTTGTCATGCTGTTTTACCTTAAGGACAAGACTTGTCATGCATAAACGCAATTAGTACGAGTGCGATACTTGTGCTGAGGATATGAAGGTCACCTTGACAATGACGGGCCGGAAAATGACGGGCAAAAAGTAAGAACCGGGACGAGGAGAACGTGCGAAGAGGAGCAATTTATGTTCCATGTAACAAGCACGCGATGTTTCTAAACGATCCAGGTGCGACTACGTGGCTGAAATCACGATTCTGTACGATGATTATTTCCAACAAGAAGCAATAAAGCGAATACAAGGGTTGATTTTTTGGAAGAAAATTTAAGCTAAGTTTACTGTGTCCGTCGCGTTGAGGATTGATTTATTCTAAATTGAGACAGGACATCGGCTAGCACTTATCGGAGATTTTAAAAAAATTATGAGGTTCATAGTATTACCCTGGGGCGGCAATATAGTCACTGATGAAGTAGAGCCCCAGGTTTGAATGTAAGTACTGAAGATCTGGACTGCGGCGGGCCTGTGAAACCTTTTTTTTCTGAAAATTTCAAATGAAATTCCTATCTCGGAGATCGGTGGCAGCAAGAAAAGCATGGAGTTGTTGCTGGTGTTACAGTTCTCACTTATTCACAAATAAATTTAAATACACCGCACACTCGTTGCCGATGTCTTCTCCTATCTGGCAGTAGCGCAGCAGCGTTGCGTTTCTTTCTGGACCTTCGTTACTCAGTTTTTTCTTTTCGTCGTCACGTGTGTGTATCAGATTTCTGAAATCGTTCTTTGTCTCGTTCCACGTAGAAGTAGAACGAAGATGAAAGCGTTCGTGCGCCATTTGTTTCGTCTTGCCTGGTACCTCGTTGGTTTCCTCCTCGTTCAAATCGTTGTCGTGGAAAAAGCGTTGCTTCGTCGCACAGACTCTTTCGTCCTCTTCCTTCGAAAATTGTATGCTTTCTTCAACAGTTGTGTTTGTGATGCAGTGTCCCTGCTGTGCGAACCGGAGACGGCATTTGGGAAAGGTGTATCAGTACTTCTAGTAGCTTTGCTCATGAAGATAGATCAGATCTCTTTATTTCTCTTGTTCCTGTTTCGGAATACCAGCTGTCCTACGTTGTAGCTTTTATTGCTTCAGAGGTATTAGCGGGTAGAGTTTCAGTTTGTTTTTTTTTGTTAAACAGCACCAGTCGGCACTATGGTCGTAGAACTGCAGCAGGGTCGTGGCCTTTCTCCCGCCTCCGCCACCTACGGTGCGTGGGTGGAGCGTCGCGCAACGGATTTTTGTGAGCAGCTGAATAGGGACCTTGAGGACCAGTCCGCGGCAGACCGGCTAAAGATCGGAAAAGACGTCCAGCACGCCGCGGACGTTCTGAACAAAAACGCGGCCCGTGCGGAACAACAAGCGGTTGCGGAAAAGACGCTGGACGCGCATTTATCCTGCAGCGCGGCAGCCAAGGCGGGGCGACTGTGCTGCAAAAACAGCATGACGGACGCCACGGACGGCCGCGTGATCGGCGCGCCGCTATTTGTCTGGGTGCCGGGGAAAGTGAACAATTACTACGCGGACGCGGTCGCCGGTGTGGGGGCAGCACACGCTGCGAACAACGCGAACGGAGGACAAGCTCCAGTGCCGGACCGGCCTGCGTTCGTTGTGCGCGAAGATGCATTTCGCGAAGTAGTGCTCGCGCCAATGCGTGCAGCTATGCGGAACCGGCCTGAAGAACTTCCGATGCTGGAGCGGCCGCAACCCAACGCGGCCCTTCGAAATGTTGTTCACCCGCCGCAGGAGAACGTGAACAACGCGACCACTGCCTCAGCTACTCGGCCGCACTACGGTGCGCGGATCGAGATTTGGCATCGACACGCGGAGGGCGACGGCCGGCGGTTCCGCTTTGTCAGTGCTTTTCCAAAATACGGCTCGAACAAGATGTCGGTGGTGTTCGGGCCCCTCGGGGATTCGCTCGTCCAAGACCAAATGCGCGCGTGGATGGCTGCGGTCCGCCGCTCGACTGCCCGGGGAGAATCCTTAGCCGGGTCGTCGTCCTGCTCCTCTCCTGCGGCACTGTTTCCACTCCCAAATTTGCCCGACGAGGTGTTTCACCAGATCAAGTCTTTCCTGCGACCGGTGGAGTCGGTGCTGCTGAACCCAACGCACCTCGCGTACCTCGCGGGACAGCGGCGGCTGCAGGACCTGGAGCGCGTCCTCGACCACGCTCTGGCCGCTTGTCTGCAGGACATGCAGCAGCAGGCGGCGAGTGTGCACCCCGGGTTGACGAAGATAAATGGGAAATTGTTTTTGTCAACCGACCGGCTGAAGGTCTGGGAGAGCGGGAATTTGAGCCTCGGCGTCAAGCTCGGCAACACGATCTGCTCCGTGGAGGGCCCCCGGGTGTGGCCTTGCAAGGAGGAGGAGGAAGTGACCGGGAGCGCAGCGTGGGAGGCACAACGGCTGCAAGACATCGCCGCGAAATGTAGCATGGTGCCGCCTTCCAAGGCAGAGGCCCGGTTTGATAACATTATGTCCGCGCTCCGTACATTCTTTGAAGGAAAAGGGCTCACCTTTTCACCAAGCGACCAATGCCGCGCCAGCTTCGCCATCGCGTGGCCAAGAAAACAGAGCGCAGAGGACGGCGAGGCAGCATTGCGGTAAACGGGAAGAAGCATAGTACTCGAACACTTTGGCGGAGAAGTCTACTCAGCTGGTCAGAATGTGTTGTAAGAGTACTAAGTAGTTTAGTCGTTTGAGGAGGTAAAAAGCTGCTTACGTGGGCCCTTGTGGCGCTGTTATTTTGCGTTTTCCCTTGCACAGTGAGCCACGCTACTTCTTCGCTGGTCTTTTCTTTTTCTATTCTCTTTGTACTAGCACTATCTGCTTGCATGGCGATGTGAATATTAAGGAGTCGCATCGATGCGCGAGTAGCTGTAAATTTACAGTACTACGATATTTTTTTTTTTGAAAACCATGATATGTCACCTACCCGTTTCAGCTTCCACTGTCTACTGAATTCATTTTCTCATCATGATCTATGAAAGAATAAAGCTCCTCCTTGATGACGTCGTTTTCAAAAAGAGGAAGACCGTAGTCGGATTGGTTTTCGCGTAGAAGACTTGCAGCTCTACTTCAGGAACTGTACATATTTTTCCGTCTCTCGTTGCCAGAGAGAGTTCGAGTTGTCATTCGCCGGACTTCTTCTGAAACGAGTGCCGTTGCATTGAAGCTGTTGTCTTTGTCTTCCAGTGGCCGATATGTCGGGCCTTTTTGGGGGACCTAGTACTCCGACGACAGCACGAAAACCGAGGACGGGTCTGCTCGTGCTCGCCTGGAAGGATATCATTTGAACCAAATTTACAAAACTAACCACATACCACGTATCTCGCTTTCTTCAACATCAGCGCGACAACGTCGAACCCGCGCTCTGGGGTCTTCGCAGCTAAGTACAGGAAGGGAGAGCACCCGTTAAACTTAAACTTCGCCTCTGAGGGACGTAGAGCGAGTGCTTGACAGCCTAGACGCGTGCGAGTGATCAGAGCGATGACAAACTGGGTGTAGAGTAAAACAAATTCACCCTCACCGATAATGATGAAAGGAGTGACACTTTTAGTTTTAGATACGGGCGGAAAATAAACTGCAAGTCACTGTCGAAAAAAATGAAATGCAGCCTACGTATTGCGCTAAAAATGTTCTAAACACGTAGTGAAATTGTGACTCATTGTCAACATCATGTCGCTGCTCCGCCGGTTCGCCGACGGCACTTCAGATTTTGGCACTTCCGTCCCATCAGCATCTGCCACAACTAAAGCTTCCTCCTTATTGGATAGAGGAGTGGAAGCGTGGGCCGCCGCTTTTGCTCACGGACATGACGGACGAGTTGACGCGCAAGGTCAAGGTGCGAAAGCTGCCCTAAGTTTGCTGCACCTGGACGGCCACGCGGGGCTGAGCGAAGAGGGCGCGACCCGGGTGCTCCTTGGCACGGCGCTGACCTGTTCCGTACTCGCCGCCGTCGTGACGCAACGGCAGCTGGTGAAAAGTACCGTTTCGTCCTGTCTTTTCGGAAAGAGTCCCGTTCCTGGGGAGGGAGGTGAAGAAGAGGAAAATGACCAACTCAAGAAATCGACCGCACCGACGGGGACAGTCTTAATGAATCAAACGACTGTGACATCACCTCCTGTCGATGTTGTTGACACCAGTACTAGCAAAAGCGCGCGCGAGAAAGAGACCACCGCGGTGTGCGCGTTGAAGTGGCGCTACGTGGTCGCGTTTTGGCTGGCGACCGGGGCCGACTGGCTACAGGGCCCGTACGTGTATGCGCTGTATGACGCGTATGGGCTGACGCACTACCAGAACTCCGTCCTGTTCATTTTCGGATTTGGCAGCTCCATGCTGTTTGGCGCACTGTTCGGCGGGTGGGCGGACCAGAGTGGGAGACGAATATCCAGGAAAAAAAGTGTGTAAGTGTAACTTTCTTTGAGAAACAGAATCACAAATTTGCTCTACATGACAGAGAAAACCTGTCATGCGTGGCTTGAAAGGGAAAACACAGTTAAAAAGAGGACTTCGTGGCTGTCTGGCATGACAGGTGTAACTTTGTTGCATGTTCTACAACACAAATTTACACTTAGCTTACACAGTTTTTTTCTTGCATAACGAAAATTCGCCCTGTACTACTGCCTCCTCTACGGCCTCTATCAAATGCAAAAGTGTCTGGGTCTGGAAGATTGCAACTTGTCATGCTAAATCTGCAGCATGCAAAAATCTGTGTTGCATGATTACCAAAAGTCGGCCAGTTTTGACCAAGTCGGGAGAGAGTTTCTCATGCAGGATGGGCATTAGAAAGGTCTCGCAGAATCTGTCATGCTAGGTCCTGCATTCAAGACCTCAGGGGTCATGGAAAAGCAGCATGACAAATCGCGCACTCTTCCAGACCCAGACATTCTTGCATTTGATAGCCTCGGCTGCGCGACCAAGCACTTCGCGAACTTCTACGTGCTGGCGCTGGGGCGGGTGCTCGCCGGCATCGCGACCAGTCTGTTGTACTCCGTATTTGAGTGCTGGCTCGTGTGCGAGGTCTATTCGGAAAAAGCGATCCGCAACAAGGACGACGCGCTCGCGGACGTCTTCAGCCTCGCGATCTTCGGCAACTCTATCGTCGCGATTCTGATGGGCTTCTTGGCGGAGTCCGCCGCCAATTTGTTCCCTCTCGTGAAACTCGCGGACTTTCCGTCCGTGGATTTGTACGCGGGCCACTACTGCATGCCGTTCGACCTGTCGGCGTTTTTTCTGCTGGTCACGGCGGCTTTCTTGTCGCTGTGTTGGACGGAAAACTACGGGTCTGGAAAGGAGCAACGGGTTCTGTCCGAGGAGGAAAAAACACTTCCGAACGAGAAAACCGCATTGCTGGCCAAGGCGCAGCGCCAGAGCGGAGAGAACAAGGACCACAGTAGTGACTATACCGTTTCGTCCGGCGATTCGGACGCGCCCACGAAAGCCGACACGTCCGACACCGGCAGTAACAGCAGCGGGGCAGGAGCTCGTCCTGCAAGTATCAATAACACAGCGATTGAATTCCGCGAGCAAGAGGAGGCGGACCACGAAAAGCAAATAGCGCATCCAGGCGGACCCTCCTCCTCCTCCGCCGCGGATCATGGCAGTGCTGGGGCGCTGCTGGAGGCGTTCGAGGTCTTGTGTACGAACCGGAAAGTGCAGTGCACGATGCTGCTGTGCAGTTTCTTCGAGTCCAGCATGTTCATCTTCGTGTTTCTGTGGACGCCGGCGGTGATGGCCTTGCACCCGAACGAGAAGACGCACCCCTTCGGCCTGATTTTCGCCCTGTTCATGACGGGCTGCATGCTGGGCTCCTGCGTGTTCCAGATTCTGCGCAACGACTGCAAGTTTTCGGTCTTGCAAATCGCAGGCGGACTCTTCGCGGGGTCCGCAGTCATGCACTTCCTCGCGGCCGGTCTGGTCACGGAGTTTGTGCACCTGACGGCGAGCTTTGTGGTCTTCGAAATCTGCGTCGGGGCGTACTGGCCGATGATGAGCATTCTGAAGGGTCGCGTGGTCCCCGAGCCCCACCGGGTATGCATTGGAAATATGTTTCTGGGTCCCGTCTTCTGGAAAATCTGTGATGCGAGATCTGTGATGTCATACAAGATTCAGCAGGGCAAGTCGCGTGATTTTATCCAGACTCAGGCATATTTGCATTTGATACCGCGCGGCGCTGTACAACTTCTTCCGCGTGCCGCTGAACTTCATCGTTTGCGGGATTTTGCTGCTCGACGTCTCCGTGACTACCGGCTTCTTGTTCACCAGCGGACTCCTGGTCTCCAATCTGTTCCTTCTTTTACGCAAAGTGAAAAAATGTGTGTAATGTGCTAGATGTAGTTTGGGTATAGGGTGAGGAAAGTCGAAGGATAAGTACCCATCGTAGTAGTTCTGCTGGGCTATTATGCTGAGACTGTCTACAACTCTCTCATATGGTACTTCGATGCTTCGCAAAAGCTGCGGATCAGCACACTAGAGACACTTTTTTTCTTGCATACCAGTACGCGCTCAAGCAGGAAATGGACCGCGACAACGAAAAAATCGGAGAGAGGCCAGCTGCGTAATGCTCAAAGGAGGCTTTTCAACCGCTTTTACTTTTAGGTTTCCGCTGGTTTTTGTGAACAGTAAAGAGAGTCTAAGATCAAGAGCAAGACTTGTTCTGCAGGATGATGGTGAAAGCGGTATCACGGCTGCTAGCATGCTACAGGAACCTTTTTTTCGTCACTGCTTGGTTATATGAATTATGCGCGCGTAATGTTACGTAAGAAGGACTTTCCCGGGTCTGTCACAGAGCAATTATCTTTATCCCTAGTGCAGAGAGCACAAGAAAAATACCAATTATCGAGGACCTATGTCTTTTGAAACGGTCTGGCTTCGCAAATTTTAAAAATTCGGAGCTAGGTAAAGAACATTTTAGGATCAAACTCACTTCTTCGAAAAAAATGGCGAGGGTCGTGATTTTGAAACAAGCATGATCGTTCTCGAATGGCGCAGCTGCAAGGAGGTGTCAGTCCAACGCTCCACCGGGTTCTTTCCATAGTCTGTGTAAGTACCAGCTGCGGTTTCCGTTTTTATCTTCAGTCTCAGACCAACGATGATGATGAAAGAACGATAAACATGAAGAAGCGTTGATCCTGTTGCGCTTGCGCTACTACTAACAGTTCAGAAAAAATCCTTCGCCATTTTCGTTTATCGTATTCGTTGCTGGGGTCGTCTATTCGTGTATGGTGGATGAATCACTTGCAGTTGCAGTACTCTTTGGGTCGTTCCAGTTTTGAATTCGTTAAAGCAAGTTGCTGTGGGCAAACATCACGGTCGGTTAAGAAGCAATGAGCGCACAAATACAACTGTATGTATACGAGTGCATTTGCTTACTTTGCTTCGTGGATACGCGTGCATAGACCTGATAAGTATCTTTATCGCCTTCCAGATTTAGCCTTTCTCGCCTTGCTGGTTTTTTTCAAATTGAGTGGCCTGATCGGCGCACCACGTTTTGTGTTATTTTAGACTTACGTTTTGCTTTTGTTCAAAATGTTCGGCGTTTCGTGATTAACGCACTTATCGTCACCTCCGTCGTGGTCCGACAGGTTTCTCTCGTTGCAGCTACGAGAAGATGCTTCGTTCTCGGCAAGATCATTTTCCGCAATCAACGAGTCTTCTCTCGCGGCAGATTTCGGCCCCGGTGCAACCTGGACAAGTTAGCCAGCCAACCCTTAATGGTGGGTACACAAGTTATGCAGCCGGAGGCGCCGGAGCGTGTTTCAACACTACTACGCAGAGTAGCAGTAGTAGTACCTCCGCTGTGCGGCTGCAGTCCCAGCCACTGCAGATGCCAGGGACGACGGGGTTCCAGCCCCCGCCTCATTGGGGCGCGCAGTCAATCACCACTCCTCGCGTGATGCTGCTCGGCGCTACAACCAGTGCAGGTAAAAACACCAGCCTTGGTACTATGCAGGAACCTGTGCCGGAGGACCGGCCGTTGCACTTTGACGGAACATCAAACCACGCACCCTTGCTGTTCAACGCGGAGCCCGGAGCCGTGCCACTGCAATATCAGGGGAACAAGGCGACAGCAAGGACCACGAATAGAAACTCTAATGCCAGTGTCCAGATGAGAAATTCGAACTCGTCTAACTTAGACAAGCACCCGGGTATGGATCAGTTTATGGAGGTGGATGAGGACACTTACAACTTCTGGCGCCCCTCCGAGCAGTCTTCCGTTCCCCGTTACATGGCCCCGCGCCGGAAAGATGTGTCGTCCTCGACGACCCCGAGGAAAGCCAGAGGGAGCAGGACGAGCCCACGCGGGGTCGTACTAGACGCCGACCGCGAAGCACCGGACCAGGATGGTGTTACAAACCGGGCGACCCGCAACAAGACCCCGCCACCAAAAACTACTTCGCAATCCGCACGACAACCCCGCAGCGCGCGAGCCAAGACCCCACCGCCCAGTACTGGTAGCGCAACTAAAACTGATACCGCAGTTGTGGAGCAGCTCGACACAACACCGAAATCTGCAACCCCGTCGAAAACGCCCACGGAGGGGAGCAGCGCGGCCGGGTTCTTGCAGAACTTGAGCACGCGCAACGTGCCGCACATCGCCGTGTTGCGGGAGTTGCGGGAGGCGCAATTGGAGCTGAAAAAGATGGGGGAAGAACTTCAAGCGAAGGAGGAGACAGCGCGGCACCTGAAACAGAAGGCCGACAACTACCGCAACAACCACACGAGACTCGTGCAGGAGAATGCGCGGCTGAAAGCTGTTGCTGCTCAAGTGGCCGAGGCGGAAAAAGCGAAAGAGCAAGAGGAGCAGAAGGTCGAGGACTTGCTGATGCAAATGCGGGCGAAGCGGGATCGCGAAGTGGGCGAACTGAAGGAGGAGCAGGCGGTCTTACTCGAGGCCATCAGCTCGCACCAGCAGGAGGCGCAGGTCTACAAGGCGCGCGCGGAAAAGTGGAAGCAACGGGTGGCGAAACAGACCGCCCGGGTGCAGGTGGAAAGCGACGAGGACGAGCTGCCCAAGCCGGACCCCGCCATCCTGGAAAAGTTGGCCAAGATGCGCGAAGCCTTGAAGAGGGGGGAGAAAGCGGCACGCGTGCTGGAATTCGGTAAAGAATTTGATTTATGGATTTAAACCTTTGTTTATGTAGTTTGTGTTTTTCGGTCATTTTTAAGCATTGACTCTCCACCTTCTCCTTCTCACCCCCAGGTCCCAAGAAGGCGTCCAAGGGTTCGGAGGCCGGGAGCGTCGACAGTCCCGATGGCAGCGTGCCGGCGGAGGACCCGCTGAGTCCGCTTGAGGAGATGGCGGTCTCGGTTGACGGTGCGAAGTCGTACGCGGTGAAGCTGTGGGCGGAGTGCGCCGCGCTCCTAGAGGAGAAGCGGCTCACAGGGCGGTCCGCGGCGACGGCACTGCAACTGGAATTACGCGTCCTTGAGCACGCGGTGGAGCACCGCGACAAACGGATTGCGGAGTTGGAGGAGAAGGTAGCGAGCGACGCCCACCACACCGGGGGACTGACCCTGAAGCAGAAAACACTTGACCTGGAGCACGCGCTGACGAGAATAGCGAAGATGCAGACACACGTGTACGAACTGGAACTGAAGTTGGGGCAAAGCAAGGAGCAGCTGGCGAAAAACAAAAACCGTGGAGGCGCGGAAGAACAAGACGAGGACGCGCCTGAGCTGTTGAAGGATTTGCTTTTCGAGGATGTCGACGGAAATAACGCAACAAGATCCAAGCAATACCGCCAGAGCAAGCAGAACAGTGAGGAAGACAATTTCTTCTTTGACGGCGGGACAGAGGAGACCACCTCGAAGGAAGTTGCCCCCAATGTAGAAGACGATGAAAAAGAAAAGGTGAAGCAGGCCGCGTTGGAAGCGCTCGCGGCGGAGAATGCTCCTGTTAAAGAAGGTGTAGGAGCTCTTGATGTTTCATCCGAAATCGGGAATGTAGTCCGCACTGAGCAAGAACAAGTAGACTCAGCGCCAGCACAGACGGGTGCAGCGCAGGAGGGGGTGTCCTCCGGAGCAGTAAAAACTGGAGCCGGGAAGAACAATAAAGCAGTGGCGCAGAAGCCGTCTGGAGGGACGGCTGGAAAGAAGCCAGTGCAGGTGGTCGTGGAGACGACCGCCACAGCGAGACAAGACACTGCTGCACAAGTGCAAGGAACGAGTGACGCAAGCAAAGATGAATCGCCGATTGGAGCTGCCTCCACCGAAATGGAAAATTCAGAGCAGGTAGTCCCTTCTGGTGCTACTTCCGACCAGGCCACATCGCCGCCGAAGTCGGGCTTCTTTGGTTCTATGTTTGGTAGCATGTTCGCCGGCAGTCCCAAGGCGGATGATCTCCAAAACTCAACCGAGAATAAAGAAACGTCCGGCGAGGAGGCGGGGCGAATGGAGAGTGGTGGAGACGGGTACACTTGTTTTGTCGACCAGAAATTGTAAAATTGTTTTTTTTTCATATCGTATTCATTCATGATCACAAGCATGCTATCAGGGATAGCGACACACGTCGATTTCGTGCCTAAAAAAATATCTGCTCCAATTTCAATCAGAACCGCTTCTGGTGCAGCCAACGCACCCGCCGAGCAGCCAGGCACTGTGAAGACGCAGAACTCGGCAAAAAAGTCGAGTGTAGGAATACCAGGAACGAGAAAATCCGGTAGTAGTACGAGCCGCAAGCAATCTCCAGACAGGCCGGTGAAGGTGTCCTTTAGCGAAAATAAAGGTGAAGTGAGTGAAGGAAAAAAGGGGAACAAAAACAACAACGCAAGTAGCAGCGCGGAGAATTCTTTATCGCTGACGACCAGCCACCCCGGGCAACTGAACCACCCGATTTTCCGAAGCTCCGGAACCGCTAATCACGTTCAACACGGAACGCCCAGTGGGCGGGACAGTCATAGTCAGCACACGCCGCACCAGGGAGCAGGTGCACCACACAGCGCGCACCTGCCTTTCGGAAAGCGGTTGCACATGAAGCCGCTCGCTTCACCGTGGAAAGTTCAGTCGGGACCAGGGAATACCCAATCCGCACAGGCAAATAATGGCACTGCAAGTGTGCAGATTCCTCGTGCGCCCTGGCACGCGCACCACGTCATCAAGAGCCACACACCGCAACACCCCCCGGCGTCGGCGGGAACGAATTTTCAGTCGGGTACGAACGCCGCGCCTCAACATCAGGACGAGGGTACTAATAGTAACGCTGCTCGCGGCAAGAATTCGCCCGCGACATCCTCGAAACGCACCCTGAGCCCGGCCAACAGTAGCCCGAAGCACGTTGCTTCCCCACTGCAGGCGGGACGCGGCGGCTCTTCGCCATCGAGACTGAAAGCGAATCCCAGTGCGACGAAGAGCCAACAGCGCAACTCCAAATCCCGCACGGACGCACTGATGGAGCACATCTCGAAGGTACGAACGAAGCACGAGTCCGTGGCGCAGAAGCACAAGCAAGAATTGCTGTTCGCTCCGCCCACTGGACGGAGTTCAGGCTCCTCGTCCGACCACTACAACGTCCTCACCGGAGAAATAAATCAAGATCTGGACGACGAGGAATACCACATGTCCACCTTGCACAGAAAGGGCGGGTTGTTGGCCAGCACGAGACTTTCGCACGCGTTGCACGACGGCGTCGACCACCTTTTCGGGACCGGTGAGCGGGCGCGGCAGGCTCTGCACGAGGAGGAACAGGCTGTAGCGCTGCAGAGCAGAAATCTACCGCCCAAGCCGACACCGCTGTTCTACGAGAGCGAGTCCAAGATGAGCAACTTGTACCCGCAGTCAGAGCTTGTTCAGTCCGATCATGAAGCGGGGTTTTTAGTTGATCAGGAAGTAGATCTTCAAGAAGATCATGTGGGGCAGTCCTGCGCAACTGCTTTGCTGAACAACGGCGGCGTGGTTACTAACGTCGGAGGAGATCATGACCACGACCACCAGGATAACTCAACACCGCTCGCACACCAGCAACGGTTTATTGCTCCTGCGCAAGAAGCGTCGTCGTCGGAAGAGCAGCCGACCGTCGAGGTAGACGTAGGAGATGAGGTGGAAATCGACCTCCGAGGCATAATCGATCTTTTTCCAGAACAAGTACACCATGCTGCAATGGCAGGAAGGGATAATCATTCGGAACACCAACTTGATGAAGGAAATTTTTACGTTAGGCACGAATTATCGACTGTAGAAAACCAGTCGAAAAAATTCCTAAACTACCTCCCGGGAGGTGGAACAACTACAAATGCAGACCGAGATGACGAGAGCGAGACGCCGCTTCACCTCGCTGATCAACAAGTAGATGACCACACAGTTCCTGATATTGCGCCGCCGACGAGAACAACTACGGCAAGCATTGTCAAAACCGCCTATTCCATCGTCGAACGAGAAGTGGGACCAAAATCTCCCATGCACGCTGCCGCCGCAAGGACGCCGCGATTGGTATACTAGTGTGCTAGTCGTTCTTTGATTTTCGCTGCTGCATTCTTCTTTGATTCTTCTTCCATTTTTCGATGCTGCACTCGCACCGTTTTTCGAAGCCTTGTATTCCGTCGTAGCGGTCGTGGTCGATGCATTGTTCCATGTGCCGTGTATTGTTGTACTTCACCTGAGAACAACGCAGCATTGAAATTATCGATCCCTAAACTGTATCAAACTAACAGATCCTTCATGACCCCGTGACTGCTGCCAAGAAAGAGGTTTCTTCGTGGTCAAGAGAGGAACCCGGCAGTATCAGCCATGAGTACAGCGACCTGCTCCACGTTCTAAGCTAAAAATATCGCGCTCAAGACAGCTTGTTATATGTTTTGCCCCTGCTCCTGTGGTCAATGTCTTTGCAAGCAGTGCGTAGCTGCTGTGCGCTGCTGGGGCAGCACTTCTAGATTTATTTCCATACGCACACGACGAGATCAGAATCAGATCCATCTTGTATGCAGAAGGTGAAAATGCATGATGAGCTGCATGCACTTCCATCTCAATCTCTTCGATTGGTTTTGCCTTGGTACGAGGAACTAGTGGAGGGGGAAGTTTTTTTCACATGACAGGAGGCCGGAAACCAAAAATTTTGCGGGCCACACTGCGACGCAATTGAGCCGGCGAGCTAGCACTGGATCTTGATGGGAACGGTGCTGCGCTTTTTTTTACAATCAAACTTTCACATCTTCGTTCATTTTCCACCCTTGAGTGACATTGGTATGCTCTGAAGCACTTCTTGGATGGTAGTATCAATCAACACTAACACATTGCTGTAGAAGTAGTACGAGAGAAATAAGTACCGTTGCTTATGACTGTATATCATGCCAGAATTATATGATAATTGTTTCCGTTTCCTAGAATTTTCTTTTTCGTTCAGTTGCAAACAGGCGGAAAGAATTATAGACTGAAATAAATCGAACCGTGTAGAATGAATTTGAGCAGCGATCAGTTCGTGAAATCACAATCCGTTTTTTTTTGTTAGTCTTTGTTTTTAAGGCTGATTCTTGAGCAGTAGCAGTAGCCATTGCCATGCCATGTCCACCTGTTCACTGTTCTCGCAGCAGTGGTGAAAAGCATCTTCGTCTTTGTCCCTTTTATCCGGGCAAAACCGAGACGAGAGAGCAAGGACGTGAAACAAAGTGCAGCGTGTTGTGCCATCGGTGGCTCGTAGCATGTTTTAATCTTCGTCCGAAGACTATTAGTACTGTTGTGCCCCGGGTGAGATCGGGGAATCAGGGCAAGTGACAGAGATAAAAGGGGCACGTGCTCCTGAAGTAAGTATTCCGATTACAAGAAGAAGATGAAGACCTGGTAACAGAAGATGAAATAAAAATATTGTCTTATGAATGAAGATCAAGATCCGCAAAGTCTGTCAACTTAATGCTCTGTGGTGATCCGCAAGAGAGTCTGGTCTGTCAACTTAATGAAGATCCGCAAAGTCTGGAACAAATTAATGCTCTGTGGTGATTGTTGGATCTGGATGTTCGTCATGAGAAGAAAAGCTCTGTGTCCGAAATCTGATCGCCATGGCCCCCCGCTGTCCGGAAAAATATATGTGTGACGATCTCGAGGACTACGGGTAAGAATAGCTTACAAAATTATAAAAAGCAAGGACTTCATCTTCATCTTCACCTCAAAAGTCATTTTCTGTTGATGCTGATCGGTAGCCCTACTAGCATCTTGATCTTTCTTCAACAGACTACGTACGCAGGAGCTCCTCTTGAAGTAAAAACAATTTTTTGTTTACAATTCCAACTTCTCACTGTGTTGCTCTAAAACAAAGTGCAAATCTTGCCTCTGCCTACTACCAACACTCAAGATTTTTAACTCGAAAAACATCCCTGTAAACAAAATTGCAAGCGCTAAGGTTACGCTGCCTCGCGCTATTTCGGAAGCTATTTTCTTGTTTTTCTTTTTGTAGTACTCGCGCCCGCGCGCTACTAAATCTTACTAATATCAATTACTTTTTCATGGCATCGCCAATTCGGTAGTAAAAGACTTTACATCAAGCGTTTTCAAATTCATACACCTCAAAATAGAGACCGGCGCAAGTTACAACATCATGGTGTGGAAGAAGATGGCCCCGTGTGTTTCGTGGAATTTCGTCGCGGCCTTGTTCGTCCTGGTAGCGGTTGAGAATGGCGCATTCTGTGGGTGCCAAGCGTTGGAGCTCCAGGTTGGCATGAATGCTATTCGGCGCCGCGGTAGTCGGTGTCGGAGTGGTCGGCATCATCACGCTGCTCATCGTCCCGCCTCCAGCAGTAGCAGCAGTGTACCCAATCCGGATGCCGCAAATCATGGGCAGACCACTCAGAGTGCAACCAGCGACCTAGAGGACTTCTTCGCCCCTATCCCGCTCCACTCGGGAGGAGCAGGACCACGAGGAGGGGCGCGGGAAGGGGCGTCTAGCGCTAGTAGCAGTAGTACTAGCACACGAACTCCGAAAGCCGTAAGAACGCCTTCGCAGGATCACCATGAAGATGCGCCGCCGGCCGGGGACGCAATTCGCCGGGAACACCCTCTTGAACCTGTTGGCGCGCGGCTGGCGTATTCTGCAGATTTTGCAAATCTCCTCGCCCAGAAAACGCTTTATGACGCGACAACTGCCGGCCGGCGCACCATGCCCGTTACGGCAGCTGCCGGACCGCGAGCTCCACAAGGGTCACCCTCCCAGGGTCGCCAGGTTACAGCACCGAAGGCGATGGGAATTGCAGCTGTTGGAGAGGAGCGCCTAGGGACAGTGGGTCTGGGGTCCTTTTTGACTGAGGATGGAAAGGCATGCCTAGCCATGGCCGGGCGCGGCTGGCCGTGGACCGCCCGCAACGAGACTGAGCGCTTGGAACTTTCTGCGAAATTGATGATTGTCACCTTTGCGCGGAACTTTCTGCAGAGCCTGCTGGCGTACCGCCCTGAAGAGAGGCCGCACAGCCACGGGTTTGGCCGTCGAGTACAGGGGGAGCCGAGCGCAAGCGAAAGGCGGGTCGGTCCTCATTTGTCGCCGCAAGAGCTCTTGCTCACGGTTCCGCAGCATGGGCCGTGGATGCATGAGTACACTCCGAACCAGGTGCCCCGCCAGGGGTTTCCACCGATAACGGAAGAGGGGCTCTCGGCAGCTCTGCTCCGAGGCCGACCATTTTTCAAGCCGCCCGTTGCGATGTGGCGCAGTGGTTTCGTGATTGATGAAGCTGAACAAGAAGACAGCGCGCTGGAGGGGCCGGTCCGAAGGAAAGCTACAACCTCCGTTGTTTTTCGCCTCGAGAGCCGGGAACAAGTCAGCTACTACCGAACGGTCGACTACGACCGGGGCGAAAATCAACCCGACTATAGGCCGCGGCCGCAATATGCACAGCTTGTTGACGACGCTGGGCAGCCCGATGAGCGTTCATACGTTCGTGTTACGAAGCCGAAGTTTGTCGCTGAGTTTGAATTCACGCTCAACACGACTCCAGGGAACAACGAAGTGGCCGAACTTGCGAGGGCCGACATCCTGCTACGGCACGCGCCCTCCGAGCCTTGTGACCGCAGCCAGGCAACGCAAATGTGGGCGTCGCGGGTCGTCATCGCTCCTGCGCTAGTAGGACCACGAGTGCCTCCCGGTGCCGGTCCTGACGATAATTATTTCTGTACCGCCGTGGACGGGGACCACCGCCGCAAATTTGCGGGCTACTCGGACCCCACAGCTGACTTTCCAGCTCCGACATCGGGCAAGCGCTATCGTATCCAAAATTGCTCCTTTGAGGAAATGGGAGGCGTTCTCGGGGCGGGGATTGGGTTTGGGGAGAGGAGCCTGTATGCGCCGCCGGAGGTGACTCGAAAACCGGAATTCGGCGAAGCACTACACAACATGAACGAGAACTATTTCGCATAAGTGCAGCAATATTTGATACTTTTTGTTGGTGTGGTGATGTTTTGCATTTCATTTTTTTTTTCTGCGGTTTTGCTTTTGTTTCCTTAATTTTATTTAATTGACTATTCGTTATCTTATGTTTATTGTCTGACTTTGTTTTCTCCCCACAGCTCCTAAAGTTGTGTCTGTTTCTTGACGATTTTGCCTTGCAAAAGCTGGAGGTTTTGGAACATTCATTGCATCTCGTGTTACACTAAAATTTTCAAGCATTCATTAGCTATACTAGCTTAGAAAGAAGGAGAAGCACTTCCTGACAAAAACACCTATGGTGGAAGTAGATGGTAGGCGCCCTTCCGAGCCAGTAGCGGAACGGCGCAAGTAGTGATTGTATAATGATCTTCGAAGGCGCATCAAGTAGTGTTTGTATAATGATTTGAACATCACTCTAACTTTGGATTTTAAGTGTAGTTTTTTAACAACAACATGATCATCAACGAGAAAGGTCGAGAAAAGTAGTAGAAAGAGGAAACGAACAAAGAATCGTAGTTGTAGCCAGATTTTGTTATTTTTCTTTGAGTTAGCAGGTAGTCTTATTCCCGTTTATTTTTGAAGAGAGCACAAGAGCAGTCGCAGTTCCAGTTTTTTCAGCGCTTGTTCTGGTGCAAAAGGGGACTTTTATTGAAATAGCGCTAGTAGAGAAAAAAGGCGAGTAAACGCGTTCCCACCTTGACGCATAAATACAAACAAACCAACATCTTCGAAGGCCAGTGATTTTTGGGTGTAGTAGTACTGTAGGATGTGTACTGTACGATGATCTTCATCATATTCATAGGCCGCTGTCTTTTGGGTGCACTGGCCAACAATAACGATCGAAGACGTTGGGTCAACATGTATGATGATGGAATTATTTTTGGACTGAAAAAAGCAGAAGGTGAAGGTGTATTAGAGAATGAAACGAGGTTCACGAGGACATCACCGTGCTGAATTTTGTTCCGGCAGTTCGCGCTAGCGTGTTGCGCCGTCGGTGGGTCGTAGTACTTAGCATGTTCAAATCTTCCGACCGAAGTAGACTTCTAGTAGTAGTGCGTATTGTTGCGCGTCGTGTGGTCAGTATCGCGATCATCGCGTCGTGAAATCAGGAGGGCGAGTGACAGATATTTTCATAAATTGGGGCACGTGCAGCGAAAGTATTCCGCTCATTTCGGTGGGTCTGGGTGTAGTCAGAAAAATGCAGGTCGTGTTAAAAGCATCACATGTTGTGTGTCGTTGGTTCGAAAACTGGGCTGAATCCATTCCTTTTCCTACATAAATGTGAATCCATAAAAGAAAAAGAACAACACTGGTGCAGTTTTTGTTTGGGTTTCATCATCTTTAGGAAACAAGAGTGTATTTGATAGTTGGGCTTCACTTGATTGAAATTTCCTCGACGTTTATTTTCACGAGATCCACAACTCTCGAATATATTCAAATTGTAGCACCTTCCGAGGACCGCGGTCAAAGGAAAAACAGACGAGTTCGTGCCAGTAATAAACCCTTGTCATTCGATTTGTTCTCAAAGTATTGAGACAAAATGGGCAAGCAGACCGCGCTCTTTCCGCTGGACCCGGAGAAGTATGAGTTCAACCGCGTGCTGGGCTCCGGGTCGTACGGTGCGGTGCAGTCCTGGAAGCACCTCGGGTACGGCATGTCCTTTGCGGCGAAGCGCATCTCGAATGCCTTCGACGAGTTTCTGATCTGCCGCCGCACGCTGCGTATGCATTGCAAAAATGTCTGGGCCTGGAAACCTGTGATGCTAATTTGCGGATGACAAGCCACTACCCATAGATATGGGAACACGCATGACAAGTTTCCGAGCAACTAGGTGTTGCCTGAACTGCATCAGAAACTGCGTTTTTGCATTACAAAAAAGCAGCGCGGTAGCGCAACATGCATGACAGATCTTCGTCTCCTGTCAGCAGAGCATTACAAGTCTTGCAATCTCCCAGACCCAGACATATTTGCAGTGGATACTGGGCGAGATCCGGTTGATGCGGCACTTCAAGCACGAGAACATCATCGGGATCTGCGACGTGTTATCAACTGCAAATATGTCTAGGTCTGGAAGAGTGCAGACATTTGTGATGCAGTGTTTGCGCGACCCAGATCGTCTGGCATGCAAGCCCTAGCATCACAGGTCTGGAGCAGGAGTCCCGATGCCTAATCCGCATGACAAGTTCCCGTTTTCTGTTTCAAGAAGTGGGGCCCTTTGCTGGCCATGCATGACAGATTTTGGCATGGTGTAGACTTCGCATCACAAATTAACTCGAAGCCTTCCAGACCCAGGCAATATTTGCAATGCATACATGTTTACCCAAGAGGCCGAGCGGCCGGACCCGGAGAAGACCGAGCGCAACCGCAAACTGGGCTACAGCGCCCCGAAGCTGGACCTCTACCTCTTCTCCCAGTTGATGGACCACGACCTGGACATGTGGATCCGCGCCAGCTACAAGAAGCAGCACACCGTGGCCCAGGACGCCAAGAAGATCCGGTCCTACACGCACCAGATGCTGCTGGGGCTCAAGTTTCTGCACAAGGGGCACGTGATCCACCGCGATCTGAAGCCCGCGAACGTGTTTATCAGTGACAAGGGGGTGCTCAAGATCGGCGACCTCGGCCTGGCGCGCAGCATCGACCTGGACGCGAAGGGTGATCCGCTGTACCCGGACGCGGAGGCCTTGACCGAGTACGTGGTGACCCGGTGGTACCGCGCTCCGGAGATCATGCTGCTGCGCGGCTGCTACGGCCCCGTCTGCGACGTGTGGGCGGTCGGGTGCATCCTGGCGGAGATGTTCTCGCGCAAGGTGCTGCTCCCGGGCAGCGGGGGGTACGACCAGATGCTGCGCATCATGCGCGTCACGGGCGTCTACCCGTCTACCTCCTGGTTGAACAACACCACCGGTATAAAATTTGTTGTACAAGAACTTTAACTACCAAGTGCTCGCAAAAAGAACATTGAAGATTCTACTTAGACAAGGACACTGAAGTAGATTCTATTTTTTTATGCAAGGCGCCGCATCTGTTTCTATTGTCCACATTTTTCCATTGATCCTTTTTTCGTCACCTTCTAATAGAAACGCCGGACCCGTACGCGCGGCGTAGTCGCATCGACAAGCACAGCGGAGACGAGGGCGAAAAGATCGTGAACCGTATCTCCGTATCCAGTGCAATAATATGTCATCTGGGTCTAACTAGAGAGGTGCAGAGCCAGAAGCTTGTCTTGCAGGTTTGGCGCAGGCCTGATGAAGATGCCTGTCCCGCTTGAGAAATCGATGCGCTATATTCTGATTTTTGTGTAATAGGAGTTTATTGCAGCGTCACAAGTTTGCATCCTCCCAGACCCAGATCGGTATTATTTGCAGTCCATACTCCGGCGAGGTCCTGCAGCGGTACCCCCACATTTTGAACCACCGCGACGCCGGGTCCGTCGACAAGGCCTTCAAGCAGATGCCGTGGCAGTACCCGGGGGACCGTCCCTCGTACAACTACGAGGTGATTGACCTGCCGCGGGACGTGATGGACCGCATGGGCGAGCTGTCCGGGAACGAGAGCACCATGGCCAAGGACCTGTGCATGAAGATGCTCCAGTACTCCCCCGACATCCGCATGACGGTGGATGAGGCGCTGGCGCACCCCTACCTGACCACGGACCCGGTAATTGTGCAGAAGAATGGCAAGGCCGAGATGGAGGTGGAGAACGTGAAAAAGATCGACATGTCCTACGACCAGCAGTACGACAACCGCGGTATGAGCTCCAAGGACGTGCCCGCGGAGAACCGGAAGAAGTTGGCCAAGCAGCTGCTGGAAGAGGTAGAGGATTTCCGGCGCTGGCAGAAGCAGCAGTTTATGCCGCAAAAAGAAGCAGACAGGGCATATTTGTGATGCAAAAGTAAACTCACAGGAAAATCTGTCATGGGCGACCACATGTATAGCTCGTTGCTTAAGACACGCGAAGAGAAATCTACTTTTTGTGTTGTATATCTTTTTGCACCACTGCCTGTCTTTTTGTTTTTCTGTGGGATACAATTCAAATTGAAGGTCGAGGAGAAGAAAAAAAAGCAGGAACAACTGCAGGCGGCCCAGCTGCAGCAGCAGCAGATGGCGAGCGCGGAATACGATCAATCGAACAGCACGGCGGACAGGTGGCAAGTTTGTTTTCGTTTTGCGCTGCATGCAATAACTGACTATGTATGATTCAAAACATCAAAATCAATATCAAATTCATCAACATCTCTCTGCAGGCAGCGCGTGTCCCGCACCATCTTGGCCACGCAGCAGGGCGCGGAACGGCGATCCTTGGTGGAGCAAGTGAGCAAGGGACTGATCTCGAACTCGACCAAGAAACACATCTCCCCCGCGGATCAGTCGACGGCGACCAACTCGGCAAACACTTCGGCCGCGACTTCGATGGCGCACTCGCGCAGCAACTCCATTTCCATGGTCCCGGCGGACGCGGTGATGCAGCAGCAGGCCTTGCAGTACAGCAGTGCGGCGAACTTCGGTCGCGCCTGGGCGGAGCACGGCGGGAGCGGGGCCGGAGGGAACCACCCGCACCCCTACCAACTGCCGAACAACCACGGGGGACCGAGTTCCTCCCGCCCGCAGTCTGCGTCAAACGTCGACGCGAGCGGAATGACCACGACCTACAACGGGCGGCCGGCGCTGCAGAGCACGAGCCGCGCGCCCGTGGTCCTGCAGCAGAACAACTACCATAATGGCTACCAGCAGGATATCATATGTAAAAACGTCCCCACCCCATAGTCAAGTTGGGAACTTAGCAACACAAATCCAGAAGTTTTGGGAGCCACGCATGACAACTTGCAGTCCGTAGCGTAGTGCATGTTAGCAAGGACCATCGCATCACAAATCCATCTGCTTATCCTGTTTACAGCATCACAAATTCGAAAACGCGATTGGTAATGCCTTGCATGGACATGCGCATTACAAATCTTCCTGTCATCGCAAATCTGCAAGACAACTATGGGGTGGGGACGTTTTTACATAGGATACAGGAAAACGCAAACTACCAGCAGGCTTGGGACCCGCACGCATCCTCCGCGTCCGGGCAGCACCAGATGGTGGATCATCAGCAGGATTTGTTTTCCAAGTTTCATATCCCGCGTAAAGAAGACGTCCTGTTCAGCTAGCGCAGCCGGAGCCGCATGACAAATTTAAAAGTTTGTTCCGATTCTAGCACGACAAGCTCCCAGATTAGAGCCTCACAAGATGCCTGTCACATATGGCTGCGCATGAGAAACATTTTTTTTGGGCATCATGCAGATTCGCATGGCAAGAAGTCTGAGGTACTAGGGACGTTCTTTTACACAGGATATTCCATGCTGCGGCGAACAGCAACTTGCGCTCCCGGGAAAACTACTACGTGGAAAAGATGAACCGACCCTACTCTTCGCAGCAGAGCTACGGGGAGCAAGATGCGAAAGCCGCGAACCGCGCTTACCGTTATGATCATCAGGGAAACCGGGCGTAAGCTAGAAGCGATGTTGTGGTTGTGGTATAAAAAGATAACTTGAAGAAGTTGTATTTGTAGTTTCGTGGTTTTTAGCACTAGCAGGTACTAATATCCATATTTGTTGTAGTTCCACCTAGTTGAGACTTGACTAGGGAGCCGACGAGAGTTACACTTACAGCTGACCTAGTACTACTTGTTGTTTTCGACAACCTATTCATTGCAGTTTCAATTTTCGAATTTTATGTTTCACGTTTTATTGTGCACACACTGACTAGCATGGATTTTAGCGGTTCCAATCTTCCTCTTACCTTCCGGGACCATACTATGATCGGAGGAGGAGCTGCAGCTAAAAAAAAAAATGACTTCCACGCAAGTATTAAAGATTAAGATTTTTTATGGCTTTTGATGTCGTTGTTGCTTCGTACAAATTTTTTTTATCACATACCTTCAGTTTATATTGACGCAAAATGAGAATTTCAAATACAGACACAATCCAACTCGTTATGCTCGTCCGTGAAGATGTAAAATGCTTTTTTGTGCCAAATCTCGAATTATAACCAAAACCATTGTAGCTACTTCTTGTGCGTATACTTCTCAAATAAACTCATGTTTTTACGACACCATCGGCGTCCGCGAAAGCAGGAGACTGTAGCGGCAAAAATACAGCGAAAATAGAAATGTAGAAGATGAGTTTCAACATGCCCAACTCATTCAGATTCAATTTTGGACAGGGACCAACGAAACAAATCATGTCAGCAGCTGCCCATCGTGGAAGCAAAAAAGATATCACAGGAGAGACCGCGCCGTGAGGTTTTCTCTAGCCATGTGGCATTGGCATATGACAAAAAACAGATTGCATGATAAACGAATCTTCATCTTCAGTATCTATATCACTTTTACCAGTTTCAGTGATGGAAATGGATGGAACGATATTTGAAGAGTTCGATTTGGCAGTCTAACCACACGGCTATGACAACACACATGCGGCTTGTTATGAATGATGAGTTTCAACATTTAAAAAAACGCATAATTGATGCGTGGCCTGTTGGTTTCTCACGACCGATTCCTGTGTTTTCGAGGTGAAAAATGCGTGTTCTCGAGTTGATCATGATTGTTTGGTATGAGACACAGATTGACCTTCAGCAGGTACTAAAAAATCGAAGCGCCAAAAAATGGGTATCCCCTAAAATCGTTCTTTGTCGCGCCGGGAAATGTCCCCTGAAATCGTTCTTCGTTGCACCGGGAGGATTGAAATAGATGAAGACTGTTTTCTTTTTGTCATAGTCAACTTTGATTTTCATTTTCGTCAAACAATGTCGTGCTCGTGGGTGGTCGTATTCTACGAAAGTGACTATATTATTGCAAAAGTATATTAGATTCTGTAAAAACGCAGACAAGCGCAATTGTATCGCACTAAGCCTTTGAATTTTGATATTCAGTGGAGGACAAGCTGAAAGTAAACGAGCAAAAAGAATGCTAGGATAGTGAGCAACGAATGAATCAAAATCAATCCACTGTAGCGGAAAATTTTTGAAAATGATTTCTTTTTTCGTCTGAGAAAAATGAAACATGTCTTTTTTCGTCTGCGAGAAAAGACAACAGATTTACAATCGCCCGCGTGCTGTCACCAGCATCTCTACTTTGAATCTTCAGTGATGCGCACCAGGATGCTGCGAAAGCTCCTCTTTCTATCTTGTTGGCCCACACTTTGGTGGGACCCATCTGCCCCAGGAACTTCGCCAACGGTCGGCCTCCGTGTTGTCACCGCAGAAAACACTAAGCCGGGTGGACCAAAAGACAGCAGAAGCGGGACCACCGACCGCGTTGACACGCGCCCCCCTCCCGGACTGGAGAAGGAAGAAGACGTGGAGGAGAAGTATTAGCCTTATTGTCTTTCAAGTTGCACCTTTCGTGTTTGCTGTTGCTCGATTGCGATCACTTGCTCCATTCTTTTACGTCATAATATTTTTGAAAAACTCTACTGGTACTTACAACTGCAACAAAAAAAACAACAGCGTTTTGCTCTCCAGCCATCATTCTGGACCGGAGGAATCGCACGCCAAACAACAACCTCTGGCCACGCGTAGTACTCAGCAAACGCAGCAAAACGCAGCAGGACGCAGCAAAAAAAAACCAAGTAGAAGAGCAGAAACAAGACGGCCCTCTAGCTGCTTCACAACTCTTCTCGGCTAATCAAAACGAAGACTTTCTTCAGATCGACAGGCGCGGCGACAAGCGCAACGATGCGCCGCCGTCTCCGTCTCAACGTGGAGCGCCGCCGCGCGCGACCCTGTCCGACACCGCGGAAACGACCTCAGCGTGGCTGGTGGTCACCGGGCAGGCGCAGACACAGCCAGCAGTGCAAAATGATCTTCCCGGGAGCAACGTGAACGTCGCGCTCTCAGTACAGCAGCAGCTGGCCGAACTTGGCGCAGCAACGGCAAGGCTGCAGACGACCGTGGCGGCGCTCGCAACGGAGAACAAAGCGCTGGCGAAGGAAAACACAGAGCTTCGTGCCAACGTCCGAGAAGAAGTAGCTGCCATGCGTGTTCAGATGGAGCACGGGTTCGAGGGCGTGCGCGACTTGCTGGCGTGGCTGGAAGTAATAGTCGGGAGCCAGCTGAGCTACCTACTGGCCGCCATGCGACTCAAATACACCTACACCGCCGTTTTTCTCTGTTGCGGCTACCTCGCAATTCTCGTCGGAATCGTGCTCCCCACCCGCCTTGTTTTCTTTCCGCTAGAGGAAGTAGAGGACCACGACACTGAGGCGGGCATCGACGGCCCGGATTTTCATCCGCCCGGGCTAGAAGTAGCGGACGAGACGTTATTTCCAGGAAGGGACGCCGGAGTTCAAGCAGACAACAGCGACGGGGCCGCGGGCGCGGCGCGGGTACAACGTGGCAAGAAAAACGGGCCGGGTGTTGAGCTGGGTCGTGACGAGCAGAAGGTGGAGGCGAAGTTGCTGCTTCCCTGGAATTTTGCATACCACGGGACCCTCTCTTCCGTCACACAGCGGCAGACGAGCGGAGAAGGCAAAATTTTCGCCGCCTGCCTGATTATCAACGAAGTCTGCGTGCTCTTGTCCGGCTACACAATGGTGGTCTACGACAAGTCGTGCCCGCGCTCTCGCGATGCCGCCGAGTACCTCTTTGTGCCGGCAATCGAGGCGGATAGCGTTGGCAACCTTGCGCTTCGCGTCACGTGGTTGATCCTTCCGCGGTATCATGTCGAAAAGGGCCCCTGCCCCAGAACTATAACTTGGAAGTATTTGCATTGCAAAGCCCCCGAATGTTGGGGACACTCCTCATCTTGCATGTATCACCATCACAACTTTCGTTTTATTTATTCCCAGGCTGTTTATCAAAAATTTCAATTTGCACTGCAAAAAAGCCCAAAAAACGAATTCATAAGCTTTTCCTGCAAGACAGAGCAAAGTGCTCCTTTCATATTACTGCAAGAAGATCATGACAAGCTGACGTGACGAACTTCGGAAATAAGGTCTCCATCTAGGTTTTCGTTGTGTTTCAGGTCGCGGTCGGAGTAGTCGAAGACAAAGGGTCTAGTACTCCATTTGAAAACTCTGATGCATGAGAACAAACGCTTCCTGCAACTTCCGAAGGTGGGGCGCTTCTCATTGTAATCAGCGAGTTTTACTGTTGTTGGCCGCGGCGGTCCCGTCTCCGACTTTTGAGGACGAGCTGGATGTTGATCCAGGGCATGATGCTGAAGATGAGGATACGACGACAATTACCCCGAGCCCGAACATGATGAAGTCGACCTCTGACAGCATCATAGAAGAGCGAAAGCGAATCGCGCAGCTGCACGAGAGCCTGACACGCAAATACATGTACAACATCCATCAGGCAGTGTACTGCACAAGAAAAAGGAGCTACTAGCAGCTTTCTCCATCTGCCAATGCAAAACTGAGCAGGCACGAGCAGTCCTGGATGATCAAATGGCAAAAGATAAACCATGAGCGAGCCGCCCATGGCTACGCGTTGTTTCGGATTCATTTTTACATGCGCAAGATTATATTTATAGGGACGCGAGAGTTCTTCTGGGTTTAGTTTTGCACTACCCTAAGCAACATATGATGAATATGATAAGCTGCTGGCTTTTTGTTTTTTTCCTTGGGATACGCGCGGCCTAGCGATAGCCTTGCTCTTGCTCTTCGAAACGTGGCAGCTCGTATGGCGCGAAGAGGTGAGCATTCCGCAGGTTTTAGTCGGTTACTCACCGAAACGCATAGCTCACTCGTATGATCACGACGATTGCGCTATGCAGCAAGCCCACAAAGTGTGGAAACTGCGATGGTTGTATTTTCCCCGTGTTCTTTCACTGGTTCTCGGATGGGTGTTCTCCGCGGTTTTGGTCATTTTGGCGGTCGTGTTGTACTACCGGCAGTACGACCATTCTACCAGCAGTTCCATTTGGGCGCCCAAAGCGGACCGCGGAACGGCCGGTGGACGCTTGATGCCGAAATCCACCAGCCTATTGCTGCCACGGTGCGTCTACGTTGCGCAGGTGATGGTCATGCTGACGGTCTTACGCATTGCAAATATCGATTTGGGTCTGGAATACAACACTTGTGACGCTGAAATTGTCATGCTTCGATGTTGGCTTTCCTAGTGCAGCCAAAAAAAAAAAAATATTGTGGCATTGTTTTCATGCACGTTAATAAGCCCACCTTGACAAAAAAAGGTTGCGCTTTTGTTGGTCATGCAACTACACAGGTTTTACAGGAAAAATGCCAGACAAGCAATGCAACCTCCACCTTTATTCCAGACCCAGACATATCATTTGTACTGGATAGCTGTTCGGCCTACCGTTCTGGCCCATGCTGTTCCAGGTTTTGGAAAAGAAGAAGGACAGAATGCTTTCAGAGACGAGCAGCATAGGCCTCGGGCAGGACCTATCCCGGAGAAAAAAGGAGCTAGCAGGGCACATTTGTAATGCATTACAAATATGACCTGCACCTGCCTGCTTTTTGTTTTTTCTGTGTGATAGGACGCGCTCGACTCGATCGCGGCCAGAGTGGAGGGCCTTTTCAGTATGGCCTGGAGATTCGGAACGCCAAGCTGCGGCACCTATGCGGACTACCTCCAGGAATTTTACAACAGCACTGCCCCGACCTGCGATCCTGACAAGATGTGGTGGGAAATGGACCGGGGAGAAGCTCACGATGCCAACTGGCAACAGGAATTCTGGAGGCGGTGGGGACTCTGAGTCCCTCAATACGACCGGCTGGTCAATAGTACTACCCCACCAGTACGACTCAATCTCAACACAGCCGACACTTCTCGGCGATTCCGATATTTTTATTTCTGATTGCTTACCGTTGCAGCCTACTAGCTGTTACATGCGTCAATCACGCCGCTGACGCTGAAAATAAAAATGACAAATCAACGTCATCAATAAGTGTATACTACTCAAAATTGTTTGTTGCAGTTTGTCTTTGCAGGCTCAAGTTTGCAGGAATAGTAGCAAAACAGCGAGCAAGGTACTGGCCACGAGGTTGAGTCCTGTTCGCCCACAATAGAGCAGGCCAACTCTGCACCACTTTCCATTGTAGTTTGTCTTTGTTTGGTCGTTTTTTCGGTTGAAAGAATTGCTTTACTACCTCAAGAAGAATCTACTGCTAACTTGGCTAAGCAGGACTCTGCTACTTAGGCCAGAGAAAAAACTACGCGATCCCAGACGGACTTTGCCTCTTCGGGAACTTCGACACAATGACTAAAAAGTGAAGCCAAACACTAGCTAAAGCCTAAGGTGAGTAGTAAAAAGCTTGTAAGTTTTGTTTCGAAAAAATATTGTATACAGGATTGATTACAACATACAGAAACCAAATTTTTTGATTTTTCTTGAACCCGAACGATAAAGAATTATTGACATCTGCAAACCCTACTTGAAGATCTCCGTCCCAATCCTGAAGAGATTTTGTTCCTAAACCTGAAGTCGATGGTTTTGTGCAGAATCACTCTATCATTTTCTTTCTCAGACTTTCAAGAATTCCGAATCCGATTTGAATATGAAAGATAGAAATTTTGAATGAATTGATTGATGAAATCCATCGAGGATACATATCTCAAATCGAATTTCATGACATCGATCCTGATCATTCAGAATGATAAAATAGAAATATCGGATAGAAAAAATATGAATGAAATGATCTCGAATCCGAATGGAATCGAATTTCATCATCCATCCAGATTCAAGATCTGTTAATAATTTGAGAATAATTATCATTCTCATCATCTTCCCATTCTCTCTCTCTTTCTCTCTGGAAAATTAATTTTCAAGGCCTGGCATCAAGAAATTTCCTCGATGAAACAAAGAAAATATGTTTTTTTGGATTAATATGTTTATCAGGATTTTTTGAAATAAAATATTTTTTTTTTTCATGAATCCAATGATTATGATATCGAATGATGAGTGAGTGTGAGTAGTTGAGAATTGTTCAAGCCATGAGGTAACCATCCGTCCGAATGGCCGGAGGATTAATTCATGGACGCGAGTTAACGACACATTTGTTACCTCACTCTATAATGATTGAGATTTTTTTTTTTTTTTTATCAGATTTTTGGAAATTCTTATTGTCATAATTTTCATATAGAAAAAATGATGTTATGAGATCTAGAAATCAATGGATTCCGGTGATTTATAACCACCACATCTGTGATAACGCCACAGATTTTCAATAATATTTTTGAGATTTTCAAAAAATGACATTTATTTGAAGAAATATCCAAGAATCCCATCGAAACACAAGAAATATCCTGATGAATATCAATCCAGATCCTGGATTCCATGATTCCAATATTGAATCATGATCTTTTCTTATCTATGAAAACAAATTAATCACATTCTCTCGCTCTAGACCTATGACAAATTTGAATCATACCCAGACATAACCAGAAAGAAAGAAATCGAATTTTCCATTTTCATGGATTCTCAAGATGGATTGATTATCGAACAAAAAGGATAAATAAGAATCGGAATCAATGTCGAATCTTTATTTTCGAAAAGAGAAACATGAAGCACTCAAAAGAATTAGAGATTTAAGCATAATAAAATCGAGAATTGTTATGTGATGATTTCCTGGTGGAATGTCAAAATGATTTCGAACAAGAATGGATTCAATAAGGCGTTTGATTTTGAAAAGTTTCATTTCGGTAATGTTTGTCCGAGATTGTCCAATCTTTTTGGATTCGGATACACTCTTTTTGGATTCTTCCGAGCTTGTCCACTCAGTCTTTTTGGGTTCTCTTCACATGTGTCAATGGTATCTATCCATCCCATTTGAATGTTTGTCTATCCTGTACAAATTTCCCGGATTTGGGCAAGTATTCTGTGTTTTCCATTGCAAATATGTCGAGGCCTCGAAAATGCAAATGCTTATGTTCGTCGCTTCAAAAGGAGCGAATCAATTTCAACATGAAACACCTGCGCATGCCTAGCAGAGCGTATCGAGTTATTTGAGAACTCCCGCTTCTCCATGACAGCAGACCGTGTCGCGCATTGATGTCATGTATCGCGCCAGCTTTTGGTAGTTGTGCTCGTGCTTTCAACGAACATCAACAAGCAAAATCAAAGCGAAACTTCGTTCTAGAAGGCCCAGACAGATTTGCAACGCATACACATTTTCCAGCGCCAACCAGGTTGGGGTATCCGCGCCCTCTTCGGCTGATCGTGGAGCTCGGTCGCCGGCCATGTCTATCCTGTGCAAAAATATCGCACTCGTATTTTTGCAATCATGCATTACAAAAAATCCTTTTGCTAAAGTAACTCCGCATTAGAAATTTTATTTCTTAATGCATTTATACGAGTACGATACTTTTGCAGTTCATAATGTCCGTCCGACACCAACCGGGGCAACACGGGTACACCAATACATTTTGATCCGGTATTATGCGAGGAAAATAGACTTAGATACTAGCGCAGACAAAGGATTGATATTTGTCTAGGACAGGTTATTATTGGCGACGCCAAAGCAAAATTTACTTATCATGCAGACGGTGGCCCGGGCGCGGGCCCGAGGATCTATCGATCATGACGGCGCGACTTGCCGTGTAGAAGTGCTGGTCGGTCGTTGTAAACAGCCCAACATGTTGCCGGATGTGATAGCATTTTTGTGCTAGATTAGTAGATTTGTCTTGATGGCAGCAGCAGACGCAGAAGCCACGGCTTCGAAATTTGCAATAGCAGCTGCTGCAGAGGATGTTCTTGATCATGCTTTATATATTTTGCGACATGTTTTTCTGCACCCGCACCCGTGTACTAGTTTATTTCCTCTTGCATAGCCAAATCCCGGGCCAGGAGTCGCGTGAAAGCGATTTCTGCCGCTTTAGAAACCGCGTAGGTCTGCCGCGGCCAGCCGAACTGCGCGTAGGTGTCCTCCCGCACCTTGGCGATAAATTCGGTCGTCAGCGCCAAAATATCCTCCTTGGATTGGCAGGCGAGCCACCTCTGTTTCAGCTGGGCACTGTACCGGTTTTTCAGCAGTCCCGCCATGCTGCACACGTTCACGATCCGCCGGGGTGGGTCTTGGTGCGGGCGATAGGTGGCGCCGTCCAAGAGCAGGGGAAGAAAGGCCTCCGTGACCAGCATAGTGCCCTCGAAGTTCGTGCCGATGGTCCGAGCTGCGACTTCCACGCTGAATGCGTCCCCTTTGAACGCCATACCCGCATTGTTCACCAGCACGTGTAGCGGTGGACCAATTTTCTGCGCCGCGCTGGTCATAGTTGCGGGGGCGGTTAGGTCGAGCTGGACGAACTTCAGCGAAACGCAGGACGAAGCAGGGCCTCCATTTTTACCTGTGAGAGTAGAAAACCAGACCGTTTGAAAATGGTAAACGTCGTTCTAACTATCGCGGATAGATCCCCCTGCTGCGTGCGGTCAGATGAAACTTCTACAATATAATTTCTATATACCCGCTCCAGAGCTCGCTTGAAGCTCTGCTTCCACGTCTCGTCGCGCCTTTTCTCCGAGCTCGACGTTGCGGCAACCCAGAAAAATTTCCGCGGGCTGCTATTACAATGAATAGTGCCCCCACCCCAGAACTTGGCAGCATCTGTATTGCAAACTTTTCCAATAGATACACTCCCCGCTTTGCATATATCAGCATCACAAATTTTCCATGCTGAATAGCTCAAATCTGTGTTGCAAAGGAGCCCGAAAGTAGCCGGATCTGTCATGCAAAAGATACCTTGCGGAGCTAGAAAAAGCTTTCATTTGGAAACTTTGCATGAGAAACTTTTGCCACTTCCGGGGTGGGGGCATTTTTCATTGTGATAGCTGTCGCGTGCGGGTGAGATGATGTGCCATGAGCCGCACGATGTGAAAACCGATGCCTTTGTTGGCACCAGTCACAAGAATGCGCTGCGGCGCAGCCGACATAGTTGTTTGTCGTTGTCCTCTTTATTATATTTATTTGAAGATAATTTGCAATGAAACCGGAGAGATAGTACTGAAGCTACGAACGTACAAATTCACTTATAAAAAGGCTGAGCAGTAGATTACGTGTAAACGTAATAGTAATGTCCAGGTCGGACTACAAAAGCTCTTTCTCTTCAATTTCTTAAGAATACTTGGTAAGGTCTGGAATATAGTCTACGACTGAAGAAGGTGGCAATAAAACTTGGACACTTCGCCTTGAAACCACAGCTGTTGTAGATAAAGCAGGGCGAGCCAGCAACTATCAAGAGACCACTGCATACAGATCATACGAGGGGGATTGTTGAGCGGGGTACAACTAAGTACTGTGTGTGCTGTTCTTTTCCATCCGAGCGAGGCACTTTGAGGCGCTGACGAAAAGGAAGATGTGCGGGAGGTGTGGCATCAGATCACGATTGGCGATTCCAGTCGGTGAGATAAGCCTTACTACAAAAAGTTACCATGATACGACAAAACAACCGACACCGAGCGTGTTTTGGGATTTTACGTATGAGTGCGCTTTCCGTCTTTATATTCTCATGTAGATCACCAGCATTAGCGCACGACTCGCGATTCACCTTAAGAAGAACATTAGCAGTGTGCCCTGGCAAAACTTCTTGGTCGAAAAATTTTTTTCACCCAGCTGAGCGCCACATTTTGATGTCCAAAAAATGCAACGAATCATCGTCCATGGTACTACTCACTGCCGCCGAGCCGACCGATAAGGTGCATGCGTGTAGCAGTTCGAATTCATCTTTTTGCGGGCTTTGTCTACTACAGGGGGAGCTGCATCAGATACGAGCAGCTGGTGAACGTCGCGAAAAATGAAAGGAATCAAAGTCACGAGTCATGGGCAAGAGGAATTCATGGCTTAATCTTAAATGTTTTTATGCCCCGGAAAAGGCCCTTCTCAGCCGCGCAGTTGGGGACCCACTACCGCCACCTTCGGCCGATATAAACGCGGACGCTACCTGCTCGGGGTTATGGAGGGAAAGTGAATGACTTCACGACGAAACCTTTCTTTCGAGAGTGCTGGTGTGGGCCGTAGAGAAATTATCCCGGTCACAGCCACGCTGATGAACAATTTGTATGCGAGCGATGTGGCCTCATACAATGCTAAAGCATCCTGACAAAAGGAAGGCGCATGCCCAGATGCGCATGACAAATTAGATCTTCACTTAGAGCCTGCTACTAAAGTCGTACATCACGACCCTGAGGGGAGATAAAAATCACTCCTTTCCCTGCCATAGTCCTGCATCAGGTAGAATTCGGTGGTGTTTTTGGCGATGAGCGCCCGCAGTGCGTTGACGCCGAAGCAGAACTGCAGCACTAAAAACAGGCCAAGATCCACGTACAGCAGGGCCTTCTCCAGGGGTAGCATGCACCGCGGGTGGCACTTGGAGTTCGGCCCGACTTCGGGGAGAAGGTCGGGGCTGAGGAGGAGAAAAATCTCCAGAATCATGCCCGGAAAGACGGTGAGAATCAGGAAAAGAAACAGGTGCGGGACGTTCTCCGAGAGGTTGCCGCGGTACCCCAGGTAGTAGCGAAACGGCTCCAGAAAGAAGACGAAGGCGGTATGCAGGAAAAAAACTGTGTTAGTGTAGAGTAGGTGTCTATGTCTTGGCTTGACGGCATGACAAATCTGTCTGGCATGACAGCAAAAACTTGCCATGCGCAGGCAGTACGTGAAAACATGTATGAAACTAGCCTATGACGCATGTCTAGCATGAGAAGTGCATACTGTGCAGAACTTTCCGTAGTTGTAGGGACTTACAGCAATACACACTTTTTTTGTTCTTGCATAGGCAACAGTCAGAATGTACAGGGTGATGGCCAGCGGCACGTCGCTTATCCACCGCGCCTTGTACCACCCGGCAAGAATAAGGCAGACCGCGAAAAGCACCTTGTACCAAAATCCGAAGAACAACAGCAACTGCAGGTGCAACGACGTCGAAATCTCGCGGTGGTAGATGTCATCCTGGGTCTATCAAGCGTCAGAAATAGCGTCGTTCCCACGAGAACCCCAGAGACAAGAGGGAAAAAATGAGGACACTGCTAGTACAACACAAGTGAGGAGCTTACTTTTCTTGGCTGTTGCCCATGACAAAGTTGGCGGTGCAATAGCAGATGTGAAATAACAGTAGTCGTGCTTAGGCAGCGGCGCGGTCGCAAACAAATAGGATTAGGCCAATTCATCTGTATCCTGATTGCGATTGGAGCATGCCAAAATTCCGAAATAAAGTTATAGGAAAACAACTGCGCAGCTTCAGACAGCTGCAGGGTCATCTGCGGATGCAAACTTGCACGAGGGGAACATCAAATCTCTGCTGGGGAGGACGCTTTTTTTACCGAGGATAGCGTTGACCTCTTCTGCTTCGTGTTCGGCTGCGCTGCAGTAGTCTCGCCTGGCTTTTTCACCACCGTCTTCGGAGCCGAGGAGGTCGCGGCATTGGCTGAAGGACCCGCATTATTCTCTGTGCCGGAGACCGACATTATACTTTCACGTACTCTTTCACTCAAAACTTCTTCTACTGTGCAGCTGCAGATTTTATTCTAGATATATCTGTTCACTTGCACAGACCACAACACGACTTCTGTCCTCCCTGGACCGGTGTTGTTGCACTCTCGTCGTGTAAGGCAAAGTCGACCGAATATACCTTTTGTGCGACTACTTAGCGCGCGAGTCGTTCTCTGAGATCTTTTTGTTTCTTCCATGGAAGGGACCAACAATCATAATATCGGAACAAAAAATAAAGGGGCAGTGTCGGGGCCGCAAGCGGCAATGGAGGTTTCACCGACCACGCCGGTTTTATGTTTGAATGAAAGAAAGTTGAAATTTCGCCTCATTGGTGGATGTACTTGATACTACAGCGAGCATCAGCTTTGTCTTGATTCGAGTTCTTCGACACACTTTCCTACAAATCGTCGCTGTCATTCATCGGGTCGTCGTCTTCCTCCTCGTGTGACCTCTTTCTCACCTTTCGCGCAACAACTCCCGTGTGCCCTCGCTTTTTGAACGATGTGGTCTTGTTGGTAGTGGTGCTGCCCGCTGTCCCTGAAGAAGCCGCCGCGGGTTTGGGTTTGATTCCCAGTCTACTTGTTCCAGAATTATCGGAGTCGACGTTCATTGCGTCAGCATCCTCGTCCTCATCGTCCTCCTCGTTTAGAACAAGGGATGTCGCTACTAGTGGTTTTGATGTTTTCACAGCAGGAGCTGGTGCGGAACTACTCCCCTCGTCGACCTCCATGCTAGTAGTACAACTGACGGCTGTATTTGCAGCAGTTACTCCGCCACTTCTTATCTGCTTACTTTCCTTCTCCTTATCCTTTCCCACACCGCGTCGAATATTAAACGTCGGTTTGGCACCGGCCATGACCTCGGAAGTCGCCCTGGCCTGCTCGCCCGCCAAAGCGTGTTCGTTGGAGAGGCGCGCGAGCAAATTTTGCGCCGCCAGCCGGTTCTCCGCACTGGTCGACAGCGAGGTTCCGGCCAGCGTGTCGGGGCGCCACTTTTTCCGGAGTTGCTCCGCGTGCTCCTCTGAGACGTGATCGTGCTGGAACTTGCACGTATTGCCGTAGGTGCAGTGCCCGAACTTCGTGTAGTTCACGCACTTTTTTCCATCGTCTGTTCTACTTGACATGACCTCAGGATGGAGGTCTGACACTCCTCCAGCACTCGTTTTGTCAGCGCTGATTTTCATTTGACTATCAAAATTTTCCTGCACACGTTTTTCCAAATCTGCAAGCGAACTGGAGGAGATAGTCACCTTTTGCAACTCCGACTCCTTCACCGGATCTTTTGTGTTGCACAACTCCAGATCATTGTCGCCACGTTGGTCGTCCCCACGCAGCCCGCTTCTGTTGTCTTTATGCCCCTCATCGGAGGAACCGGGGGCGGACGAATCATCGGACAAGAGCGAGTCCCTGTCGCTGTTGCTGCTGTTATTGGCCGCGTCATCCGTCATGCGCATCATGGCACTCACCTGCCGGATCATCGTGCGCTGTTCGGGGGAGATACCGGGGTCGTTTGCCGCGGTAGAGTTGATGTCGTCGTAGTAAAACTGATCGTTCGCGTTGCTGGGCTGTCTTGCGGGATTCACAGTAAGGAGGCTATTACTTTGGAGGCTCTGGTTCATGCTGTGATTTGCAGTGCGCTTATTAGTGTTGCTTGAGGATGAGGCCGGCGCGGGGGGAAGATCTGTAATTGCGGTTGCTGCAGAAGGAGGAGCTCCATTGGTTGTAGTAGGTCTACCACCTCCCAAAGTCCAAGCGGCCGTCATTTGCTGTGATGAACCGGCGCGAGAAGTAGAAGTATTACTCGGTACTACATGTTGCTGACCTTGGTTTTGTTGCAACAGGCCCGCGGCGCGAAGAAAGAAATTTTGGTCGCTGGTCATGTTTGTCCCCATAATCGTGTTTCTACCGCCGGACGACCCGGTCGTGACACCGGCAGTTCTTGCACCTCCTGCACCGCCCATCGATGATGATGATACCACACCCGAACTGCTGCTGGCCGTGCTTCGTGCGCTGGTGGACGCAGAAGATGCGGAAGATGCTCCTCCTCCTGCCTGGAAAGGTCTGCGCATAGCCACGCCGTCCACCTGCCAGTCCCGCTCGAGTTCGTTCAGCATCTGCTCCGTGCTGCAGCCAAACAGCTCCTTACTCGCGCGGTCCTCCACCTTTTCGTCTAGGGTCACCCCGTCCAGTTTGTCCTTTCGCGCGACCACGGGGAGCTCCTGGTGTTCCTTGGAAGCCGTGGAAATCGTGCCCGTCCCCACATTGGCGAACACCGCATCGGCCTTTTCCTGCAGCCGGGACTCCGTGAAACGAAACATTTTTCTGTAGAGATTCCTTTCAACTCCACTCGGGAGAAAAATGTAGTCTTTAGTAAAGAAAATGAGACCACAATTTCTGAGTAAATTTGTACGAAAGCAACTTCGAAGATATCGGTAGTTCCTTGTCGTCTATCCAGGGAGTTATGTTTATCTTTGCTGGACACGATGTAACTACTCTGCTCTTACGTTTTTTTACTTTGATAGCATCTTGCTCTGAGTCTGAAAAACAGTATTCTTCCGAAGATCGAGCGACGAATTAGCTACAGCACATGTGGCGAGGCCAAAAAGAAAAAGTAGGATCGGGAGTGTAGTGAGTGTGCGCGGGTCAATTACATCCATGGGAACTGCTGCTGATCTCTTGATGAATTTTATCAAAACAGTGCATTGAAGATGTGAGTGCGTGGTGGTAGGCCACGTGCACGTCTCAACCAGATATTATCTTGTTCGTCTCCTACAAAAATCATTTCGACGTCACTTCTGCTCGAGGTCCTACATATTGAAAAAGCTTTCATACGTAGTGCTGCTTAGCTTTCTGTTTCGATTTTGAACGCGGTAGCTATCTCGTGTTTATGGTTCCCCTTCCCGTCAGGTGGAGAGCCTACTGTGGCAGACCAGAGACGGATTGAATTTGTTCATTCTTGGGGTGAAGTACAGAAGGCTACAAATAATCTGATTTATGGCTCGGCGCGATGGCGATACATCAAGTCATTGTACACGCAAACGAGGGCTCGCCTGCGGAGAAACTTCGTTAGTACAAGATTGATACATACATGGTGTCGCACGCTTGATGATATCAGCGACTTTTTAGTAACAGAAGCTAAAGAAAACGGCCTGCAGGACGGACCAACCGCGTCGATTTCATCACGACTCGTGGGTAAGGGTGCACTACAAACTGATAGATTACCGTGTATAAAATCTTGCTACCCCGTCCCACCACCTGCTTGCTCAGCCTCCACCCCGTCCGGCGGTCCTGCTATTTCTGCGGCACCCCCGGCTTGTGTACTAGTCATGGGTTCCTCCTCGGTATAGACCGGGCCCCAGCTGGGGTCGGTTTTCGGACCACGGTAGCTGTCGCCGTCCACGGAGGAGAGGTCGGAGACCTCCTGGATCTCGCTCCCCTTCGGCGGGTATACATTGCAAATATGTCATCTGGGTCTGGAAAAGTGGAGCTTGTGTTGCATGTCTAGCACTCCTGAAAATAAATGTGTATTGCATAGCCAGCAAAGGCGTTGCTTGTTGTCATGCAGAGACGCGTAGTTTGCGTTTGGCTTTGTCATGCGTGCTAGTACGCATCAGACGGCGTCAAATGAATCGGTCATGCTTGGCTGCAGTTGAAAGCACCAAACTCATCAACACTTTAGCATCACAGGTTTCCTTCCAATCCCAGAAAACATATTTGCATGGCATAGCGGGTGCACGAGCGTTCGCGGGTTGGACTCGGCGGACCGCGTGAAGCCCGGACTGTTCTTGGCCTCGGTGTCTGCCGTGTCGACGTAGTCCTCCGGGTCCAGCGCATCGCGACCGGTCACGTAATTCAACGGCTCCCACCGCCGCTCCAGGAACGAGTACTTTTTGCGGTCCTGCTGGAAAGTCAGCCGCCCGATGCCGACCAGGTTCAGTGCCATATCAACTGCAAAAGTGTCTGGGTCTGGAAGAATGCCAGACTTGTCATGCAGGTTCTCCATGACCCGTGAGGTTTGGTATGTAGAACATAGCATGACAGATTCCGTGAGAGTTCTATCATGCCTATCCTGCATGAGAAACTGCCTCTCGATTAGGTCAACAGCGGACAGCTTTTGGTAAGGATGCAACACAGATTTTTACATGATTGAGATTTAGCATGACAAGTTGCTTTGTTCCAGACCCAGACATATTTGCATTGGATACGCCAGGGTGTGACGTGACCGCAGAATTTCGCACAGACGGTCCTATGGAAGCGTCAGGTTTGAAATCGTCAAAGTTTAAATAGTTTGTAATGCATAAAATGCATGACCCGCGGCACGTGTGTTGCAGAGCAGGCAAGTGAGGCCGATTGTAAGCCTGTTTGGGGTTACAGCTCGAGCTGCTAAAGTAGCATGAGAACATCGCTCTTCTTTGCCTAAACAGCATGACAGAGTGGATTTAGGGGCCGCCGAAACTTGTCATGCACCACTTGGAAACTGGGTTCCAACTGGAATCCATTTTATGCATGACAAATTATTTCAACTTTGTCGATTTCAACTCTGACACATCCATAGGTCCACGGTCTCGTTCACGAGAGAGAGGACCAAATCCTGTACAGTTATTGTTTCTGTCGCCTAAAAGGTTTTCGTTTTTGTTTTTCGACCACGAGTCGGTTTATTAAGGGTCGTGGTCCGGCATGAACCAACCTGCCATGGAATTCAATGTCGTGATGACTCATATTATCCTATCACCCAATATTAAAAATGATACCACATCCTCGCCCTTTGCGAATCCCCTGGCAAACGGCGGGTTTTTTTCTTCCTTGACGAAGCTTTTTGCCTTCACGATTTTCTTATCAAGTGCAAAAATGTCTGGGTCTGGAAGATTGCCAGGTTTGTCATGCATATCCTGCATGACCCATGATGCCTGTAGTGCATGACTTGGCATCACAGACTTTTGGAAGGCTCCCCGATGCCTATTCCGCATGACAAATGCCCTCTCCGCGTAGCACAATCTGGGCTCCTGTTGCTGGTCATGCAATACAGATTTTCTTAGAATCCCAAGACAGCATGACAAGTTTGGATCCTTCCAGACCCAGACATATTTGCAATGCATATTTCTCCGGCACGCATCTCTTCTCCAGTCCGGATCGCTCGAGCACGTGCTGCGCGAGTTGAAACACCACCGGTCCACTCAGCGTCTCCCGCCCGAGCAGGCCCAGGGAGGCAAATTTCAGGCAGAAGGGTTTTTTGCGCTCCATCGTCCGCGCCACCGCGTGGCAGTACATCTCCCAGGCGTCCTGACGCTGCTGCGTCTCGAACAGCGCAACGATGTCGAGGAGCATGTTATTTGTATAATTGTGTTCTAGAACGCTAAACCTTCATTCGACGAGAACAAATGTGGCATCACCTGCTGTGCGTCTAAATTAGTAGTGCCTGATGTGCAGATAATCAAAAATGAACAACGAAAAGAGCGTACCAATAAATAGGCTGCAACACATACACAAGCATCTCATCTGTATAAAAACAACATGAACATGATGATATACCCTCAACAAAAAAAGCAATCGAATTGGACGATGGCACGATGTTTTTCGGTAGAATAACAGACCAGGTTGACTTGTTTATCTACTCCGCGAGGGCAGGCGACTGGCGAGGACGATATCTATTTCGGTCGAAGAAAGAAAAGACGAAGGGAAAAGGTATCAAACGAGTCGAAAACAACACACCACCACTTCGAGCACGAGGTGCTATCGTGTCAAACGCATGTCACATTTACGAAAATTATCTCTCGATCGGCATCGGTTTAATAAGTGGCAACGAAGAAGGAGAAGTACGAATACCATGTCCAAAAAAAGTACTTACGGCAGCGAAAGACGACAGGAGGGAAGGACTTTTCTTCCACATCTGCAGTAGAACAGCACGAACTTTTACAGCAGGCGTGCATGGTTTTCTACTTCGAGCGGCTTCCCAGCACGCTCTATGGCTTTGCTCGAAGTTCAGAGCGAATTGATATCTGCGCTGTAGCGTCCAAGCCGATTGCGTAGTGAATGCAATGGCGTGATAAACTTGTTGTGGCGGGTTCTTAGCATATCTCTGCTAGCAAGTCGCTTCTGCTTCACAGGTGGTAGGGTTTTCTTCACAGTCGCTTGCTGGGTCGTTTTCGCTTGGTCTGAATTTAGCTTCACATTTGGCGTTGGCGCTAAGATGTCCTACAACTGATGCGCGGTACTATTTGGCGTTGAAGAGCAAGATTCATTCTTGCGCGGTCGTACATCATACTCGTTTTTGGCTTCTAATTTCGACCGGCCTGATGCATATACGTCTCCGCGCCTCCGGTAGTTGCATCTACTGATTCGCGGTGCGGTGTGCGAGCGAAAAATCTGATATGAAGTCTCCCATTTCAAATATCAGCTCCCGTGGTGTGTTGTGAAAAATAGCTCCCGAGAAAAAGTGATAAAATCAGGCCGCATTTTTGGCACCGTCTCGTACTCTTTCGCGTCGTCTCTTTTAGTATTCGCTTTTTGTTTGATTCTTTTTTATTTCATCCTGCTCCTCTGCTGCGTTGTTCTTGTTGAAAACTTGAAGGTGTGGCCACGTAATTCTTGGAATTGAAATTCGCCGGCGTTAGTCATCTTGCTTTTCTTTCGTTTCAGTTTATTGTCCTGGGTCATTAATTTTAATTCTCCTCCGGTTCCTCTTGCAGCCCGGGGTAGGACTAACTTATTGGAAGTTAGAGTTGTCGCTTTTTGTTCACGGAATGACAAGCAGCCACGCCTTTCATAGTCATACTAGACGAGCTGCGAGACTTCTGCTCAACATCTTCATTCTAGTTTACTCAATCCCGATGGCTTGGTTGATGTGTCTCAAGACGAACGCGGAGAAACACGTACCAAGCAAAATGCCGATCAGCAGTGCGTTGCTCAGTAACGGTCCGATTTGCGCCCGTTCCGCGGGGTGCTTGATGCCGCTACCCGCCTCCATGAACGCCCACGTAGCACAGTAGGCGAGGGAGAGACCGAAGAGGTAGTCAACCAGAAACGGTACTGCCATGTTGGTTTCGTAGATGCACACCAAGAAACAGCACGTGGTGACGAATACGCACCGGAGCCCAACGATCGGAAGAAACCATTTTTTCGGCGGCTTGCCCAGCATCGGGAGGTACCGTCCGGACACGTCGCCCAGATTGAAGAAACCCAGGACGAGCTGGTGGTTTTTGAAATTTTGGTATTTATTTTGTCATGCGATTCGTTCAAGAAGAAAAACCACCAGCAAGGAAATCCATGCCACTTCGTGGTACAGAAACATGAAGAAGTTGATGAGGTAAGTTGTACAACTTTATCCTATGTCATTAAAACGCTTTGTCTAAAAAATATTATACCAGGATGAAGTTCGACATGCAGATCCTTTTGTCGTTCGGGTCATTCGCGTCGTCCGGCTTGATCCCTTCCGCCTTGAAGAGCAGAGGCAACGTATTACAATGAAAAATGCCCCCTCCCCATATTGAATTGAAGGAGCGACGCCCCCTGACGTGCCTCGGTAGCCGATCGCTCTACCAACCGGAGGTGCTAATTTACATGCTTACTCCTTCATTCGTCGAGCACCTCATTCGCCATACAAACCGGCTGGTGAGCAATTACCCGGACTGCCGGCCCAATTTGTGCCGGTTTTGGTGTTTCAGGGAGATACCCTCCCCATATCGAAACGCAAATCTGTGATGCACATTTGTGATCACAAATCAGCTTTGTGATGCTAGAAGGCAAAAGATGCGGACTGTAGTGCTGTCTAGCGTGGGAAACCCTTGCTGCTCCAGCATGACAGGAGGCAGCTGCAAGTGGGAAACAGCATGACAGATTGCCCGCAACTCAGGCCGCAGCTGCGTCTCTTGGCCTTCTAGCATTACAACACGACTTGTGTACTCAAATACAGCATCACAAATTTCGTTTCCTATATGGGGTGGGGGCTTTTTTCACTTTGATACAACGCCGGAAAGATGCAGAAGGTGGTGAAAAACGCCAAAAACATGCCCGTGTACATTGGCCAGTCGTCCGCGATATGGATTGCAAATATGCCTGGGTCTGGAAACTTGTGATGCGACTTTATGACTGGTGGGCGTACGGCAATGCGCAGCTACGCATGACAAGTTTTTAGGCTCCTATGTGTTTCGCTTTCTGCATGGCACACTGCATTTTTGCATGACAGGCAATACGCTTCTTTCCTGCTCCTGCAATACAGATTTAAGGAGCATGTGAGACAAGCATGACAAACTTGCATTCTTCCAGACTCAGACATATTTGCATTTGATACGCGAATACGGCCCAAATGCTTCGGGGCTGGATAGCGGAGTAATCTTCTTCTGCTTCGTCCTGTTTATTTCTTGTTCCTGCTGTCACAAGCGGTTCCAGCTCGTCGTTATTATCATGACCAGCTTGTTCTTCTGATGTTTCAACCAGTCTTCTCTCTGCGAGCACAATCTTCGGCTTGGCTGTTTCTACATCGTGATCTACTGCGTCTTTCTCCAGCTGGTTGAGCAAACTTCCCTCTTCCGGGTTCAAATCCTCCAGTTCGATTTGCTTTGCCAACAACGGATTTCGGACGAACGCAAAGGGCAGCATCAGGTAGCAGAAAACGAGGACGATCGCCACGATGGAGAGCAGGATGTAGACGAGATTCGCCGTGTAGCCCTGGTTTCCCAACGCGACGTTGTAGATCAAATTGAAGAAGAAAGTTGGGAGGGAAGACAACGCGTTTCCGAGGGACCAGAAGGTCATCATGCGCGGGGAATTCAGACTCGTGCAGAGACCTAGTTTGGTATTTGGGTGAGAGAAGTGTTATGCTCAACACGCAGAAATGTTGCACTTGCAAAATAAAGTTTACTTCTAAAAATACAGAGCTCGCAGGAGCCCACGACGAAACTGCACCCGTAGATAGTAGACTACACTATTTATACATAGGAGGAGGAGGAGGAAACCTCTATAGTAAGCTTCTATCTACTAAGCTACTTCTTTCTTAAGCTTAACTATAGGACATATTTTTGGTGCCGACAAGCCGAGCGGATAGTAGATCTGTAAAAGTGGAAACATAGTAAGTACATCTACATCAAAATGAAAAACTTCTGCGTTTCAGAAGTACCACTTCCGCAGTTTTGCAGCCAGGAGTTTCCGATCCCGAGCACCACGAGCGCAATTAAAGCCACGATATGACAGTGCACAACCCCCCCTCTTCCTCATTTGTATAGCATGAACGGCAATACAAGCATCAGCAAGAGTGCCGGTTTTGCATGACAAATTTGCCCTAGAGTGTAGTGCTATTTGGGATGCCAGAACTTGTCATGCAAGCAGTGCCACAAGGCTGTGACTGGAGTTGAGTAGGAGTTGGGGTTTTGCATGACAAATGAGGGGGAGGGGGAGTTGTGCACTCTCGTACACGGCTCGGGAATTGTAGAGGACGGCGAAGACAAACAATGGCACGTACACGAGGACGGAGGAGCCGCAAGCGATGAGCCATCGGATGGAAAAGGTGAAGCCGGCGAAAAATTTGCTCCGCGTCCAGGTCGTGGTGTTTGCATTTATTCCCTTCTCCACGTCGTTATTTTCGGGTTGCTGTTCTTTCACCTGCTGAAACTTTCTCTTCTCCGACACGTACGTGTAAGCAAAGCCAAACACCACGTTGCTGACGCCGTACGGGAACAGCGAGATGTAGCCCCAGTCCTTTCCGAGCACCTGAAGATAGTTGTGAGCAGTATTTGGTAGATTCGCAATGTCATTGGCTAAGTACTTATTTTGCCTTCTAGCTGCATCATCTCAACACGAAGAACATCTTTCTGGTAACTGTCTTACTATAAATTTCTGACCGGCAAAAAAAAACCTCCTTACCTCTGGTTTCATCAGGTACGGCGTGATCGATAAGTACACATTGTATCCGAAGAGCTGCACAAAGCTGACGAAGAACAACGCACCGATGGCGTGCGAGAGATCTTTTGTCATCTCTTCTTCCTTCTCGTTCTCCTGCTTCTTAATTGTGTCGCTTTCGGGCTCCTGCTCGGGTGCAGAGTATGACCCCGAGTTGTCGAGCCTTTTCTTCGTGCTCGCCGTCATCGTTGGCACAGTCGTAGTTTCTGGCAGTGCTGCTTCCGGTGCTGTGGGCTTGAAGCTTACTACTTTGTTCGAACGATAAAAATCTGGAAAACGAACGAACAGATGAAGTAAGGGCAAGACTTGAGAGAAAGGCAGCAGAAACTCCTAGTACCTTAGTCGGGAAATAGAAATGTTGTTGTACTTTTCTCAACTACAAACGAATAGCAAAGTTAAGTGCAACTACAACGTAACCAGAAAGTAGGAACGTACCCCGTTTTCTTGTCTTCTAACGGGACACTACAAATAAGCAGGTAAATCCTATCGTGCTCAGAATTTCGGTAAAATTCCTCTATCCAATGAAGGTGCACGACCTGGTGAGATGTAAAGAGCAAGAACTCGTAACACGACTACGCTTATGAAGTGCAAAAGAACCTAAACATAGACCTAACAGCAGGTTTATAGCATTGACTACTTCCAACCGCACGCAGATCTGAGAATCTCAATCTTCTTCGATTTTCTTTGATCTTGAGAACGAACCGCGAAAGCACTCGTAGGTGATCCGAAGATTTTTTCCGATTGTTCATGACTGAATTTTTACGAAAAATCGTCTGCCGCACGCCGCTTCAGAATTGCCCGATGAAGATCTTTCTTGTCGCGCGCGAACATCAGCTTTGGATCGAATTTGAATTTCTGAAGCTGCAGACCGATGGGGGGATCTTCTCGCACAAGGAGCATAATTTTCTTTTTCAGTAAAACCACATTTTTCGCCGGACCAAGCGACACACGACCGGATAATTCGATAAAGCTTTTCCCTTCTAATATCTTGAGACCGAAACCGATAAGATTTGCGAGTTCGTGCTGAGGCAAAAAAAACACAACCGCTGCTGCATGCCGTGTGTGGCAGGACGACCAGGACCAGGAGTATTAAGTATGATGCCTTTGCCTGTAGACGTGTTTTATAGCTGCAGCAGACTAGGACTAGGTACCGCGACAGGGCGGCGAGCTCACTTATCACTGTTACATCATCTTCAATCATCAACATCAAAATTCTAAAGTGACCTCGAACATCAAGTAGTTTAACTTCAATAATTATGCGTTAGGAAACCGATAAACTTTCTCCGATACTTTACCTCGTCTTTGCATTTTTTGTTGGATCGCACACTATAGAAGGCGGAGCGCACTACTTCTTATCGGCGAAGAGAAACAAAAGCTGCAGTGAGGTTCATATAGTAGAAGAATCTTTAAATTTCATATGTTTGTATATGTGAGAGGTCATCTTTTCACTACTGGTACTACTGATGGTCGATACATTTTTTTCACGTTTGTTTCATATTTATTTCCCGCGCTACGCACCACAAACTGCGTTTGTTTGCTCATGTTCATGCTGTTTCCGTTGTACTTTATGCAAGTATAACTAGCGGAGTGCTTTGGTTTCAACACGTCTTCACACGCCTGCTGCGTTCTTCCCTGCTGCACACCACGACTCGTCAGTGGTCGATGCCCAGCGCCACGTTGATAGGCTTCAATGCGAACGCGGAAAACAAGCTTCCCAGGAAAATCCCGATTAGCAAATTGGTGCTCAAAATCGGACCGATCTGTGCGCGTTCCGCCGGATGGGTAATCGTACTGCCCGCTTCCATAAAGGCCCAGGTGGCCAGGTACGCGTGGAACATGCCCTGGAAGATGTTCACTAGGAAGGGCACCGCGAGATTGAATTCGTAGAGACAAGTCAAAAAGCAGAGCAAAGTAACCAAACAGCATTTCATCCCAACGAGCGGTAAAAACCACCCCCGCTTCGGTTTCCACAGCCACGGTAAATACCGGCCCGACAAGTCCCCCACGCTGAAGCAACCAATGACAAGTAACAAAAAGTTGGACTTGCAGAGGCGGTGGTCTGCGGGATCGGTACTGTCATCGGGTTTCACGTCGGCTTTGAATTTCAGTGGGAGCGCCGGATGAATCGCGAAAGTCGTGAAAAAGACGAAGAACATACCCGTAAACATCGGCCAATCATCGGCGTACACGGCCCAGATGGTGCGTGGCTGGATGGTAGAAGTCGAACGAGTTTCGACGGAATGGATATCGTCGTGGTCTTCCTGGTCGTGTTGTTCCCCAAGTAGGCTTGTCCTGTTCTCGCAGTTCTGCTCTCCGCGTGAGAAAAACTTCTTGGCAGCAGGGCTTGTTTGATGTACTAGCGGCTGCGACTCGACATCTCGAGGTGTAGTTCCGGTGGCGCCTGTAGTTCGACTTACGGCGTGCGCACTGTCCCCGCACTTCATCGCCTTCTTCGGTTGTTCCGTAGTCGGTATAAAAATTCCGGCACTAGTGCTGGACGGGAACGGACTCTCCGCATCTTCAATTTGTTCCAATTGTTCACGCAGTTCTGCCTCGTCCGGATTCAGGTTCTCTAGTTCGACCTGTTTCGCTAACAGCACGTTTTTTCTCACGGCGCAACTCAGCACGAAGTAGGCCAAAATGATTACAAAAGCCGCAATCGAGAGCAGAATGTAGACGAGCTCGCTGGTGTACCCCTTGTGACCCAATGCGAGGTTGTAGACCAAATTGAAGACCAACGGCGGAATGCCCGCCAACGCATTACCAAGGGACCAGAACGTCATCACGCGGCGGCTATGAAGACTCGTACACAAACCTGGTTTTGAAAACGGACGCAGGATTTATGGCAAATTTTTAATTCGCTGCTCTCGTTTTTTTATGCAGCGGTTTCGTGTTTCTCGCATGACTTGTTGAAGTTGAACAAGCCATGATGTGTCTACTTACGACCCACTCTAGCTAGGATTGCGATATGAATCCTCTTGCCTCGAATTCAACTGCAAACATAACCTCTGCCTTTATGGTTATACCAGCACCGGAGCTCTGCAGCCAGGAATTTCCGATGCCGAGTACCGCTTTCGCGGTCAGTGCGAGCGCCCGCGACTTGTAGGCCACTGCCAGAATCAGAAGCGGGAAATAGACCAGGAAGTTGAACCCACAAGCAATTGCCCAGCGGACCGGGAAAGTGAACGCTGCAAAGAACTGGTTGCGGGTCCACAGGATTTTTGTCATGGTTTTGGAACCAGCTTCGCCTCGTCCACCTAAATGACCCTTTTCCAACTCGGAATAAAAGTTCGTATCCCGACTTGATGTAGTAGAACGAGGATCCAACGAGTCCTCTCGGTGCTCTTGACTCGGCGAAGTCACCTCCACAACCGGCTGAAATTTCCGCTTTTCCGTGATGTAGGCGTAGAGAAGGGCAAAAACAACGTTACTGGCGCCGTAAGGAAAACCAGAAATGTAGCCCCAGTCGGTGCCGAGCATCTGTGATGAAGTAGATGTAGGTTTGCGATAGTCATAGCACAAAAAACGTACACAAACATTCTCACTTATCAATGAGAATGATTCTTGTGTAGTTTCGGGCCGCAGCAGAACACAAATTTGACCATGCTTGCTGTCAAGCTTCTTTCATAAAACGGAGCCACAAATAAAAATAGCTTACGTCCGGCATGTTCAGAAACGGATTAATGTTGCTGATCACGTTGTATCCGAAGAGTTCCACAAAGCTGACGAAAAACAAGACGGCCGTCGCATGAATGAGAGCAGGTGTCATCTTCTCCTTCTCGTCGCCAGCTTTATCTCGTGCATCATCTTTATGCGTAGAACAAGCCGCGACCACAGTACAATTCTTCGGCTTTGCATGATGAAGGTAATCATCCACCGGCTCATCTCTCACAACAGAGACGTGCGATTCGTCTTTGAAGATTTGTACAGGAGGATGAGAACGTGTTTTCGGTGTAGCTGCACGATGATGCTGGTGCTGCACGTGCCCCGCTGCCCCGCCCGGATCGTCAGCGGCTGGCAAGGAGGAATCCTCTGGAGACAGGAGCGTGCGTCCACGGTCGGTAGCACGCGGAACATTTTGCTGCTGCTCATCTGCAGCAGCTGCAGGCGCTGCTGGCATTCTGACCCAGAACCGTTGTAAAAAAGTAGAATATCGTCGAGCACCAGTTGTGATTTGAATAGAAACGTAGAAAACTGAAAAACAAAACGAAATGAAATATGAAAATCAGAGTGCAAAGTGCAGCTCGACGCACTAGCTAAGGCAAATCAAAAGTAAAACGTAAACGGGTAAAAATGAAAATCATGAAAATACGACAGGTAAAAATAAAGGCAGTACTCAGATTCACGCACTCGTCCGTATACTATTCCGATGTGTATTATCGAAGTTTTTCAACTTCTAAGCGTGCGGAGCACCGAGAATCCTCGCACGACCTGCAAAGATGAGGCTACAATACCAAATATAGCCGCCGAGGCGGGGGTAGTGAGGTCGCGCGGGGTTTTTTTGACTGGACGACGCCGGGCCTTTTTGCGCTTTTCAGAGGAGAAACACTTCTTCGCACGCTATGGCCCCAAAAGGGCCTCCGCCAGGGTCGGCCCTGTGGCCCCCCCAAATCGGGCCCATAGCATGCGGGCTGGCTTGCTGCTTTTGGCGGGATTCGCGTCCATTGGTTTTTTATGTTGAAAAACCGCGCCCCTGCCGCCTACTGAATCGCAACGCTTTTCCGCATGCTATAGCCACCCCAGGGCCTCCACCAAGCCCGGCCCCATGGGCCCCCAAAATCGGGCTCATAGCATGCGGATTGGCTTTAAGATTTTGGCGGGCCTCCCGCTTTTTGTTTTTTTTTGTTGAAAAGTCGCACTTTTTGGATTGCTCCCCGCATTACAAATGCCCGACTTTGGTGGCCGTCTTTGCGACCTCGAAAAGTGGCCAAAAATGGTCCCCATAGCATGCGGATTCGAAGCCTTTGCCGTCTTCGCATTTTTCCGGCGTCCCTCTTTGGGCGCCCCAAATCGACGGAAATAGGTGCGCCGGACGCCTCAGAAGGGCGCCCCTTTTGCCGGCTCCCCTGCGTCGTTTTATCAAGTGCGAATCGATAGTTTTCGACCGGGCTTGTTTGCTATCAAATCCCCGGCCGCTTGATAAGCGTGCGGAGCACCGAGAATCCTCGCACGACCTGCAAAGATGAGGTTACAGTACGGAATGCGGACCATACGTTTTATTCCGAGGAACAGATGAACCGATTGAAAAACCGACAGTGTTAAACAACGGATCTGCAGGATGAGCTTAAAGTAGATAGCAACAGGCGAGCAGATCTTGCTTAGATCGTCATCCTTGCCGGTGCCTTTGGCTTGTTAGTTTTGGTCTTTGATCACAAAGTACAGTAGCTTGATGTCCAATGAGTTCTCCTCGGACGGCGAGTTACTTATGTGCTAAGACCGACCTACTGCGATGGCCATTTGAGGAATGCGAATGAAAATCTGGCGAGACAATGAAGGATCGTGTCAATTTTCTACTTCCAGCGATCCGTTGCGTGGTACAGCAGTGCTTGCAGTCGATCGAACTCTCCACACGTACTGTCTAGAAGAGCGCAGCTGCGCTAGTGATAGGTGCAGCAGGAGCTGCAAAATTACCATTTATTTCTCGGAAAAGAAACATGAGTTTTCCATTTGCTCACAAGTGTTCTTGTGTCCTTAATTTTACAATCGAGCTCTCTCCGAAGCCCTCATGGTGTCTGCGTGTGTTTTCTCTATTTCTATGCAATATCTTTACATGATTGTAAATGTCATAAATTTTCTTATTTCCGAAATCGAATGCGGATGCGCTGCAAACGAGAACCTAATTTTTGGTCCGAAACTTCCACTGGCTTCTGCTCGACGTCACGCTTTCGCGTAGTACCTCCAAAATGACCGCCAAGATGAGCTGCCACCCTTTTTCCTGGCTAAAGTGTCTCCGTCCTCTCTCTCACCAGAAGATGCGCTGTTTCTCGTCTCTTGAGCTCCTGACCGCGCAAAGCGATCCCCCGGAGGAAGTCCCTCGTCAAAATCTTCCTGATACCGGCCGTCCGGACCATAGTCGTATGGTGGGTAGGACCGGTAATTATTTATATTTTCGAAACTGTCGTCCCCACCATGAGCAGCTGCAGGTCCTTCGTGAAAATTGTCAGCAGAACCACTACTGGGCACTCTTCTCCTAATCGGCAATTTCCAGCCCCCGAGCAAGCGGATGAAGGTGGCGCACTCGCTATCAAATGCAAAAATGTCTGGGTCTGCAAGAATGCAACTTGTGATGCTGCATCTCGATGTCTAAAAAATTTCTGTGTTGCATGAGTAGCAAAAGGATTCTAATTTTTGCTACGCGGAGAGGGCATTTGTCATGCGGAATAGGCATCGCGAATCCCTCAAAAGCCCTGTGATGCCAGGGCATGCATCACAGACATCATGGCTCATGCAAACCGTGCATGACAAGTCTCAGAATCTTCCAGACCCAGACATTTTTGCATTTGATACTCGCTGCTTCCGCGGTACAGTGCTTCGATGTCCTTGTAGAGGTGGAAGGCGTTTCGTTTGTTCTTGCCGAGAATCGCCACTTCTGTCGCGACATTGCCGTATTCCTGCCCGAAGTGGGCCAGTTTGTCAAAGTCTCGCTTGCTTTCCGCTTTCGCGAAGATCTTCTGGAGGTTCAGTTTGTGCAGCGCCGGCGCGCGTTCCTCTAACACGGGTCGGGGCGGCGGAAGCCGGGTCAGCTCGTAGTTGCTCAGGATTGTCTCCTTGTTCTCAAACAGCAAGGTGCGGAGACGTAAGGGAACTTCGTCCTTCTTGCCCGTGCTCTTTTTCGCGAGAGGTATAGATTTCGATTTCGAATCAATATCGTTTAATGCTCCGCGTTTTGTTCCCGACGAGGAAGATGTTTTTGCAGTACTGCTAGCTATTTTCGGTGGTTTTATCGCCTGCCTGTCCAAAATCTCCGCGAGAGTCTCGTAAGGCTTTACGTTTTGGAAGAGTTGCCGGAATTTGTGCGGCCCGAAGCCCTTCGCGCCGGCGGTAATGCAGTCCGAGCTGTTATCCAAGGAAAAAAGTGCTACAGTTACACATTTGTAGTGAATTCAGCATCACAAATTTGCCTTTTAATGCAGAGATTATAAAGCAAAAGCAAAACACACACGAAACGAGACCCGCAAGCATTTTGCGCATGACAGAAGTCGTCTGTCATGCATGTTTTGCAACACAATGTGTAACTGTAACACTTTTTTCTTGCGATAGCTGTCGCCCGAAATCGCCAGCATTTCCGCGATGCGGTCTGCCGGGAGACCGAGGTATAAGAGTGCACAACTCCCCCTCGTCCCCCATTTGTAGGGCATGAACAACAATACAAGCGCCGGCACGAGTGCAGGTTTTGCATGACAAATTCACTCCGGATTGTAGTGCTGTTTGGGCTGCCAGAACCTGTCATGCAAAAAGTGAGGCAAAGGGTGCATTTTTTTGGTCTATTTTGCATGACAAATGAGGGGAAGCAGGGGCGGTTGTGCACAACTATCATACGAACTTGTGCTCCACCAGAATCTCGTCGATGGGGTCGAACGTGAAGGGATCCACGATATCAATCCCGTAGGGCAGGTATGCATGGCAAATATGTCTGGGTCTGGAAACTGAGACATGGAACTTGTAATGCTTGCTAGTCCTACACTCCTGTAAAATCTGTTTTGCCTGACTAACAAAGAAGACGTTCTCTGTGGTCATAAAAAAGCGCAGTTTCTCATGCGGACTGAGCATGAGAGAGCGTTCAGCGAACTTGTCATGCTGGGCTGCATTGGCAAATATTTCAGTCATCCACAGTTCAGCATCACAAGTTTCCAGACCCAGACATATTTGCATGTGATAGCAGGAGTTGAAAGAGGTCTTTGTCGGTGGAAAACACGACGGTTTGGTTCTTCGTTGGAACAAGGAGCTGTTGTTGTACTTCTGCATTGATTTTGCCGCTAGAAGTAGAATTGGCCGCGTCTAGTGAAGAGGTAGACCCGGCGGATGAGGCTGTTGAGGAAGAAGATGTTGAACACGGAGGTGCACCAAGTTGTTGTTGATCACCGGTTCCTTCACTTATCTCTACGTGTTCCACTCCTACTCCCTGGTTCCGGCACTGCCACTCGTGCTCCACGGCCAACTTGGCCAAAACGTCGTCGCCCTCCAACCCGTTTTCTGCCACCACGAGCGGAATCCCGCTGTAGGGGAGAAAATTCCTCCGCACCAAGTTCAGGTTCGCGACGAAAATTTCCCGCTCGCGCTCGTCCTTCCAGGAGACCCGCTTTTTGTACTCCTTCAGATGCTCCTTGCGCCAGCTGTTGGACTCCCCGGAAAGCGAATCCAGCACCAGCAGCGGCTTCGCCCGCACCGTGTCCGCGATCAGCCGGATCGCCCACAGCTTCCTGCACAAATTCTCGGTGAAGTGCTGACCTTTACCGGCCGCGCAGAACCGGCGGGCAACCAGGGTACCGTCGATCAGCCACAAGGGGCCGGTGGCCGTCGCGGCCAGGGCCGCCGCGCTGGGAGGTGACATGCTGATACTGATACAATGTCGAGCTTTGCAGAAACAAATAATCAAGTTTTACTTTAACTTAGTCATGAGGGGGTCCTGTTTCACGGTTTTGGAATCCTCTCTCACGAAGAACAAAGCGCCTCTCATGGAAGGAACTACAGAGTCATAGGCATAGAGTCTCCGGCGTGCGTGACACACTAGAGGGTGCAACGCGCTCCTAGGTGGCTGTTTCTTCGCTCTTGCGTCTACTGCAACTACTTCTACTTTCGCCCTCTGTTAGACAAGTACTCACTCTCGACATGCTGTTCCGTTGACGCTGCGTCACAGTCCGCATCTGCGGATCCAGATGGCGCCAAGTAGTGAGTATGTCGATTTTTACTCTGTTCCTGATATGCTCATCGACTTGAGCTTGTACTTGAAATTGTACGTAAGTACGCACATTATAATGGGACTATGCTCTTCAGAGTCAGACGAAGTAGTCGGAGGAGAACACAAAGTGCATGGGCTTGATTTGCCCACGCGGAAAATGTCCGTGGCTTTCGCTGACTCGGTGTAGGTCTAGCTTTGGATGAGGATGTTTCATGAAAAACATGGAGCGTAAACGACACTAAGCGAGGACAACTGTTCGGAAAACAGAAGCACTGCTAGCAAAATTCATGTCTAGAAGTTTATTTGGAGAAAACGATGTACAACTCGACTTTCGGAGGTCCTCGTGCGACATCAAGCCACGTAGACTTTCTTCTCAGATTTTGCTCACCAGGAGAAAAATTTTCTGAGTTGGCAATCTTGTATGGGTCGTGGAGTGCCGCGTTTGATACATGTATATTTACGATACTAGATATATGATGAGTGAATCCACATGTACGTTCGTATGATGGTACTCTGCTGACTGTGTAAAAATTTCATGTTCGTTATTTCCTCTGCGTCTCTGCGATAGTCGAAAGATTGTACAATGGGATTAATGGTTGTGGTTCCTCGTCCCCAGGACGGGAGGCGGTACTGGTCACAAGCAAATAAACGTCTTCTTCAAGGCCGAACGAAGTACAAGTAGATGCGTTTTGATACTTCTAGATCATGCCCGCTGCACCACAGATCCGTTGGCGGTGCGCACGTAGTAGCTGTCTCCCGCCCCGACCCCCGGTTGCTGGGACATGGTCAACGACGCATTTTGAGAACCTCCTGATCTGCTTCTTTGCGAGGCGGAGGAAGAGCGCTTCGATTTCGTGCTTGTAAGCATTTTCTCCTCGTCGTCCAGCTCCTCCTCCTTGAAATCGTACATGGGCCATTCGCAACAGAAAATCCGTTTCAACACCAGCGGGAAGCATTTCCCTCCAGGAAAGGGGACCAGCATAAAGGAACTCTGTCTGTACTCCTTATAGTCGTCCACCAAGTTTGGGTTCGTGTAGTACCGCTTCAAATTCTTCCCCTCGCAGGTCGGCAAACCGGACACGCACATGAGCAAGACGCAGGTGAGGCAGGGTGATAACCCCGCGATGATCATGTAGACTAAAAACCACTTCTGGAACATCCCGCCCGGGAAGGACTGCTCGAAGCCGCGCACCAGCGGCCACGTGAACGCCCACGCGGAGAACCACATGAGGATTTCGCCGAAGTAGTTCGGGTGGCGGCTCCACGCCCAGGGCCCGATCTTGCAGATCCCGCCAGGGCGTCCGTTCGCGACCCATTTCGCCTTGATGATGTCAGAGCTTATTTGTAAAAGTAAGCCGATAGAAAACGTCGCCGCGAACACGTAGTCGTACCACCGGAATTCCGTGCGGAACTGCGCCCCAAGGACGACCAGCAACGTATGCAAGTACATAACTCCCCATCCCCCTCATTTGAATGGCATTCACAGCAACACAAACAACGGCAGAAATGTGGCTTCCGTATGACAAATCTCTAATATACGGATTGATGTAGTACTGTTTGAGGTTGTTCCAAAATCTGTCATGCAGAGAGAGCTTAAAGGCAAGACGTGTATTCGGTATGATGCATGACAAATGAGGGGGAGCAGGAGTTGTGCACTCCCATACAGCGGCATGGAGATCGCGAACACCCAGAAGGCCTGCATCATCCAGGTGATCAGGAATTTACAGAAGGACTTTTTGATCTCCTCGAACCGGCTGTCCCCGTCGCGCAGGCGGACGCGGTAGCAAAGGAACAGCAGCAGCCACATGCGGCTCAATGCGAAAAGCGTGGTCATCGTGATCTTCCGGGGGTCATCATTGTTCGCCTGCGATTGGAAGTACGCGAGCGGAATCATGGCGAGGAAATTCAAGCCGCCGATCGTGTCAAACAGCGCCTCCGTTTGGAGCACGTACCCGTGAATGAACCCGAGCAGCTGCGTGCCGCCGCACAAAGCCGCGCCCGTCCATAGTAATTGGTTCACGCACAGCACCGAGGGGTTGGCGAGTTGGGCCATGTTGGTGAAGGTGGTGGAGACTTTTGTGATTATAGGATTTAGAAACTTGTTGGTGTTCCAACGTAAGTTGTACAGCTAGTCTTTATTTATCCTCACGGGCGGCCGCGAAAAGTTGTGCTGATACTTGTTGTATACTAGGCCAAATAGAGTACATCTTGAGATAGAGATACGGTAAAAAATAACTTCTGCAGATCTTCACGCAGCTTGTTGTACTTCGCTGCGGTTAGGGAAAATTTTAGGGCATTGTAATGAAGCTGCATTTGTGTTTTGGATCGAGTCTGTCATCAAATAAGACGTCACGATGATAGTTCGAGCGTGGTGATTTTTCAAAGCTTGCAAGATTTTCTAAATTGCATGCAGCAGTTGTAGAATTTCGAATCTTCGCCCCCAAAAGTGAAGATCCTTTTAGCTGGCAACTCCACGTATTGTTCGATAAAACTGCAGCCGCAGAGGACCGTTGGAAGATGCTTCTGCGAAGCTACGATATTTGCCGAGTACAGATTGATGTAGACAAACCGACATCTTCACAGAGACGAACCGACTTCAAGCAGACCAAAGTACGGAAAGCCGTCATGGAGTCAGCTACCGACCTATAGTAAGGGACAACTTCGAGAAAATTCAGCACCGAAGTTCGTTTTACCATTCACCGAGAGGGTGTTTCGTTGTACGAAGTAACAGCAACAGAGCATGAATTTTTCCGAGGATGCCTGTGCTAGAACTACTACGCGCTGTCAATTTGATATTGATTCTTCTGTCAACCCGAGTAAGTGATTAAAGAGATCGTCCGTTACATCTGGGTACTCGTTCAAGCACTGATACGCCATGCGGAATAGCAACGTCTCGCAGCTGACTGTCAGAGCGTTCAGCACCCGTTGCTCGAAAAGGATTCGTGGATTATTCTGGTCGTCGAAAGCATCTATTTTTTCCCGCGGCGGCGCATCACTCTCCTGTTTGGTCTCTTCAGCGCCTTCATTTCCCAGTATTTTCGTCTCCCCGCCGTCCTTTCCCAATCCTCGCGTACTAGTTCCTGTTTCGCCTTCTACCAGCGCCTTGCAGTGATGCGCCAGGCTCAGCGTGGAGGGGAGGACGCGCTCGCAACAGGCTTGGGCTATTGTCGTGAGGGTGCTGAAGTGCTTTTCGTTCATTTTCTTGAAGATCTGTTCCGGGAATTTTTTCTTACTCTCCGCAGTTGAAGATGAGCCAGACGTCCCGCTTGCCATGCGCAAATGCCGCCCGTACTTCTCCAAAAGGATCCGTGGCAATATCTCGTGGGTGAAGACCAAAAGATGCGCGGTCACAAGCTCGTCATAGTGGTTCAAGGTCAATGGCGTTGTGCTGGCGCCCGTTGTGGGAACTATTTTGTTTTGTCCTACAAGATCCTTACCCGCGGTGCCCGGATCTGCTTCTGCCCCTTCCGCTGCTCCGACCAGCGCATCGTAGACTTTTGCCACCAACTTTCGGTCCTCATTGTACTTTTCTAATTTACGCGTCGCCACTTCCAGCTTGTCTTCAACGTCTCCTCTATTTGATTCATTTTGTCCATCCTCCTGTTTAGCACGGGCCACAGTTGTGGACTTGTCAATCGTCTTGGTTAACACGCGCCAGAATTGTTCCAACTGCGGCGAAGCATGCTGATCTTGGAGCAAACCAGAAACCGCCTGCAGAAGGAGGGACTCTTGCCGTAGGGAAACATAATCCTCGAAGGAGACGGCCATTTATTTTATATTTTACCCCTGACGCTGACAGGTTTTGGTTTGATTTATTGTACATCAGCATGCGCTCTTCTACTACCTAGGAACAGCACATCTCGAAAGCGTGACCTAGCCGCAGACACAGTTCATCTGCGAGCTCTCTCGCACCAACTTTATCCGGCCCTCCACCCGAAAGGAACACAAAGACGAGAATCAATGTCGGTGCCAACACCAGCCAAAGCGATGCCCCACTTACAATACAAGCAACAACGCCAGTGAGCCAGGTTTTGTCGCTGCAGGCGCCTGCGAGCGCGGATTCCATCCAGGTTGCGCGCGCGGCTGATGGATGCGCCCAGCGCAAGGCTACCCGGCCAACGCGGGGCGCCACGGGCGCCCGCCGGCCGGGCCATACGCTTGCGGCACGCGGGCGAACAACCTGGAACGCGCGCCGGCGGAGAGATCTAACGCAAGCTACGCCCCACCAAACGGGCTGCCGAGATGGGGGCCCGAGGAGGAACAACCAAAACAAGCCGGAAGGCCGCCCGACAAGGAAGCGGACCCGGGGCGGGCTGGCACAGGGAAAATCAAGAACGAAAGGCGACGGGCAGGCCCTCTCGAGTGGCCCACCACTGCAGCGCCCGCCCCTCTGCCATAGGTTTTCGAGTTCGCGTCGCTGCTCTGCTTTCCTCCTGTGGCTGCCTCCATTGCTCCTGTTGCTGCCCCGGAGGCCGCTGCACCACTGGCGACGGTGGGAGGCCCCGCTTCTGTCAATCTGTCGAAGGGGGAGGGAGGCAGGCAGCCCCCGAAGCGCGCCCCCCCCGCTGAAAGGCCCGGGGGGGCAAGAAAAAACACGGGCGGCGCGACTGCGCCGCGCCCGCCGCGTTCCGCACGCTCGCGGCCTCTCCGGCCCGTGGCCCCACCCGAGTTGCCCCAGATGGCCGCGCGCCGAGTGCGAAGCTGAAGCACGGGGGTAAACAACGTGGGGCACATAGAAAACACAAAGGCGGGCGCGCAAGGGCACGGCGGGGCAGCCCACGCCCGGCCGGTCGGGCAGCAAACCAGGCGCGGCGGGCCCGACGAGAGCCCCCGGCCGGATGAAAGGCCCCCGACGCAGATAGTCCGCTCACCACACCTGCGCCCTCGCGCGCTGCGCCGGCTTCTTCGCGCCAGCGGCCATTTTGGCCGCCCTTTTGTGGTCCCTCCACGCTGGTGCGACGGCGCAGGACCCCCATGCATGCGAGCGCCCGCTCCACAATCGGCCGCGTCAGCGCCGCTTGCGATATTTTCTCGCCGAGCCGTTGCGAAATCTCCAGCAAACACACCGAGCTGCGACTTTGTCAGAACCACTGGGGATGGGTGCGCCGGGCCGTTCACTAAGCTTCGGGCTTCGGTAGAGCACACCGTCGAAATACTCCACACTCGCCAGACACTGCCCCCAACTGTCCAGGGGCGCATTGAAGTCGCGCTCGGTATGATCCGGAGCCTGCCGGGCCGCGTGCAGCCACGCACGAGCCCGCCGGCAGGCCGGGCCCGGCCCGCCGGCCGGCAAAAAGCCGGCGGCGGGCGCTCGTCCCGCTCTTCTTGGCTCGCTGCGCTGCCGGGACGCCTTCGGCGGGCGCCTGCGCCGCCTCTCCACTCTCTCCCCGGGCCGCTTCGGTAGCTGCGGACCTGCCACCGGCCGGGCCCTTAGGGGGGCGGCTGCTAGCCCCCCGCAGGCGGCCGAAAGCGCGGCGCAGCGCGCGCCTCCTCCGGCGATGCGGCTGCGCAGCGGGCACCAAAATTTGCCCAACAGGCAAACCACCGAAGCCCCACACGCGCCGCGGGCGGAGGTGCCCGGCAAAACCGCGCGTTCCGGCGCTGCCCCCCCTTCGACAGAGGCTGACGCCCGGGCCAATATGGCATGCGCGGGCCGCCCCCGGCCAAGCTCGCCCGGCTCCGCGCCCTCCCCGGCGCTGCAGTTTGTTTCAGCCGGCCCGCAGTCCGCCCAAGCGCCCTGCTGCGGCCAAGCCGCCCGATCAGCGTGCGCGGCTGCGACTAATAAGGCTTCGCCGCACCTCCGCGCGGGCGGGCGCCCGCCGGGCGGGCGGCCCGGATGCCGGCGCCGCACACAGGAGAGGGCCTCCGAGGGAGGGCCCGGGGGGAAGGCGCGCTACGATGTCGGCGGTGCTGTCCCTCCGCGCCGACCCCCCGGCCGGCCGATCCGCTCGGCACGCCTTTGCGGCCTCACTGGCAGCCCTCCAATGCGGGGGCCGCTGGGGGTCCAGCGGGTGGCCAACCTACTACAACGGTGGGCGATCTGCTGCGAGCATGTGCGTGGACGTCCGCGAGAATCGAAAACGGGCAGGAGCAGTGTGCATTCTCCAACATTCTGTCTCCATCTCTCTCTTTGGTACAGGTCTCGGACATTTTTTTGTATCGGAGAAGAACAGCTTCAGCTTCGAACACTTTAAGTAACCTTGTTCATCTCTGGCAGAGAAAACAAGGAGACAACTGTGGAAAGCGATAATTTCGTGTTGGGGAGCGAAAGGATGACCACATTGTTCCACTTATCTCGTTACAATATATCATGTTGTGAGTCGTCGTTTGTTGTAGGAGGGTAGTAGAGCGCCTGGCCGCTTCTTTTGTCGAACCATTTCATCACGAGTGCTTACACGCACGTTGGGTGCAACACGCAAACAAACATCAGATCTTTTGGTCTACCCCGCACCAAGCCCAGCTCCGCCGAAACCGAGCCCGACGCCAGCAAATTCGATGTCGTCGTCGCTTTCCCCGTCTTTGCTGTCTTCCTCGTCTTTGACGTAGTACTTGACTTTGTCCTCCTTCTCCTCCTCCGGAGAGGAAGATTTGTTCGCGCCGTCTTGATGCTCCGTACCCGTCGTACTGCTTTTTTTGAACATGGCGGACAGACTTGTTTTCGCGAACTCCTCTTTCTCGGGTCCTCTGCCCGCGTCGCGCAGGCGCTGTTTGTCGCGTTGCTGCTTCTTCAGGTTCTTCATTTCGTCGGGCAGCACGCCTATCGTCTGGCACGCGGTATTCACGATGTCGTTGTCCTGGCCAAACCCGATCCCCGCTCTGCCCGTCTCGCTTTCCAACCCGAAGAAGGTGCCGTCCGTCGCCAAACCCGCTTCCGCTTGCGCGTCTTTGGTCTTGAACTCGGTCGCGTTTTCCTTCTCCATAAACATCTTGTCGCGTTGCTCCAGTCGCTTCAGCGTTTTTATTCTGTGCACATCTTCCAGTGTGTCTGCGGTTTTCTCCTGTCGCTTCCGCCGTTTCGCCGCGCGGTCGAGATTCAAATCATCCCCCTGCTCGGTTGTATTATCTCCGCCCGCTGTTTTCACGTGGTGCTTTTGGTTCTTGTTTCCTGACCTGGTCGTTGTGCTATGCGTGTCGTTGTACTCTGAAGTAGAGCCTGGGGAGGAGGGACCGCCAAAGTTGTTATTTCTGGCACTGTCCACGCCGCTCTCGTCGTGTGTACCATCCCCTTCTTCCGGCGAATTTGGATTTGCGCCCTTCTGTTTTTTCCGTTGCCGGTTCTTGAACATGGTTAACTTCCGGAACTCTTCCTGCTGGTCCTGTAACCTCTCGTCCCGTTCCTCCTCCTGCCCCGGTAACGCGACGTAGTTGATCTCCACACGGAACGAACTGTCGCCGATTTTCAACACTTGGCCGTCGAAAAGTTTTATGCCTGGCGCGGACGCCGGGACCTCGTCTCCATCCAAAAACGTCCCGGTGGTGGTCTGCAGGTCTTGCACGTAGTAGCGGAGGACGGTCGGGTCTCTTTTCTTCTTATGGTTCCTCCTCGAAGTAGAAGATGACGAGGATTTATGCTGCTGACTGCTGCTGTCAACATCTCGCTCCTCCTTCACACTGCTAATCTGGCAGTGCGCGTGCGCGATGCCCGGTTTCCCGGCCAGCTCCGCAAGGACGGTTCCGATGACTGCACCCATGGGGTCGATTTTCAACTCCACATGCTCCCGGTGCTTGATTTTCGAAATCGTCTCCCAGGGACGCGATTTTTCAATGTGGGTGATGTATCGCCCGATCTGGTGAAATCGAAATGGGTTTATGTTCAGACGAGTGGGGAAATCAAACTCAAAGTCACCAAATATCAGAATCTATATCGAATCGCCAAGAAGGCTGTAACACGCCAATGCCACATCCACGACGCACACGCAATGGACTATCTACATCTAGTAAGTACCTTCGCCTCCGGTTCCCCTCCGGCCAGGAGCGTGAAAGTGGTGCACAGGTAGTTTTGTCCGTCCAGGGACAACTTTCGTATTCTCGCCAGCATTTCGTCGCTCAGGCTCCATTTCGCGGAGAATTCCTGTAGTTTCTGCTGCACCTCCCCCGCATCCACGTGCTTGTCCTCTTCGTGCAGCATCCGGAGCATGACAAAGTCCTGCGGCTTGGTGTAGGTGATGGTCACCGTCTCGCCCGGTTTCGCGTTGTCGGGCACGACGAACTGGACCTCCTGGCCCTCCGGACTGTGCACCATCATCTGCTGCCCTGGGTAGCTGTTGAGCGGGACCTCGACCAGCATGGACAACACGTCCTCCTGCTCCCGCTGCTGCATCTGCGCCGCCGCGTCGGTCGGCGGCAGGGGAAGCATGGTCCAGATCTTTAGAACGAAGGAAAAATTTCTATGCGGTGCTTGCGCTTGTTACGCGTCGTGTTTACTTAGCATTAGAATTTCTGCTAGTAAAAACACATTCTGCGCGTTCTTGTGAAGCTTCTTTTTCCGACGACAAGAACTCGCCCTTGGTCTACTGAAGTTGGCTGTAACTACAAGACTTGAGCAAGTGGAGTAGTTCTAGGGATACCAATATGCTACTTCACTTCTGCAACATCAGCAACCTATAATATGTAAAAGAACTTACTTCAGCATTGGCCGCCGCATCTGCGCTGGTCCACACCGGAATGCAGTTGTCGTTTGAAAACTCAAACAACACGCCCTGCGCCTGCTCCCAAATAAACAGCCGGTTGCTCGGGGTGTGCAGGTAAAACCCCTTCAGCGTGTCGGAATCGATCTGCCAACGGTCGCGCGCGTTTGCAAACGCTGCGCGGAGAGAGGACGCCATTGTGTGTGTGTGATTCTTAGTTTTCTCGTCCTAAAAACATCAAGAAGCTGTAGCTGGCGCAAAGCCGCCTGAAGTTTTCTTTTGCGGTGGTTACTTACTTACACGACAACTCCTGAGCTGAGGCGAAAGAGAAGCTTGAGCAGCAGGTCGAATTCAGGAAGGAGTGTGTGGAAAGTCGTTGATACGAATAAATAATCTCTTGAGGAGGGACGATGTTTCACTACTTTGCGGCTTTGAATTTCGAAGGTCAATTTCGAAAATTAGGATTGAGAGTCGTCGAAGTGGGTGTAGAGCTTTTTCTTGATGCCGAAGTGCGGTGTAAAGGTCGTTCTTGGTCGAGCTAGAAAAGAAGGTGTGTGCTGACAAAATCCAATTCGTTGAAAAAAGCGCTTGTAAATGAAGATATATTAAACGGTCGCAAAAGTTGTCGTTCTTCTTATTATCCCCGTTCAAAAGCAAAGCAAAAAACTCACCGACCGACTTTGCGCACTCTTACTTTGCTAGTCGTGTAGACATGATGTATGCTACTTCGTTCACAATATCGTTCTACGCTTTCCTAGATTCACAATACAATTTCACGATGTTGGTGTTGGGTGTGTCTTGCAAGACATCTAGTAAGAGGACCCCGCCTAGGGTGGATTATCAACAACTTTGAGTTGTTGTTCTTGTTTCGCTTCGCAGCGCCAGTCCGTCGATTGCCGTAGCCTTCTTCTTATGCCAACGTCACCCGCCGCTTTATTACCATTTCCCCCGTGAATCAAAGGAGGTCATGAAATTACGCAGTCACAAAGCTTGTGGTTGCCCCATGTTGTGTTGTGAAGCTGAAGATGAAGGGAAATAGACGGAAAAAAATATTCGCTGCCATATCATGTATCATTTAACGGGGAAAATTATCTCTAGTCGTAAATCCAGCTAAAATCCCAACCGCAAAAAAGCCTGGCGATTTCGTATTCGTGCGAAGAAGAAGAATTCATCAAATAATCTATTTCATCCGAAACGACAAGGCACCACACGAATAATCGCAGAGCCCATCACAAGAGGACGGAGGAGCCGCGGAGAGAGCAGCACGACGCTCCCGATCGTTCAGAACGATGAAATAAAGCAAAAGACGCACAGGTGGAAAGTCGTTACGACGAAATTCTATGAAAAGCGATCCTGGTGCTCCCTTGAAGCCTGTCTTCAGATCTATATTTGTCACGAATTTTTTTGCAGGTGCCGGATCGTCCAGAGGTAGAGAGAAGATCCTGATTTTTGATTACATATGTATCCGTTTTGCATTTTTCTCTGCTTGTTCTGATGACCGGCTTCTGATGACCAGCGCAAATTTGACCGGCGCACGTAGATAGAATTATCGGCACTCCTACTCGATTCAAAGGATCTGCTGGGCGTACTACAACTGTTCTTTGGCACAGAAGAAAAACACCACTCACACGGGTTATCGGTGGGGAACAAACACAGGTGTTCTTTGTTGAAAAGCCTCGATCCCCCGAGCAGCATCGCGTACAAACGACGGCGGGCAGTATTGAAACACCTGTAGAGTTTTCTTTTCCGTGTCGCCATTACATTTTTTAGTGTTTCAACATCGTCGACTTGCGCAGGATAATCAATTCGCAGTACCATTTCCGTGATTTCGTAGTAGATACATTTTGTAGAGAATTTTTATGTCGCTATTACAGTAGACAGCATTTCCCGCAGGAGCATGATTTTATGCTGCACGATGGCATGACAAGTATCAATTTCCCCAGGTAGAAGCTTAGTCGGTTCATTTGTTTTGTTTTCTGGCTTATCCACTACTTCTGCACTACCTACTCGCCCTGCAACCCCAAGAAAGAGCAGACAGTTGTGAATTTTCTCTATCGCACTTTCATATACCACGGAAAACTCGCGCACGTGCTCCGCGATCAACCGCAACACGTCGCCCAGCAGCTCCAAGTAGCCGGCGCCAAGAATTTCCTCTCCGGCCCCCGTTCTTTCGATATCGGCCTTCGTTCTGCTCGTGTTCCCACCTCCTCCTCTTGCCTTTGCGACGAAATGCGGAAATTCTTCCGTTTCGAACGTTCTCAGGGCCTTCAGAGCTTTCCGCACAATCCACTGTCTGACCTCGCTCACGCCGCTGCGGCCGCTGGACTGCTGCATCAGCTTCTGCCGGAGTTCCTTCTGGGTAGCGCTCGTGTAGGGCACCGCCTGCAGGTCTTTCTGCTCTCTCCTGGATTTTGCATGTTTCTCGGGATTGGTTCTAGCCTCTTCGTCCGTTCGTCGCTGCAGCGCCGCCAGTCGACTGGCGAGGTTTGCAAGCCGGCGTTGTTTTGGAAGGACTGAAGTGGTATCTTGGTCGAGTTGTTCTTGTCCGCTTGGGTTCTTGTGGAGATGAACGTCTTTCGAGCTAGACTTCGAAGTAGACGGCTTCCTTTTATTTTCCACGACCGCGGGGTTATTTTTCGGTGCAGAACTACCTCCAGACGTCTCGTTCGCTGCTCTCATTTCCAGCTTTTGCTTCTTCAACTGTGGCTCTGAAGCTGCTGCGGCGCTCATGTTTGAAAGTAGAGCTGCTCCCCGATGAGTAAGATCTTGTTGTGCGACCGGCTGCATATAATGCGCCTTACCTGCTCGGGCGGTCGCCGAATTGTTCTTTTGTGAATTATTGGATGCAGCAGCAGCAGCAGCAGCGAGCTCTACTGCAGCTTGTTGCTCTCGTTTCAGCTTATCCAGTTCCTTCGCGATGGTCTCGAGTTCCCGTCCGCTATCAAAGAAAAAAACCGGATTAGTGTGGGCAGCTGTCGTCGGGTTACAGCATGACAAATTTGCTCTGCATGACAAAGAAATCCTGTCATGCAAAGCCACCTAGTACGTGAAAACACACACGAAATAGGACTTCACGCCTTGCTAGCATGACAATTGTAAGTGTGTTCCATGCTTGTTTGCATTACAGACTTACACTCACACAGTTTTTTTCTTGCATATCCGCCTCGCCGGCTCCAGTACTGCGCATTCCCGGGGGCGTCGTCCGGTGGCTGGTCGCAGTGGCACCCGCGCAGGTCCGCACAATACACCTCATCGATAGTTTGCACCGCGTCGTAGCTCCGCGCGGTTAGCAAGCGCCACTTGTCACACTTGTCGCAGCACACCCAGTAATCGTGGACGACAACTTGATCAGGGCTTTGCTGTGCGGTCTGCTCGTCCACTGCTAAGGGTATGTGAGCAGCCAGCGGGGGCGGTGGTGGGGAACCCTGGACGGCGACCGACGGCGGACTAGAGAGCAGTAGATGTGGCGTCGCGCCGCCCGGCGCGTGGTGGGGGTTAAGGGCCATGGTCTTGAAGTTTGCGAACAAGGCGGAAAGGGAGAGCCTAGCTAGCACCGGCTAGAACTAGAAGTAAAGGTAGGAAGGATCGTAACTGTATGTCGTGTCATCGTCCCAAGAATTGGAACGACGGACTGGCAAAACCACCAGCCCCAAATTGGTCTTCCTAACTGTAAAAATCGCACACTGTAGTCAACGAATCAATAAAAATATAGAATCATGTTCTGGGCGTACATATGTCACCGGCGGGGGTCGCTTGCATATCACGACTCTCTCATCTTCATCGCGACTCTCATCTTTCGGATGAACGCGTAGGAATAGTGGAGCGGATTTTGGTTTTGCAAAAGCAAAATCGTGACTGTTGTGCCATTGATGGCTCTTGGCCAATGTAAAAACGCCCTGCCCTCAGGACACGCACAATGGAAGGGGCGCAACACGTGGAGCGACATCCGCGAAAGGTCGCTCGCGCGTCTCCTCGCTTGAGGACAAAACTCTGCTCCTTCTTTTCGTTGTGCGATCTGACTTCTTGTACTTCGTGGATCTTGTCGGAATAGATACCAACGCGTCAGCGCGTCCGGGATACGAATAAATTTGATAGAGATGATCACCATAAGACAAAGAAGCGAAAAAAAGCATGAAAGAAACTAGGCACAGCACAATACTATCATATGCGAAAAAGTTATCGTTCTCCTCGCCTTGGTGTCCGATCTATGAGGTTCGAAGCGGCATCAGGATGAATTCGTGGAATAGCGGGACCAATTTGTTGGCTTTATTTGCACATTGCACACTTTCCTCGCCACTGATTGTTACCACCATCACGTTGGGCACAGCACCACAACGAAAATCGGGGATCATGGTGTAGAAGCTTCTTCGTTTCGGCCGCCGGAACAAAGGACAGCTCGCTCACAAGATCGGTCACCCGCAGTCCACCACGCCGCGTCTGCTTGGTTCCTCGCCAAACCGACCGCAAGCGCAACTCCCGTCTTGTCACTTTTCCGCACAACGCCACTGCTTCTCGGATTATAAACTCGGCACTTAGAAGAAAACTTTTCTACGTAGTTGTCTACCGGGAAACAAGTGTTGCAAAATCTGCGGTCGAAAATGAATAAAAGTCGGAAAGACATCAACTTGAGCTCATAACTGCGAAATGTAGGACAATATTAAAAGAATCGGCCGCCTCTGGCCGGATTGAGAACTTTTTTACGACCAAAGGACTCCAGGTGATAGTGGAATGGGGAAGCTCCTTATCAGCTCTGCAGTCATTGTCTTCCTTGGCTTGCCCAAAAACCGCGAAGAGGATATAGTCCGTCGTCTAGGAGAGAAGTGTGCGGCGTAAATTTTGCGTCGTATAGAGGTCGCGGTATGGAGGTTGCTCCGATAAGATGACCTAGGAAGAAGGGGCCAAAGGCAAGAAAATCTGAAGGCAACTTTAAGACTCATTTAGTTTTTGCTCGAAGCAAACGCAAAACTATTCGAAACAAGGATACTGCTACTACTAGATCATTTTCACATTTCTACGCTAAAAGAATTCATCAAGGGATTTATTTTCAAGAATTATTTAGAGCACAACCAAAATTTGCTTGTTTTCATGTGCGTTGTAATTTCCATCGATCGCTTGAAATATATGTGCGAAAAAACGAAAAGATATCTCCGAAACGCCACTAGAACGGTTTTGCGTGTTGCGTTTGAAAAGGCGACGACGCGATGAGGGTCAGGACCAAAATACGTACTACTAGATAGAGGTACATTTGAAGAAATAATTTCTCGTACGGTCGTCATGTGCGATTACAGCGAAGACATCTCAATCTCGGCATTGATTGGCGGTGATACATACAGATACAAGCGTATAAAGGGAATATACGAAAATTAGACTGGCACATCCAGTGTGGGGGCCATTGGCATGATCACAATCAGATTCAGAATCTATTATGGTCCCCTCAATGTACATTCAAATTCATAGATGCATTCATAGAGAAGACTAGCACGTAGTACGTGGCGGTACAGGGCGTAGGAAAAAATAAGTGAACACAGGAGGGTTTTGTATAAGTATAGGGCAGCAAGGTCGATTCGTGTCTCGTCAGAAAGTGCCTAGAGCGACCACAGCGCCGTGATGTGTTTAAGTGTTGAATGTTCTACCTTTTCTCGGTGGTCATCTAGTAGGTGGAAGCATACGAAAACCAAAGTCTGCTGCTGTTTTCGACCTATGAATAGACACAGGAGATGAAAGACATTCCGTGTGCGTCTCACGAACAAGTGGGCGTAAAAAATTGTTACACTTGAAATTGATGGTGGTAATTATATCACGATTCTCATAGAGCCTTTCAAGTGCGAGAATGAGCTGCTGCACTAGAAGTCCTGTGCAGTCGCAGCCGCCATTCCGGAGCAGGAGGGTCGTGTGCTGCGATGCACATGCATCTTCTCGCGGATATAAAGTTTAACAGCGTCACCAGAGCCAGGCTGCTCATGCATCTGACTTGCAACGGTTTTCTTATTTCGTGTAGTAATTTTCCACGGCGATTGTGATGTAAAAAGAGGTTGTACATTGACTGTTTTTTTGCTTTAATACGGAGCATATCTCTGCTGCGGTGCCTGCGGCTGCTGCGGTGCCGGCGCATACTCGACATATTGCTGTGATTTTGTTTGCAATTTTGTTCAAAAATAATCAGTGCAAGAACCAAAAGCATTTGTTGTATTTTTCGAAACAATTCAGAAATCAATTTAAAATTCAGATCAGAGTAAAAATCAACATATCATGTCACCCATTATAGTACCGGTTGTCCCCCCTGCCCTGGCGGCGGTTGGTGGTGCTGACCCTGCGGAGGTGCGTGTCCCGCTGGCGCACTTCCTGCTGCCGGCGGTGGCGCTTGCCCAGCCGGTGGCGGCTGTGTGTGATACTGGTATGATTCCCCAAAGCCCGCTCCGTAATTTGGTTCCTGCGCGACCGGAGGTGGTTGTTGCGCGTGCTGCTGCGGCGGCGGCGCCTGTGCGTAATGCTGCGGCTGCTGGTGCTGGTGGTGCTGCGGGGCGTGCTGCGGCGGTGGCGCATGTTGGTGTGCTCCCGCGGGCGGCGGCGCATGTTGATGGTGTTGTTGTGCGGGTGGAGCACCGGCATGTTGCGGTGGAGCACCGGCATGCTGCGGTGGCGGAGCGGCGTGGTACTGGTACTGCACCGGCGGCGGCTGGCCGCCGGGTGGCGGCGCCGCGGGGGCCGCGTAGTGGTACTGCGGTGGGGGGGCATTGGGATCGTGGGCATACTGCGGTGGGGGCGCCGCATACTGGGGTGGCGCTGGCGGGGGCGCGGCCGCATACTGCGCGTTCGGGTCGGCATAGTACACCACCTGGGGCTGGGCGTACTGCGGCTGCGCTGCGTACTGCGGTTGTTGTGCGTAATACCCAGCATGCGGGTCCACATAGGCCGGCGGGGCCTGTTTTTTTTTTTGCGACGGTCACAGTACTGATAGCTACTGCTACATTAACATTGTTCGTCAACATTCACATCAACAGCCCAGTTGTAGTTCAAAAAGTAGACCACACGCCTGCTTCTACGCAGGAACACAGCTACTTTTTACCAAAACACCAGTCAGGGAACCATATTATAGTATAAAAAAATTATGTGCTTACGCTATAGTTCACGCCCGGTGGTGGTGCCGCCACTACCGGCATCGGCGCGACCGGCGGTGCTTATCAAATGTAAAAATGTCTGGGTCTGGAAGATTGCCAGGTTTGTCATGCACATTTTGCATGACTCCTGATGTCTGTGATGCATGCCCTAGCATCACAAATTTTGTGAGGGCTTCCTGATGCCTATACCGCATGACAAATGCTCTTTCCGTGTAGCAAAACTTGGACTCTCTTTGCTGCTCATGCAATACAGATTTTTTTAGAATCCAAAATCAGGATGACAAGTTGGATTCTTCTAGACCCAGACATTTTTACATTTGATAATGCCAATCCTCGCTCAATGGCGTGTCTTCCCAGTGCGCGCATGACCATCTCCTGCCTTTTTGCCTCGTCCATCGGTGCCTTATGACCATGAAAAATGCACCCACCCCAAAAGTTGTGATGCGAGGTTTCCAAATGAAAACCTTTTGTCATGCATCAAAGGAATATGAATCTTTGTGATGCAGAGTCTGGGCGTATATAGCATTGCTTGCATGACAAGCGTCGCTCTTGCTGGGATCTTTTGCAATACAAATTTCTGCTATTCACGATCGGAAATCTGTGACGCTGATAGATGCAAGAGGGCGAATGTTTCATTTGGAAAGGTTTGCAATACAAATGCTCCCAAATTCGGGGGTGGGGGCATTTTTCATTGTGATATGCCTTATGACTGGTTTCCGCGGTTTTTAGCAGTAGGTTGGACCCGCGGAGATAGACCGTGTTGTCTTTCTGTTATAACATGTTCGGATGGTGGGTCGGATGGTTTGATTCAGAAAAAATGCACAGATAGATGAGGGAAGTTTCAGTTTTGAGGTTTCTTCGTGAAAAAAAAATAACCGAGGATCACAAATGGAAATGTAGTAAGTACCCATGACACCACTTTGCAGTAAGAAAATCAGCAACATATTGGCATGGCAGCGTGGTCTTCAATTACTAGAACTAGTTGTTGATCATGATCATTCCATTACCTCCAAGAATATTCTGATTGCTGCTTCTCTTGACGCATAGTGGATGAATGCGAAGCCTCGACTTTTCTGCTTTCCCCCCTTTCCATCGCCCTTCAGCTGGTGTCCCGCCCGCTCCACTAAGAGTACCATCCCTGAGTTGGTTTCGTTTTTCTTTTTGTGTCCCAAAATTGAAATGGAAATAAGTCATGTGCGACATAATTGTCAGGCTGTGTCTGTGTGCATAGCATCGTTTATAATATCCTCCAGCAAAACTCATTCCAATCTTCATGTTTAAAAAGTACTTACCCCATTGCGAGAAGAATTTTCCCAATTCGTCCTCCGTGTGCCATTCCTGCACGTAGCCAACGAAAATTTTCGCCGGATCGGGCGACCGCAAGAAGGGATAGAGCTCCTCTTCGGTTTTCAGCTTGTCCTTCACGTCTTTCTCACTCTGATACCGGAGCGTCAGGTATGACAGGGCACAACTCCCCCTCCCACTCATTTGTATTGCATGAACAGCAATACAAACGCCAGCGACCCTGGAGCCTGTGCATGACAAATTTGTGTGCCTACTGTAGTACTGTTTGGGCTTTCGAAATTTGTCATGCAAACAGTGCCACAGGGCAGCGACTGGATTTGGGATTTTGCATGACAAGAAATGAGAGGGAGGGGGAGTGGTGCACTGTCATATCAGGTGCTGCGGCGGTTCCAGTCCGGGGAAATTGTGTCCGTCTAAGAAATATGGATTGCAAAAATGTCTGGGTCTGGAAGAATTCATGTTTGTCATGCTTGTCTGGCATGGCTCTTAAATCTGTCATGCACCTTACCCAAGAACCCCATTTTTCTGTCATGCAGAAACGCTGTTTGTCATGCAGAATAGGCAACACCTAGGAGCTCAGAAACTTGTCATGCTGAGCCAGCATTTGTAGCCTCATCATGAGACGCCACCCAGCATCACAAGTTTCCAGACCCAGACATTTTTACAATCCATAAGAAAGCGGCGTCCGCGTCTGCCGCTTGCTTGTAGGTGATGAAAGCGAAGGGAAACTTTCCCTCCTTCCGGCACAAAGTCGCTTCCACGAGCGGGCCGTATTTGCCAAAGTGCTGCTGAAGCTGCGTTGGAATTGTTGTGCGAGGAAAGATTGATGGCAAAGTAGATACTTAATATAGCTTTCTGTAGATGAATTGTGTCCACCAACAAACGTAGCTGCGGCCTCATTCTTTCACACTCACTACGATACTTATATTTTACCTCACAAAAACACTATCAGTACCGAATGGTCATCGATCCAGTTTGGTAACCCTCCGACGTAGAGCTTCAACCGTCGTTCCACATACAGATGCTCATCCTCGCCGAGCCCCCTGGTGGAGACGAAATCGCCCTTGCCGCCCTTGTGCTTCCCCTTGCCTTTTTCCGAGGGAGCGTACATCTTATCAGTCTATTTAGATGAAATACTTCTTCAAAATAAATTCTACGTTCTCTCCGCGTCGAATTTTTGTCACTTACATATACTAACGCTAGTACTATAGGCTTGAAGTTCTTGAACCAGCTGACTACTTCTATTTCTTTGTGGTAGATGAAAGCGCGGCTGGCGTCGTGTCCAGAGCCAGTGTGATGGTTTCAGTTTCAGAATTGAGGTAAAAGTAAAAGCGCGACCATTTTTACGGAGGACCTAATGTGAAAGTTCTGTCCTCAGAATTCGGGAAAACGATAAAACAAAACCGTGGAGTTGGTCAAAATCAAAAACAAGGCGGTTCTCATTGACAACGTTTACAAACATGAAAAGTTAAAGGTGGGCTCTGGTCGTTCTGTTTCATCCTGGTACTATTAGGGTATGCGCGCCGTCAATAGGGTACTTTATATACTTACGTGAGTTGAAAAATTACCGTGAGGGGCAATGCGTCCTCGACTATTCATGTGTGTACGGTTGTGTGCTGCGAGTTTCAATTTGTTCGTTATATCAAGTTGTGGTGCTAATATTGATCGTACGCGCTATGAATTACCTAAGTGGAGCAAAGCAACTGATTTCGCCCAGCGCAGAAATTGTGAACACAAGACCTAAGCGGTTGTGACTGTGGCATCTCTCTAGGATTACGAAGAATCGCGATGAGCATGAATTTATTTCTAAAATTTAGCATAGCATCTTGGAACTAACTTTAGTCGGAGCAAATCGCTACTCTTGATTTTGAATGATCCAATGAGATATAAGAGGACCACAAAAGTTGTAAGGTAAGCTTTGAAAAAGAAAAGAAGTATACAATACGTAGCAGGCCAGCACCAGCGTGCACTATCGCAGTAAAAAATGCCTGCGCTGATCACACAATCTTTTTGAAGAACCATGGATAAAAAGATGCGATTGTTGTATTCTAGCAAAGTTAGATATTTCGGACGGTCGGCCTCACTGTAGCAAGTACTACGGCACGGATTATATCACGTATCAAAATCTAACTTTTTGCAGAAACGCATCTCAATCGTGCTTACTATTTTTACAGCGATCAACCTGAGCGTTCACGTTATCGTTTTTCAACATGATTGCACTCGTAAAAAAAAGTTTGTAGTAGTACCGCGTGAGCACGCCTAAAAAAAGTCGTAGTAAGAGAGGCAGATATGGAGAGAAAAAAGTTTGTCACAGTCACTAACTTGCAGGCTTCGCATTACAAATTTTCTCAGCATCACAAACTTTCCTTGTATTGCAGAAACACTAGAGAAATCCCTAATGAAGTTTGGCTGTGATGCATTTTTACGCATGACAAACAATTTTGTATTGCAAGAATGCGCATGAGTGATCGTGACGAACTTTTTTTCTTTGATAGCAGAAAGAAGGAAACCAGTACCGCCTCAAAAAGGAGAATTTATGCGAGTGTCAGGATAGAAATCGTCAAAGTTGAAATAGTTTGTCATGCATAAAACCGATACCAGTCGGAAGCCCACTTATCAAGCGGCGCATGACAAATTTTTCGAGCACCGGAATCCAATTTGTCATGCTGTTTGGGCACAGAGTAGTGCTTTTGTCATGCTACTTTAGCAGCTCTATTTAAAACCCTAAACAGGCTCACAGTCGGCCTCATTTGCCATCCCGGCAAGAGCAAGACAGGCACTTCATGCCTTGCATTTTATGCATGACAAATCATTTCAACTTTGTCGATTTCAAATCTGACGCTTCCATAGAATTGATGGTAAGTTTATGACCGTGATCCACTCCGCGTTTATGTTGCGCGCGATGCCGGACAGTGGCCGCCACAGGTAGTGCAGGACGAGATTGAACGAGCAGCCATCGGCCAAGATGGAGAAGTCAATCGCTAGCCCGTTTGGATGACCTTCTTCCGCTTGTTCGCGAGTGCCGGCTTTATTCCCATCCTTATGGTCCTGCAGTCGTACAAGCTCTACAACTCGATGCACGTCCTTGCTCGCGGCCCTGCTCGGCACTGCCAAGATGGTATCTACCGCTGGGATAAGAATCTTCATCTGATCCGCGTGATTGCTATTCCTTATCCTATTCTCCTTAGTAACGGCATTATTATGGTCCCACGGCGGTCGGAAAAGGATGGCTTCGCGAAACTTTTCCTGGAAAAGCGTTGCGTTTGCACGCCTCGGCACGTGCACGAGTTTATTTGATGCCGTCGTAGCTGGAAGGTTAGCGCTACCCTGTTTCTTTCCACCCTCGCCTAGTACACGCATGCGGAACGGCCAGAATCCTTCCACGATTGCCATTTCTGTTCTTTCAAAAATCTCCGGATACATATTGAGAGGAAAAATCCCCCCTCCCCATATTGAAAGCGCATTCGTCTGAAAATTTGTGATGCAGATCTGAGGCCACAAATCCTGTCTGTCTTACAAGAAGGCAAAGCCAGAGAGTCCGCCGCATTATGCCGGCGGTTTGTGATGCTGTTGGGCTTACAGAGCCGACATCTGTCATGCTAGTCCCCTACGTCAAAACCTCTCGACCCAGGCTTGGCATGTGCCTGCAGTCCTCTCCAGCAAGACAGGCCCGATTTGTGTACGCAAATCCGGCATCAGAAACTTCGTTTCGATATGGGGAGGGGGGATTTTTCCCTTTGATAATACAGCACCCCGAAAACGACTCCGAGGTCGAACAGCAGCCCGCTTTGCCCGAAGATCGGCTTCCACCGCTTGGTCTGCGCTTCGCGCTGCAGCGTCGGCAGGTAGGGACAGAGGTAGGACTGGACAGACGAGAAAATAGAGTCGGGCTTCGTCGATGTTGCGGCCCGTATTCCTGTCTTACTAACCCGTTCGTTGCTCGTACGGGAAGATTTTGCATCTACTTCCTGATCATGACCCTCACTGTATCGTAAGGAAAATCCCCCCTCCCCATATTGAAAAGGTATGTTTCCGAAAATCAAAATTTGCGTTGCTGATTTGAGGTCACAAATCACATTTGTCTTGCAAGAAGACAAGGGCAGAAGCTTCCGCCGTACTTTGGAAGCAATTTGTCATGCTGTTGAGCCTAAAAGGGAGCCGCTTGCCACGCTGAACAACTAGACCCATACGCCCCTACCTAGCCTGGGGATCTGGCCGCAATGCCGCCCTGCAATACAAAGCTGATTTGTGTACAGAAATTCCGTTTTGATATGGGGAGGGGGGATTTTTCCTTTCGATACACTGCAGTGGATTCTGCGGAGCAGAGCTTCATCGTACACCTGGACCTCGCTCAGCGTTTGGCTCGTGTACATGACTTTTCTGACCGTTGGCATGTCGCGCAGAAAGTCTTCCAGAAACGCACGACTCTCTCCCAGGTGGTAGAAAAGCGAAACGTGCTCCTGGACCAGATTCCGTTCGTGCAACGGAACCAAACTCCCGCCCACGAAATGCACACTGTCCAGCTTCTTCAGGAGGGAGTCCATGGTGGTGGTCGGAGCTGGTGGCAGGTTCTTCATCATGGAAGGTGATCGCGGAGTTGTAGACGCAGTGGATAAATTCGTTGCCCGCCGCAACGCCGCGGTGAACGCGGAAGTGGGCCCGAGAATCACGACGATCACGCTGTTATTTTGACTGTTTTGCAGATGCTCGACGAACGCAGCGTCACTGTCGTTTTCCGCATCTTTCTCCTCATTTCCGAAATCGCGACACAAGCCGGGAATCAAGGGCAACGCACACTCGTCGGCGCGGTACAGAAGGCGTGGTAGATCAACATTATGGGCAGTTTTCGCACTATGAAGGTAGTGCTGCTCATCTTCTCGAGCCACTTCACCAGTAGTTGTCTCTGCTCGTGCCACCGTCGTCAGCATCTTTCGACCCGTGTCTAGCCGGTGCAACAGAATCTTCAGATTTTCGTAGCAGACCTTGGTTGGAGCGTTTCCATAGGTCGCCGTAATGCCGGCCACTGGGTATTTGTGTTGGGACACCAACATCGACACAGCCACATCGTCATCAACGTCCATCGCGTGCGGGGCCAGGCCCGCCGCGTCTGCGAAGATCCACAGAGACTTTTCTGCGATCTTGGACGTTCTCGCAGCGGCGGGAGAGGCGGAGCTGTCGCTGGGAAAATGTTGTGCTGTGGTAAGTTCGACATTTTTTTCACCGAATAGTGACGACGCACTGACTTGCCTCGTTGGTGATGAAGATGACGCACTGACTTGTGTACAACGGGAGGGACTCAACGAAGGGACATCGACGTAGAGAAACACGAGCGCCGTCACTGCTTTCTTCCAGATGCATAGGGAAAGCTTCATTGCAGAGCAGTCACCACTTCGTCTCCACCAGCTTGGGCAATGTCAAGAGTTTGAGTCACCTCACGACCGCATGTTGACACAGGGCCTGGAAGGCCCACACATTTTTCAAGAAGTTCTGCATGTCTGTGGCCTGCTGCACACGGGTTGTAACTACCATCTGAGATATTACTAGAAATGCGTCTTACTTTTAAAGCTGGTCTACTCGTACTCCCGCTCCGATTCAACCTCAAAGATAATGACCGGGGCTCCAGCTGGCTTCAGCTCCTACGGTGGACTGGCACAGATCTACTAAGCTCAACACACAACTTGAATGATCGATACGAACAGCGAATAGACCGCGGAACAACTACAAACCAAGAGCTACTTGCGCTTGGGACTCGCAATCGATGCCGCTGTGGTTTCATCCACAGTGCAGCACTCACATACAATTTCCTCACATACAATTTCAATTTCTGTTCGTTCACATCGCTTCATATATTTCTGTTTCGCAAATAATTGTTTTTCTTCGAGGAAGTTTTTTTTCAACACCTTCAGGGAAGGTCTTTTATCAATGGCCAGATCATCATCTGCGTCATAGGAGACATGATATTTTCTAGGAACGTTGGATAGTTCTCCCTGCCGCCTGCGCGGTGCTTTTCTAGAAAACACTTGTTACATTGAAGACTACAATACACAACAATTTGTAAACAACATCATAGAGTTCATAGAAGAAGACAGCGTTATTGTTCTGGAAACAACGAAGAGCCCGCCTGCTCTTGTAGTTTCCGTTTCGGAAGATTGAAGAGTTATAGATGAAGCTAGTTCTTGGAAGGCTTTCATGCTGCTACGGCTCGCCTCGCCGACTCAAAATCAATGTCTACAATTCGTTGATGTGCTTCAAAAGTTCAAGGGAGTAACCGCCCGTCCCTTGTTGATCACGTCTTTTCCTATTTCGCAAAAGAAGAAGAAATCGCCCTCATGGTATATTACGAAGTAAAATCACAGAGGGAAGTTTAGAGTTTGCACAGATTTTAGCATCCTATTAGTAATCGTTCCAATAATTTGAGGCCAGCTAAGGATAGCCGGAGCCCGAGTGTAGTACATGACGTCAGTGTTAATCATATAAAATTTCAATCGACCTCGATAAGACAACAAAATCTAAAAAGGCTGCAAAACTTTTTTCAGCTTTGCATGGTTATATTTTTCTCGGAAATAAGAAATGACAATAAGTACTTCTGCCGCATCTGTGTGAAACTGTACGAGGACTCCCTGCGCAAAAGTTCGGCTTCCACAAGCGCTTGCTCAGAAGTGCGATTTTCGCACACCTCGGAAGCGAGTCTCGGGAAACAAAACTCATCACGACTTTGCCGAGTCTTAGCTGACAACAAACGCTCGCGACCATATTGCTCTATGGTCGTCGAGCATCTACACGCCCGCCAAGAAACGCGATTGCTAAAACAGGATCACACAAACGACCATCAATTATTTTCTAGTTCCTCCGTAGAGCAGTAAACTTTTTTTTTGCAGGCATTGTGATTGAACGCAATTATTCAAAGAACCACATATTTCTTGTGTAACAGGAAAAAGCAACGAATCGCTTCGCCTCCGCGACAAGAATCCGCCGCCCCAAACGATGGCTGATTGACAACGCACCGGAGAACGGAGGCATATCATTGTGACAGCACACCGGCGAGGGTAGGTTTCTGTAGCAGCAACTGTAGGAAAAATAGAATCGCACGCATTATTCGTCCGCTTAATCAATTTCTTTTTGTAAAACTCTAAGAAAGTTGATAAATGCAAGGTACAGTGTGACGTGAAGAAGTTGAGGGTGTAGACCTTTCGACCTCGGTAGTTGCAGGTGTGGCTGCGACAAGCATTTCCAAACCATCCTCAGTACGCAGAGGCGACACTGTGACTCACTATTTCCAGTGGATCCCGCCTCAGTGCCTGCTTGCTCAATATTCAAGGGGGTGAGTAATCTTTCAATGGGGTAATGAGCCTTACATCATCGTATCAAGATTTTCTTTGTCACAAACACTCGCAACGCGGCGTTACGAGCGCGAGCGACAAGAATCTTAATGGAGAATTATATAAAGGCCTAAAAGTCGGACTATTCAGTCGAGAGCTCAACTGAAGCCATCCTGTCAAAAGCACAAAATAGAAGAGCGCCAAAGCGAAATCGATACTGTAGATAAACTTGTTTCGGAAAAAAGCACCCTGAACGAGCAGCCGCGTCCCCGAATGCGACACGAGACGCAACAGGTACGCAGTGCTTGCAAAACGGGCGAAGTGAAGCGCTTGCGTTATTGCTATCCCTGGATTCTCAAACAATACAGACTGTGTTTTTTTCTTTTTTTACTTGGTACAGCTTTGCTTAGTCCCTTTGGGCACAGCTTTGCGCTGCGGGGCTACGAGATATTCATTTGCACACCGGGACCATAATATCCTTATCCGGAAGGCTTGAGGGAATCATTTAGGAAGTTGATAGGCTTATTTTCCAAGGGCTTTTTAGAGGCTTGAGTGACGGAGGTAGAAAGAAAATTTACTATTCTTTCCGTACGGGTACGCATAACAGTGCTTAGTTTTTTTTACTATTCTTTTTTACAAGTTTGAGTCCAGGATTATAGCGATGGATGTATATACACTTCAGTAACGATAATCGTTGTAGCACAAAGTCAAATTGAAACAACTGACAGACGCCGCAGTACAAACAACTGACATTTCCAACCGTTTACTTCTGGTGTATCGTATTGGCAAAGTGGCACAAAATTCATTTATAATTAGGAAGGTGTGAAAATACAAACGCGGATACTGTTACATGGATAGTACGGCGCTGTTCGCTCTCACCAAACAGCAAAAAATAAAGTGAACAACTTTGATATTCATACACAATTATACTGATGCGTAAAAATTTCCGCCTCGTTACGACCGTGAAGGACTCCTAGAAGTGGCTGCTGGAAGTCGCCTGAGACCAGTAGAAAACAGCCACCAAGCTGAGCAGCCAATGGTATCATGTGCAAAAGCGTAGCGGTATTCATAGCAAAATCGCATCATATTATCACGCACTGCCAGAGTGGCTCAAGCCAGATGTCGATGCTCTTACGATCGGAAAGCTCTTTTCGCAGAATGCCAATCACTTGTGGGGTGATTGCATGGAGAGACACAGGCCTTGTTGCGCCCCCCCCCTCGAGTGTTGCTCGGTCTTCATGCAATGAGGAAAAAGGAGAGCAGTCGCAGTGCCGTCTGCCTGCTACTTATTCAGCAGAGACTACACTTTTGCACATGATACAGCAAACAAAAGCAGCAGTGCTTGGATGTAGAAGTGAAAGGCTTCGGCGGGGACCTCGTGGTTGAACAGGATCAGAGAGCCGCCCTCCGTGTACCCGAAAATCGTCATACCCCCCGTGGTCGTCACGGTGGACGGAGTAGAAGTCACCAACGTCGTGATCTCCGACTGCTCCGTCGCCGCTGCCGGAGCCTGAAAATAAAGAGAAAATAACCGTTGGACCACTCCCCGTCACCTTGCAAAAACCGAGAGCAAATAAGAGGTGCTGCCCTAAGTAGATTTAGTTCAACTTCAACGGAACGCTACAAAACACGCATCTGCCATTTGGTTCAATGTGGTAAGACCAAAAAAATACCGCGCCAGCTGCACTCTTCTGGGGCGACGCCGCACCGCGCCCGATGTTGTTGATGGCAATGGGACCGTAGGGGTTTCCGTTTTCGGCAGCGATCTGTGTTTGAATTGAGAAAGAAGGCTTTCTCATTTCACCTTCCCTACAGATGGGAATCATGACCTTCCGCATACAACTATGAAAACAATGAAAGGCCTAAAATTTTTTCATCAAATGTGGTTGTTTGCGCAGTAGCGCGTCGTCGCCATATGTGCAAGTAACACTCAAATAGTTACCGCACGGTTGCGGCGCAAGGCCTCGCGGTTCCGCGCACTGAGAGCGCTACCCTCCATGTCCGCCGGATGGGCCCAGGCACAAGCAGCTCCAGCTTCACAGCGTCCAATCTTCCAGAAGTAGCACAAGGGTTTCGGATTGCCCGGACCCCCGGCATTCGCGCCGTTCGCACCGTTGTTCTGCGGAGCACCAGCTGGGTATGCATTTTGCAAGTAATGTCTGGGTCTGGACAGTTGTCACGCGGGCTTAAAAATTGCAAGCACTTCCTATGCCCACTTAAACATGAGAATTTTTTTTTGTTGCGCCCGCGCGCTGCGCATTCTGCATGACAAAGTGCGTTCATTCCCATGGGGACCTACAAATGAAGTCATTCATCTGCTAGCACGACAGAGTTTATCACTTCTTGGTCATGCCAGACGATCATGACAAAGTCTCGCATGAATTTCCCAGACCCAGACCCAGACATATTTGCAATGCATACTGGGGGGGCACGGACGGGACTGCCCGAAGTGGCCGAAGTGCTGGATGCATCGGTAGTACCCTTGGAAGACGACTTCGGAGCGGGCTTGGTCTTCGACTTGGTGTTGGTGGTGGAAGCGGGGGACTTGGGGCCGACCGGTAGTTGTGGGCGGCGAGCGTCCGCGACATTTCCATCATCGTTGGTCGTGGTACCGATCGTGCCCGCGGTGGGGGAAGTACCCGTAGTGGTGTTCGTGGTCCCCTCGGGGATGGCAGCAGACGTAGTCGGCGTGGTCTCCAGGTCAATATCAAGCGAAAAACGACACAACTTCTATCATGCGCAGTTGTGTAAAAAGACTCGGACAAGAATACTTCGTTGCCCTCTTCTAGGGGGACTTTGTCATGCAAAGTGTGCAAAAGATAGCGCAGCCTAGTAGATATACTTCCATGATATTTCCGTCATCGGATTATCTCTTTTGCATGCGAGGTCCGAATTTTTATATCGTCGAATTGCTACGACATGATAGCGCTCCTAATGTGAAGAGTTTTCGAAGGATAACTGAACGGAGAAGGGGCTGTCACAGGAGTGAGCGAGGGAGAAGTCAAGGCCGAGTTGGTGGTCAACGGGGGAGAATTAGTCGACGGGGAAGTAGTCGCTGGCACCGCAGCGGTGCTGTCCAAGTTCTCGGGGACCGGAATGCACACCATCGAGCTGGCCGGCGAGTTCACGATCACGGTGTCGTGGTCCGGAGTAGCATTCACGTTCTGGATAAAGTGATTTGAGCAACTACAGGAACTCGACATCACTTTCAATATTTATACAACTACCGCAGAAGAAAGTCAAGTCGAAAGCTCGCACAGCGAAGTAGAATGGTCATGATATTATACCAACACCTACATCCACATGAAATCTTACCTCCCCTTCCAGGCCGGGCGGCGGACGGGATACGACTCGCGGCATTTCATTATTTCCCACCGGAGCGGCGGCTGCAGAGCCAGACACACCAGAGCGGGAGCTGTTAAGGGTCGAAGCACGACTGAGCGGGGCCTCCGTCGCGATGGTCGCAGTGCGACGGAGATTTTGCATCTGCTGCGCCGCACGGCGGCGGCGGTCCTGCTCCACGATGTAGGAATAGTAGGCCTCCGCGGTCTCGTATTCCCGGCCAGGATTTCCGGTGGCCACGACGGGGGAAGCAGCGGTCACGACGCGGGAAGTCGTGGCGGAAGCAGCAGCGGCCACGACGGGGCTGTTGGTGTTGGTCACCTGGTGGCCACCAGCGGGCGGCGTGCTCACGGACACCCAACCTGAGAGAGTCGTTGCATTTCATTTTGCTATTTTTCCACCGGTCAAATAAACCCGGACTGCAAGCTGGCGTTACTTGTTCTACACGTACCAACACCAACATCAACAACACACACAGGAGCGCAATATGAACTCGCTTCAGTGTATCAATTTGTATCAAGGGAATAAAGTGACAACGTGGATGAAACCGAAAGTGGCGTTCGTATATAATCGTCAACAAAAATGAACAAATTTAGCACAGTACTGTCGTCCAGGGAGGTGTTGGCGACGATCGACGTGTTGGCGACGGTCGACGGGGACAAACCGCTGGCACCGGCAGCGCAGGAGGCCGAAGCATTCGGCACATGCTGCCAGTCTCCGCCGTACTGGTCCACGGTCACGTGCTGCCAGTCCGAGTTGGAAGGGACGTTGGCATTGAAGTTCGCGGTGTAGTAGCCGTTCGGGTTCGTCGGGTCAACATAGTGATACCTGGAAGTAGAGTTGCGTTCGGTGAGATATATAATGAGTCTTGGAAAATCATGAAGTGTTTATACGTACTCTTAGACAATGTATCCAAACACGAGCGCCATGTTAAACCTATTTCACAACAAAGTGCCCGCTTGACAAAGGTTTCTCACAGAAGTTTCTTACTGATCTATTAAGCAACACGGAGGTCGTAGTACCCGGGAGTCGGGGCCACAGGGTTGTACACAGCACCCGCATACTGCTGCTGCTGCGCGGGCTGAGCGGCAGAAGCCTGGGGAATTGAGGGGACCGAATGTTGCTGGTAGTAGATCGGGTGGTTGTGCTGGGTCGCATTGTACGACCCGGTTGCGGCTTGCTGCTGGGCGACCCAATGCGCATCTGTGCGAAAGAATTTACTTACAGGTGGCTTGTTCAAGATGCTTAGAAGAGGTCATTGCGAGGATAGAAACGCCACTCCCTTCCAAAAGGTTTGTTCAGCTACACGTTTACTGCGCACCGAGGAAATTTTTATACTGAAACTGATGCATGTACACCTACAAGCAGCTCAAAAATCAACAAGTTCTCACGCGCACCCGCAGCATTCAAAGTCCGAAACTGCGACGCAGCGGGCTGGCCCAGCATGCGTCCTGGAGAACGCCCGTTTCCGCGGTGCGCCGAAGCGGCAGGGTAGGTGTTCATGCCGGTGGTCTTGTGTTGACCTGGAATAAGAAGTTATTGGTGGAAGAATTAAGATTAACTGCCATGCTCTGTTTTCTTCGTTCAACATGCAGAAATGCCGAAATTACATTCGCGGTGCTTAGGCCATCTGGAGAAAGTTGTGACCCAACAAAACAACAGCAATATCCGCTCCAACTAGAAGAAACAATGACATCAATGAGAACGAAGACAATACAAAGCACCAACTACTATAACATGGAATATGAGTAAGAGTAGATTTCCGAAAGAAACCATACCGCCGTTGCCGCCACGCTTGTTCATCTTATTGATTTCGTTGTCGACGGGGACAGTGCTTGAATGTCGTCTGCTTTTTCAGCGGCTTTGAAACTTCTTTTGCTTCTTGTTCCTTTCACTTGAACTTGGTCGTGCCGACGGCGAGGAGAGAATTTTACACGACAACTTTTCAGCTGCAATGAGATATTTTTTTGTTGAGACAAAAAGAAATTTTAGTGGTCTTTACAAGGTCTTTACAGAATTAGTTAGACGAGTAATGCGAGCGAAATTTTCGTTTTCCGCAAGCTGCTCAAATATTTGCTACTGTTTTTGGAGAAAAAAAAATTTTCGTTCCAAGTGACAACGAAATGCCACCATGCTCAATTATATTACGAGGAAGAGAAAACAAATCAACGGAAGCATCGAAATGGTTTTTACTAGACCACTTGAGCTCGACGTTGACCTTGCTGAAAGAAAAGGAAAAAAAAAACAAACAGGTCGTGATCTTTTGACAAATGTTGATCTTTCTTCTTGCCGGATCCAATAACTCACCTTTTTCAACGGAAAAAGGCTTTTTGTGACGACACAACTGAAGGAGAAGAAAAAGCCACTAAGCATCTTGGTGATGATCTGGTGTATGCTGATCTTGTTTCTGAGGGAAAGGAACCATGAAACCAACGAGCATGAAAGAGAAAAAAATGCGCGGTTTATCGATAATGCATCCTTATTCTGTACAAAGGGCTGAAAACGGGACACGAAAAAGCGAAGCAGTAGTACGAGGCTCTGTTGAACTGATGTGGAAGCAGAGGACACTTATTTGAGTAAAGACACAAAAAAACATAAACACCGATATGATTTCTCTCGCTTTCTGTTTTCTCCGCAACAGTGCGGACGAACACCGGCTATTTTCCCGTCGCCCAGCGCAATGCCGAATCGCGGAACGCAAGTTTTGCGTTCAAGTGCGATAGGAAGATTGAAAGTCACGCTGTAATTTCTTTCTTTGTTCTTCCTTCCTGCTGAAAATGGAAGGGAAGGAAGTACAGAACAATACAGTTCGGGACAGAAGGCAAAATTTGACCTGCATGACAGCCGCATTAATAACAAATTCAGATCTTCTCGTCACGGCTCCTGTTGTTTATTTCCACAAACTCCATACCAAACGCAAAACGCCACACCAGCAGTCAATCAACGTGGTTGCCATCGTCTTCTGACGGGGTGTTGTCGAGCAGTCCTGAGTGTTCGCCGATTGCACCGTCGTGCTGCTCGTTCTCGTCTTCTGGCAAAGTTGTATAACTTCTACAGCACCCTGCTCCTCCTCCTCGAACTCATCGCGGCAAGCATGCAACGAATCCTTTAAGTCAAAAAGTTCTTCCGTTTGTTCACGCCGCGGTGACGAGGAAATATCCGGCGCGTCGCACAAGGTAACATAACAGGCGTTTTGGAGGTTACTAGTATAATTGTGCTGTGGTAGCACGTCGCCGTGCTTCATCTCACGTAGCATTTCATCTCTGCGCTCTGGGTAGAAGTTTGTCGTGCGCTCCTCGTCCAACCCGCCATGTAGTATATCCCCGCTGAAAAACCGGTCCTGCTCGCGCAGCATCGCAGTCCACTCGTTCTCGGATGGTAGCCCAAAAACCTCCTCCCAGAGGGAGTAGACAAGGTGGTGATCATGCGCCGGGTTGTCTTGATGATGATGTTGATCTTCCTCGTATACTGAGGGGTCGCAGGGTCCTTCGGAGTAGATTTTCGTGTTGCACCTTGCCTCTTCTACTTCATTGCCAACATTCAGTGCCTGATGCTCGTCTTGGTCACGCTCTTTTCCAACAGACGGCTGACGTGCACAGTCAAGATGTGCTGTGGTTTCTCTCTGGTGCTGTCGTGGCTCGGGATTCGTTCGCTCCCTCGTTTCCTCCACCGCGAACATTTCGTCCCACTCGCACACACGAGCAGTTGTAGTACAACCACGAGCCTGGTGCTCCTCTTCTCGACTCTGGTCTACTGCCCTTCGCTTGTTGTCCCCAGGCCCTTCTACTACAGGAAGTGCCTGCGCCGCTGCTGTATCGATTTCTGTTCCCTCCTGTCGACTGTCGTAATGTCCCAGCTGGTCGCGGTCCTCCTCCGCATCGTCATTTTCAACCGAGGCGGAACTTGACATGTTCGCACCTGGTCGTGTACTAGCTGCACAATTTTTCCGCTCGTCGTCCATCGAAGCTTGTCGTATCTGCTCTGTGTTATAAACCAGCGACGCCTTATTTTCCTTGTGCCGGTTGTCGGAGCCCGATGAACTACTTGATGTGGCATCAATAGTTCGTGCCTCGGCAGGATGAACCACGCGAAGAGCATCTAGATCGACCGCGGAAGAATACGACCTAGATCTGGTTTCTCCCGGCGCGCAATGCCGTTTTCTCGCCGGTGGATGAAGGTCCTCCAGATCGTCAACATCACGCGTCGGGTTGTAGCGATCTAGGTTTCCTCGTCCCACCTCCACGTTAATTTCACTGACTGCCGGCGAAACATTATAGTCCTGGTGCGGTACAATGATCTCGACGTGCGAAGTGGACGAAGACAATTCTGTGTCCATGGACATCTCTGCCGGCTCCTCTTCATCGTCGTGCAAGACTGATCCGGGGGAAGTTTCCGCTTCGTGCGTAGTTGGGAGGCATCTATTATTTTTCATCGTACTGCTTGGAGCAGCTCGAACATCCTCCACCTCCCCGACAGCACAGTTCGTACCGGCGTGAGGACGCTGTTCTTCTTGTTCCAGCGAGCACATCTTCAAAGGGTCTCCAGCTTTATCCTCCTCCATAAACGTAGTTCTTGCACCAGGAGGTCCTGGTAACTCTGTACCTGTAGCCACCGCAGGCGATACTACTCCTGAGGCCGCGCCCTCGAAGGAGTCCTTATTAGTACGGGAAGTAGAAGATGCAGCTATAGTGGTGTTTGTCCGTCGCACGTCGTGATGCTGCAGAATTTCATCCACGATCTGCAGCTCCTGTTCTAGTAGTCCTTGGACGGTCGATAATTCTTCCAGACCCTCGACGTAAACAAGGGAGTCATTCTTGTTGCACAATTTTGATCTTGTAGGCTGCTCAGGCAGTTTTTCTTCCTCCTCTGCGCGGCCGCTTGTGGCAGCTACAGGAAGATCTTTTCGAGATAAAACCATCGCATCGTCGTGTCTCGGAAACCCATTTGGCTGCTCGCGCAGAGAGGTTCCTTCGTCTGTGGTCTTGTGCGTCTTCTTTTTCTTTTTCTTCCTCTTTTTTCCGCCGGACTTGATGTTGGCTGCGCTCGAAGTTGGAACGTGGTCAACATTTAGATCTACTTCCGCGGTTTTGACAACCGTCGGCTCCTCTGGCGTCTTTATTTTGCACGGCTTCGAACGATCATTTTCAATTTCATCTGCGGGGGCAGCTGTCGCCCCTCGCCGGCTCCTTTGGTCCACCGGTGGAGCAGAAGTCGCAGAAACGGACCTGCCAGAAGTAGCTGCTGCCACATGTTGAGTATCAATCTCGCTTGAAGGACAGGGGACCTGCTTCTTCAGTTCTTCCCGGATCTCGTCTAAGCTAGCTCGGTACCCGGTTGCCTCGTAAATCGCATCGCTGAAGGAACTATGCAGAAAGCAATAGCATTCAATCACAACTGATCATTATCTACGTAGAAGCACGGCGCGCATGACAAATTTCTGAAAATTGAATTTTATGCGCTGCTGCAAACTGGACTAAAGGCAAAACCAAAGCCTCGTGCTTCGTACAAACAATGTACAACAGGATAAAAGAACTCTTTTGCGCAATGGATATGTTTTCGCCACCTCTTCCAGCCCGGCGTTTTGTTGCACCAGCTTCGTCGCGACGTCCTCCAGCATCACGGACGCTGCAGGGGAGGCGAAGCTCTTCTGCTTTTCCAGAAAGTCTGCCGTTGTGTGGAAGCTCTTCTTCACGACCGCGCTGTCATGATTGGAACTGCGTGCTTCCTCTTTTTGCTCCTTCGTGATCTCGTATGCCTTCTCTCTTTGAACATCCTGATTCTTTTTAAGTTCTCCGTTCGCGGATGAGGAAGAGCAAACACCAGCTCCGTCTGGTGTTGTACTAGGGAGTGACAAAAATGTTTCCTGCGCGTACAAGAACGGGCTGGATGTTGATAGTTGCTTGTTTGGCACGACCAGATTGTTCAACATCTCGGTCCTCTCCTGCTGACGCGATGCCAAGCCCATCGTGAAGCCTGTCAGGATATCTGGGCAGTAGCTGGGTACCACTACCGAGGACGTTGGGGGGCACGACGCGAGGCCAGCACCAGTGGCTCTCCAAGCCGAAGACGCGAGGGAAGCAGATAACTGCTGCTCGGGAGGTTGTACAGGAGCTTGCGCTTGGTGTACTTGTGGCGATTTTTGTAGTTGTGCTTCTTTTGGAGGAGGAGATTTTGGTGGCTGCTGCACACGACGACCCTTCCCTCTCTTACTGTCATGATCTTCTTGCGGATCTATCAACTTCTCGCGCTTCATCTTCGCTACGTCTTCGGGCGTGACTACTCGTATCGTGGGCGGCATGCAGTGCCCCCAGGAAGTAGTTGTGCTGCTGACGTTGACGTAGGTTTGGTCAAGTGCAGTAGTGGGGATTTTCTTGCCAACATGAACATTTTTGTCAACAACCCTCTCCGACGAGGTAATAAAACCATCAGCACCAGAGGCAGGGGCGGCGTTTCCTATAATAGCTTTCGTCTTTTGTTCTGCTGCTTGCAAGCGCAACGGAGCTCCGGCGGCCTTGAGGTGGATCTTCGTTGTTGTTTTTTGCTGTACTTCAGTTGTTTGACATTGATTCGCGCCACCACGACGCGCATGATTCTTAATACTGCTCGTTGCTTTCGACGTGTTCTTCCTGGTAGGTTCCTGCACCTGCAGGAACATGCTTTCCACGACTTGCACCGCTGCCTTTGTCTCCGCTTCTTCCGTCGACAAATGTCCGCTTTGCTGGTTGTGTCGCACCGCTTTTTGAAACATCTGCTGCGCAGAGTCCGGAAGCCGGACCTGCTGCCACCGGACGGCGCCAGACGGAAACTTCCCCGTCTTCTCAAACTCCCGCATGGCCAATTCGTGTGCCGCCCGTTGGTCGGGGGAAAGCTGCTTGCACATCTCCGACATGAACGCCATCTGGATCTTGCGCTCCTGGTCCGTCAGAGGTTCATCTTCCGCAGGTTGTTGTTGGCGTACTAGCGGCTGTTGCTTTTGCTTTTCTTGTTCGGCTATGCCAAGCTTTACTTTTTCCAAAAGTTCTTTTCTTGATGTTGCGACGGTGTAGTTTGGCTTTGGTGTGTTGACAGAATGCGTTGTAGTCGTAAAGATTTTTGAAGAAGATGCTCCGGATTTGCTTTTATCAGGAGCTTTCAACATCTTGTCGATTTCGTGTCCCGTCGAAGGTTTCTGTTTTGTAACGGTTTTCTTTGGATAACCGGTTTTCGAGACCGAGGATCCTGAAGATCTTGGGACGAGGTGGACATCTTTGGAAGACAGAGCAGGACCCGTACTAGTACCTCCCGTAGAAGTACTACATGAAGAGCTGCCCCAAGCAGCGGCCCCAGGTGCTGCGATAGGCAGCTCCGCAGCGGCCGCGTCCTTCACAACCGTTCTGGCTTTATTAAAACCTTCCGCTTTATCCTTATCGACCGCCTGACTTTTTAAATTTAGTAGCGCTGCTGCTTCCGCGACGCTACTAGCAGTGTTATTTGTACTAGTGCTGTCTTGTATTTTGCTTTTCGGGAGCATAATTCCCGTTTCGTTGCAATGCTGCTTTGCCCAAAGCATGGTTTCCTGCGTCTCCTTTTCCATGAATTTTTTCATGGCGCGCTTGCGCGCGTGCTTGTTCATCCCCTTCAGGTCCAGCGTCTCGGTGAGAAACATACCGTGGGGCGAGATCTCGACCTTGATTCGCGGATCGCTGTTCGGTGTTGTGCTCGTATTGGACGAGCAGTCGTTTTGGATCATTTTTGACGCTAATGTTGTTCCACTGTCGACAGTAGCTGCAGGGGGCAGAGGTTCCGATATTAACGGAGCCCCTTGCTCGGGATGAATCCCTGCCCGTTCGTTCGCCAGCGCGGTCTCCTCAGATACACGGGATGAGCACGACATTTTCTTGACGTAGTCTTCCTCCAACTTTGTCATCCCTTCCTTTATACTATCTTGCCCGTCGGGGTGCCCCCTAGTACTTTTTGCCCCCTCCAAATCATCCTGACAGCTTCCCTGCTGAAGTTTCTTTCTTCCCTCGCTTTCGTCGCATGTTGGAGCTGCAGGTCGAGGTTGTGCAAATCTTGCCGCACTTCTCCCAAGTTGACTTAGTTCCTCGGTTGTTCTCGGGTGATTTATTTCTGCGTAAAGTTCGGCTTCCTTCGTATGAAATGTAAAAATGTCTGGGTCTGGAAGCTTGCCAGGTTTGTCATGCAATTCTGAAAGACTCATGATGTCTGTGATGCATGCTCTAGCACGACAGTTTTTTAGAGGCCTTTGTGATGCCTCTACCGCATGAGAAATGCCCTCTCCGGGTAGCACAAACTGGAGTTCTGTTGCTGGTCATGCAATGCAAATTTTTTTAGAATCCAGAGACAGCATCACAAGTTCCAACCTTCCAGACCCAGACATTTTTACATTTGATACTTCGTGATATTCTGCAAAATTCGTTCCGTCCGATCGGAGGAGGTCGTCCTCGGAGGTGCAGCTTTAGAAGAAGTACCAGTCGCCGTCTGAATCAACGAAGACCCGACTGCTTTTTTAGTACCAGCAGAACAACCTCCAGGTGGAGCAACACGATGTTGATCCTTTTTCTTCTTCTCTTTTTTCCACTGGATCTTACTCGTTTGCGCAGACGCGGAACCACCGGGCAGCTTCTGCTTGACCTGGTGGTAAATCGGGCAATCCACGCGCACATCCCCGGGGGCGTCGTCCTCGAGGCCCCCCGGGTGGCGAAACTGGCAGGCCCAGCCACGCACACAGTTTCCCCTTTTCCAAAGCGGACAAGCCGGTCCTTCTATGCTGTAATTCGACCAACCAGCAGTCAAAGACGATGAAGTTGTTGCGCGAGGAGCGACTAGTAGGGGATCATTGGCACCTGTGAGTTGTTCCGTGCCAGACTCATGTGCTGGATCTGAGGGAGGTAGACACGAGTTGTTCTTGTTTTCCCGTTTTCCTGCAACATCGGAAGGCATCTGATGTTGCTCTTCTGTGCCAGAGCTGCACAATGAGTGTTCCTCGGGTGTTGACGTTGCGTTCGGTGCAGCGGCGTGTGTCGCTCCCGTATTTTCAAAATCGTGCAGGACGCTGGGGCCTACTTCAGTCTCGGCGGGCCACCAGGACGAGCCCTCCTGATCCGACACAGACAGCGACACAGACAGGGAACTGCTTCTCGATGTTCTGCGAACCACCGGAAGCGAGTTGACTGCATCAGTGTCTGGTGGAGGCGTGAAATTCTTCATCTTGTTCTCCGAAGAAGCCAAATTCGCTTCGTCAATTCTGGTGGAATTGGAAACAACAAGGTGACTTTACCTCCACATTCCGTACGTCATAATATGCCGGTCGCAAGACCAAAGCCATTATTCACGCGGCACGGGTGCGCAACAATGAGAACGCAGCGGTTCAAACCACTTACGACCGATAACATATGTTGCTCCTCCTATCCTGTTTCCGTCACCGGTAAATTTCTACCTGCTACAAGAGCGTCGCTCTGTGAGGCTTGTTGACGACAAGCAGTTTGTTCATCCACGTTTATGTACGTGCATGGGCAGCAAACGAACTGCACTTGCAATGCGGCAAAGGAATCCGCAGAGTAAACGAAGGTAAGAACAAGCGCAATCGCAAGTAACACAAATCGATACGAACAGAAATCTAAGTTTTTTCGAATTCTTGTTTGGCTTTTTTAGATCGCTACTTTAAACATTTTTTTTGCAGAACACCGGAACCGGTCCCGACGGGAGACGCAGCTAGTTGTATTCCAGGGTGCCTCCGTAGTTCTCGGAGAAGAGAGAGCTTTCGCAGAAGCTGATCGTAACATAAAAATTATGCGCAATTGTAGAACTTCCAACTCTACGAGGTTACCAATGACATGTTCAAGGGACTGTCCCTTCGTCTTTCTCAATCGAAAGAGCAGTGCCGTCCGTTTTCATTTTACACCGACGAAAAGAGAAGCTCTCCTGGGGCGAAATAAATGCAGAAACATAGTATTTCCATTTTTTGTTCCTGCCAAGAATTTCAGCTCACCAAGTCGTCCTTCTTTACCAGACAGTACACTCTATCATCCAGATTGATTCCCCGCAGATGTGTGTCCTCGGACGTGGCCCGCATTAAAAGCCCACCGAAACTGATGTGCACTGTGGTCTTCCCGTCCTTTTGCGACCGCTCGTAGCAGGTTCCGTAAGTGACGTAGCTGTGATTGTTTTGGGTTTGTATTCAATTATGACAAATAGTTTGTGTTCTGCTTCTCCTAGCCACACACATATGCTGTTAGAAGCAAAAGAACCACGAAGTAATTTCTTTTATTGTACCCGAACTTGTCTGCGATATTTGCGCCCAGGACTCTTTTATCGTGCTGTGCGTAGCTTTCGAGTTTCTCCCCGAGGGCTAGCGTTTTCAGCATGACAATGTGCAGGCTCTCGCCGACCTCCACGGGATACAGTTCTGTGTACACGTCGTACTCGAGTTTCGTCGAGGTCTCTTGTGATTCCAGCGTGATTCGACCCACCTTGTCAAATCTGGAGTGATCGACGTTCGAGACGGTCATCACATCCTCGAGGAGGAGATTTGGTGGCTGCATCAGAGCGCCATACTCCGTGATGGCGCTCGTTTGGTTCGTGCTGCTAGACGTAGCTGCGGCCGGCATTTTGAAGAAATAATTTGATGTAGTTGATGTCCTGTGTGTAGCGGAAGAAGTATTTTCTCGCTATGTGAACAATACCGTCAGAGGTGCAACAAGGACGAGAGACACTTAATACACAAATGTCGTGGCTCAAGATATCAATCTAGCAGTCGGTAAAAATATTCGGTATGCTTTGTGGTCGTGCGATGAAATAACTAGCGTGCCGCTGATGTTACAAATCATTTACAACACGGGTAATGCTTGCTACTAGTTCTCGGGGGAACTACACCCTATTTTGATGTTTCTTGATTTTATCGACACTGAAGAAGATCCTCTTCCAATGGCGGCAGAGAGCAGCCCTGTCTTGATCTTTTCGAACTGATTTTCATCGTCGGGAAGATTTGGTCATTTTTTGGATCGTTTGATTTGGTTGTGAATTCTACAGAACAAAAGACAATGTCAACGAAACTGTAGAAGGTTTTCTACTGAAATTTTGTTTTGATGATCACGTATGTAGTTTTCTTGCACATGTGAAGATGTGATTGAACTTCTTACTTTGTCATGCGAAACCAGAAGGGCAAATGTATTTATGGCGCAAGGTCAGTGCGAAGGGCGCTTCTCTGGTACTATCTACAATTGGAAATGGGTAGTTGTAGTACTAGCAGAAAGTCAGAAATGATAATCAAGTAGCTGACAGCCCCGTGCACGGAGAAAAGAAGCGGAAATGCTAGCAGCTGGGAAATGCAAACCTCTCGTAGCACACCAATACAGGCTCGCGCATCTACATTGCGGAAACTTCTCACATAATATTGTGAAGAGGGAAGACACTCGCATGATGACGGCAGCACGGTTTCTGTCAACTTTTATCAACATTCATAGAAAACTGTATCCATTTGTTGTGTACCAGACCCACAAGAAAGCTCCAAACGGTATGGAATAGTGCCACAGTGTGTGGTAGAACATGAATCCCTGAAACAAGCGCGTCTCTAACTGCCTATTCTTGTCCTCCTCGTCGGAAGGCTTTGGGCTAGAAACGGGCTCTGCAGCTGCGAAATTTCCCGTCGACGTTGATGTTATGGCCCGCAGAAAGAGCTCGCTAATCGGCAACAGGAGATCCACCGCGACTTGGAAAGCGAAAGCTGCGAGGGAGGAGGTTATTGCGAGAGAGGAAGATGCTGGTACAACATTCTTCGTCGTCCCATCTACTTCGGTCGCTGCCGATGGTAATTTCGGCGTCGGGCAAGTAACACCTCCGACGACTCCGCGAGTTTTTGGCACACACTCGCCGGCGTGCTGCTCTTCGTGGTCGTAGGCAAAGGATTTCCGGGTTTTCAAAGTGTTTGGAATCGAATCGTTTTTGTTGGCGCTGCTGCTGTTGTTGATGTTGTCCATGCTCTCTTGGTGTACAGCACTTAACTGCGTTATCATCTGTGGCCCAAGTGTACTAGTTTGAGCGCCGGAAGGAACTCCTATCCTCGCATTTTTATCCCCACGTGAAGGTGTATGTGCTTGTTGTAGATGAACCTCATCTGGTCGTTCTTGCGTTTTGCTGTGTTCGTCCAGCAAGACAAAGTCCTCGTCTCCGATGCCGCTCTCGAGTTTTTCACAGGCGTAGTGCCGAATCTCCATCAGATGCACCATGGCCCAGTGGCAGATTTGCGCGGAAACGAAGAAGAAAACTGCGGTGACCAGTGCAACGGCGTAAATCGTGATTTGCGTCTGGTCCATGGTCACCATCGCGGCTTTGCACAGCTGCAGGCAGAACAAACTCGAGGCCCAAATCTGGTCCAACCGAGCGACGTACCAGGTCAAGCCTGTTGAGATAGGCAATCATTTGAAATTTTTACTTATAGATACTTGCGTTTTTATTGTGAAGAGCATGGCCATCTTCTTTCTTAGTCATATCTGCGGTGAGGTACGTACTATGATCAGCAAGGCGAAGCACCGGGAGATGAGGGATACAGGAAAAAAAGTTATTAAGTGATCCATTTATTTACCAAAACACCGCACGTCGCTGGCATACGAGATGAAACCCTGGCAAATGAGAAAAAACGCTTCCCACCGCCACAGGAGCAGGCCGTACCCCGGCCCGCAAGCGGTGGCCAACTCTTGCGATTTCAAGTAGACGTAGATGCCGATCAAGGTGTAGGTGAAACTGGAACTTGCGTACCACCAGGTGTTTTGCGCCAGCGGTCGCCAGTGGTTGGCCATGCAACCGTGGATCGCCTCGGAGACCCACTTGGACATGTGAAGGTATTGACTCGACTCCTCGCAGTGGCCTAGGTACCAGGCTCGGACCGTGGCTAACATTGTGCTCTTGTTGTTCTCTCCTGCAGCGAGTTCTTTACTATGAGAGACGAGGTAAGGTCTTTAGAAATTTCTTGCAAGGTGAGACACTTACCAACATACTGAAACCTATACATCTTTAAACAGACCTTCTTTCGCGAATGGGATCTACCTCATAGCAATAAATCGACCAGAAATGCTTCAATCACAACGCGCGATCCAAAATACGAATATCATATCTTCCTAAAATGCCACCGATGGCATGAGAGAGGGGGGTGGAATGATGAAGCGCCGTAGCCTGCGGACATTGTTCGCACGGAAACTCGCTAGAAAAAAGAAGTTCACGATTGACCTAGCTCGACCTTTCCTCTTCGTAGTGCATTTGCATCTGCATGTGCAGCGCAGTCAAGATGAGAAATAAAAAATTACGATTTTCTCATACCTCAACCGAAAATGAGTATAAAGCACTCAACTATATTAAACGCTCGACATGTTAGTACCGGCGAATAATGGGGCAGACGGTCCTTCTTGGTTTTGCGTATCGATACCAGGGCCAAGACCCGCACGACAAGTTGTTGATACTATGTGTACGTGAATATTCGAACACCTTTCCTGATGCGTACTCATCATCAGCACTGCCCGTGAGTAAGTGCATTGATGTGGTCCGAGAATAAAGGCAATTGTAATCAAAGATGAAGTTGTTCTCCTCTATGTGGTTGTATTGCTGTCGCGCACGACTGAAGATGGAAGAGCGTCTGGCTTCACTCCACCTCCAGCAAGATTCACATGTACATTAGCAGTTCATGTATTCTGCAACTCCCTGCTGATCCACCCCGTTGTTCCCGTTACTATTATTCACCCCCTTGTTATGCGGTGACATGTTCATCTCGCAGTAGATTCTCGCGTCTGCATGCGCATTCACACCGCCCAAGGGGTCGACGAACCCACTCCCACTATCGGCTTTGCAGATCGCATGCAAGGTCAAACATCCGTTGTCGTACAGCATCAGCTTCGCGGCGGAGGCTTTTTCTAAAACCTTTGGCAAGAAGGTGCAAACATGGAGTTTGCTGAAGGGCACGCCGGCGGCGGTGTCTAGCTGGCTGCGGAAGGGTGGAGCCTGGTTGTTCATCATTTGCGGAAACTCATTCATTCCCTGCACCTGGTTCTGCTTCTGCTGTTGTGGCGGAGCATTAATACTTCTTGCAGGATCGTTGTTGCTATTAACATTGCCGCCTCGTTGTTCCAGACCTTTCGTCAATCCCGGTGGCATGGCGAACTCGTCAAAAATCTGTCTGGGCAGCTCTGCGCGGAAAAAAGAGGAGGAGCTGGGGGTAGAAGTGGAGATTTCCAATCGGTAGTTTCTAGAATTGCTCAGATACTTCTGGTCGTACAATTTAGCGTTGATGTTGGCTCCCGCACCAGGGGGCTGCCGGTTTTGATGCTGGTTTTGATTCAAGATGTTTTGCGGGTATTGACCTCCAAAGGGGTGTACATTCCTGCTACTGCTGGACGATGAAGATGAACTTCCACCGCCCTGAAGATGAACCTGGTGCTGCGGATTTGATACTTGTACAGCACCGCCCGCACCCCCGCCTCCCCCTCCCCCAGTGTCTTCCGCCCTTCTGTTCAACACTCGTTTTATGATCACCGTCTTGGTTTATGAACTCCAAAAATGTCTGGGTCTGGAAGGATGCAAGGCTTGTCATGCACAGTTTGCATGAGTCTCGACGTCTGTGATGCATGCCCTAGCATCACAGATTTTGTGAGGGCTTCCTGATGCCTATACCGCATGAGAAATGCCCCCTCGCCGACGTGGCAAAAACTGGACCTCCTTTACTGTTCATGCAATACAGATTTTTGTAGTATCCAAAGACAGCATCACAAGTTGCAATCTTCCAGACCCAGACATTTTTGCAATCCATATCGTTAAATCCTTCTGGTCTACATCCCCGTCGCCCGAACACGCTTGGCACAAGAAGTCGACGTATATCCCAGAGAAAAAAGCAGGCAGGGCATATTTGTAATGCAAAAATGACTTAGCAGAAAAATCTGTCATGGGCGATCCCATAGCATGGTATTTAGGAACTGCAATACAGATTTTTTTGTCATGTCTGTCTGTCTTGTTTTGCATTACAAACATGACCTGCCTGTCTTTTTCTGAGGGATAACGGATCCCTGCTTCACGGAGAAGGCCTCGATTCTGTTCGTTTTCCGCATCGAGTCGAACAAGTTGTGGATACTGTGTCACTTTTAAAAACGTCCCCACCCCATAGCTGTAATGCAATTCTGCACGCTGGGGATGTTTCTCATGCGGAGCCCCATGAGAAACATCTTCTAGCGTTGGTTCGGAATTCGTCATGTTCCAATCAGCATGTTGATATGCTAGATTTTTGATGCTGGTAAACTAGCTAAGCAGGACCATAGTAAGAGGCCAAACTCGTTGGCATGCGCAACAAGAACCAAAGCTCGATGGGGTGGGGACGTTTTTACACAGGATATCTGGTCGTAGATCGCCATGTCTTCACGGGCGAAAGCGTGTCCCTTCAGCTTCACCTCTGACCCCCCATTGTCCCCAATCAGCTTGATTTCCAGTCTCTGTTCCAGCATATTCAGGTGGAATTTCAGGTGCGCCTGCATACCAAACGTCGACAGTGCATTGATTAGTGCATCGAGCCTCAGAAACAGTAGTGGGTGCGCGCTCACACGGAAGTTCTGGTTTTGCTGCTGCTGTTGAAGATGCGGTGCTGCTGCTGCTGCTGCGCCCACAGGAGGACCACCAACGGCTTCTACTTCCTGCTGTAAAAGTTCTTGCGGCTGCTGGTTATGATCCAAAAGGACCACATTAGCAGCCGCGTAGTCCCCCTGTTCGAAAACGTAGGAGCGAAAAATACCGCTTTTGAAGGTGAGAACCACGCGAACGGTCTTGCCGGCGTTGAGAGCGGTAAACCGGAGGCTGTCAGGGAGGGCTTCGAGTAAGACCATCTGCTGATCCTTCTTAAAATGACTCAGTTTCAGGGTCGGAAGCAGAGAGACCAAGGTCTTCACGCTTTCCAGTTCGCACCGCATTTTGAGAAAGGTGGTAATCAGGCAGTGTTGCTGTGTTTCTGGTTTCGCTTTCGCGTTGTGAAAGAATGTCGGAAATAAACTCGCGAAAAAAGTTTTTTTTCTACTAGGGCGGAGATCCGGTGAAATACACAACCAGGGCGAACTTTATTGCTCGAGCAGGGATGGGAAATTCTAATTCCTTCTTCCTATCTTCTAATTGTCCTATCACACGTACTATGTTTTCTAATACTTACAGCTGTGTGCGTCTGTCTACTTCAGGGCCAGAGACACGAGTGCGACTGCGGACAAAAATGAAAAGGCACGACATGTGGTAGCTATTTTGTTGCCAGGAACCGCACGAGAGCCACGAATGGGGTGCTTGTAAAGATTCGGAAACATGGTGCTCCTCATAGACCAGTGACAGCAGTTGCTCAGCCTGGTATTTGTTTTCGCTTTCAACGACGTCTGCTTCGGCGTTCTTTTGTGCAAAGAAAATAGAGTCGCGGAGCGACAAAGGAACAAATGCAGAGCCTCTTTATTCATGAAGGTCGATTATGTCCTATGAAATACCAATACGTCTCGTCAAAAATGCTGGGATACTAGGATCAAGCATTCTTTCAGAAAAATGAGCGTTAGACGGTCAAAAAACCGTTTCCTCTAGTTCAAAGAGGTGCCTGTTGCCGTGATGCCTGGTCCACAAGTAGGGGTTTTCTGCTCGCCACCTGCTGTCCTCTACCGCGCCAATAATCTGCATCCGCTCGTAGTTTGTGACTTGGTCCCCCGGACCCGCAACGTCGACCAACCGCGATTCCATGCCATTGGCGTGCCGCATCGGGTGGCACGTGTACCCGCTGTGTTGCAGAAATTCGGCGGTGCGACGGTAACGGTCCAGCGTCCCGTAAAGTCGCTCGAACGACCGCGAGCGCCGTCGGTACCGGGAGGGCTTTGATGTTTTGTGGTGGTCAACAGTACCTGCTGCTTTATGTTCAACTGGTGGTGGTGCTGGCCTAGAACTTATGGTCGGCTCGGTCTGCAATTGCAAGTCTCGCTCCTTGTGCGTGTAGAGAACGGAGTAGGATGAAAAGTGCTGGTTTTTGTTTCTTCGTAAGTTCAAATCGAAGTGCTCCCGGAAATCCAGCTTTAAGCCGCTCGTTGTGTGGTCAACGATTGTGGCGGCTGCGGAAAGCTCTCGGACCTGCCGACTCGCTGTGGTGGAAGGTGGGGCGGGAGGCGGGGGATGATATTCTGTGTCCTTCTCTTGTTTTTTTGTTATTTCATCTCCGACTGGTACACTATCGGGTTCGGGCGGGGCAGTATCGGCATTACTCTCTCCGCTGAATGAGAACCAGGAGGACAACCAAGACCCGGACTCAGCATCTGCGGGCGCGTCGGTTCCTGCGGATTTCTCTTTCGCCTTGTCAACTCTCGCCTGTTCTCCTGCTTTTTTGCTCCCTTTGGTTTTCTCGGCTCTTTCATCTGCTCCCGGACTTGCGGTTGTTTTTTTAGGAGATCCTGTTGTACTGCTACCCACCTCCGGGCCTTCTTTATCCACAACATTTTCAAGACCCACATCGACATCCACTTTTTCGACGAAGACCTCGTCTTCCCTCTCATAGAAATCTGGGTCGAAGAACATGTCTTTCCGGACAAAGACCGCGTCGTCATTCAGCACCTCGACCAAAAAGTAATCGTATTTCAGACCCGTTTCGATAAAGCCGCTCAAGTATCAAACGCAAAAAAAGTATCGCACACGTACTTCTAATCGCATCCATGCACGACAAATCTGGTTGCCTAGCTAGATCTGCATGAAAAATTCCAATTTTCTTCTTGCGAATAAAGTTTGTCATGCGATTCATACTATGCACGATAGTTTTGCAATGCATATCAAGCTGCAACCGCTAGTCGCCAACTCAAACATAGTCCCGGCGGGCTCCTTATTTGCGAGGAGGGACACGTCGCCGGCCTGATAGTGTTTTTTTTCCTTTGATAGTTTGTCAATACATCTTCTGTGACCTGCTCTATGTGTTTATTCCGAAGGAGCCGCAGAAAAATTTTGGCATGCCGCATTTTTGACCCATACCAGCAATGACTCTGATGCAGACGTACTTACAACTCGCATAACATAAGCTTTTATCGGAAGAAGATCTTCAACTAGTTAAAACTACTGTACCTGCTTCCGGATCGAAACGGGGTAGTTGTTCACAGACTCCACGAAAATGACCAGGGGTCGAACCCCCGCGTTCAAAACGCGGTCCATCATTTCGCAGTCGATGTTATCGATGTCTAGTTTGAAAAGCACCGGCGACGTGGAGAAGTTCTCCCGGAAGACCATGTCGTCCATCAAAGTTTTGATCCCGTGCAGCTGCAAAATGTTCAGGAAATACACCACATTTGCATGACAATATCTATTCTATTGTCTATTTACAGTTTGCATGACAAATGCAAACTTTACAGTTTGCATGATTTCCAGCAAACCGACTTTCGAGCTTCAGAAGCAAGCTGTAATGCCTTCGAACAAGCTCTCTTTGTATTTCGAGTGATATCACTCGAAATACAAAGAAAGCTTGTTCGAAGGCGTTTGCAGTTTGCTTCTGAAGGTGAAGCTCGAAGTTTTTATGAGGAAAGCAAAAAGTTTGTCATGCAAAACCTGCTTTTGTGCGTGAAGGCTAGACCACTTCGGGAATTTTTCAATTAGTGCGACAATTGTCGCACTTTTTGAAAATTTCCGAAGTGGTCTAGCCTTCACGCAAAGTCAGATTTTTCTTTTAGAATTAAATCACTTTTCATTTGCCAGAAGCTGGTGTAGAAGGTGGTGAAGAAGTTGGTGCGGAAGCTGGTGTTGAAGTTGGCAATGTATTGCCAACCTCATCAGCAGCTTCTGCGCCTTTTTCTACACAACTTCTTCTACGCCAGCTTCTGGCGAACTGCGAGAAGTGGTTCAACACCAGCAAGAAAAATGTCTGGACTTCTGGGCTCGCTCTTCCACCAGAAGCTCCTTCCGGAAGAGGAGCGTCTGGCATTCCAGCGGCAGCTGCTGGAATTTGGTCTTCCAGCATACCATCGCCCGAAAGGCGATAGCATGCTGGATAAATGCGGGCTCTTCTTCTCCACAATTCGATGCAATTTTGCATGACGCCTACAAACTTTGTAGGTGTCATGCAAAATGCGACGGGTGCAAGAGAGCACTGTCCTCCGGAACGAGAAATGAATCTAGTGCGAGCGCACCCGTGAGCTCGCCCTATCTGAAGAACAGTAGGCGCGCTTGCTTTTTATTTTCCTCGCTCCTCTCATTAACTACCTTCGGCACCGGCTTCGGCACCAGCTTCGGCACCAGCTTCGGCACCAGCTTCGGCGCCAGCTTCGGCACCAGCTTCGGCACCAACTTCACCACCAACCTCAACGCCAGCTTTTTTGCACCTTCGGCCTAATTTTTTTGGTGTTTACCCTACCCCCTAGGCACATTTGCGCTTGATAGATGTCGTGCAGCTGCAACATGTTCAGGAAATACACCACATTGTGATTCCGTGCGAACTCCCTGCGCAGTTTCCGCTTGTTCCCCAGGTCGGCCTCGACTACCAGGCCGGAAATGTTGAAGACCGGGATGTTGGGGACGTCTTTTTTTGGGAGAAAAAGATGTTTGGTTGATGAGGTTGTCGCATCTTGAAGTAGATCTACATCTACTTCCAGCTTTTGTAGTCGTAGTCCTCCTCCTGCTGAATGATTTTCCTGTCCTTTATCGTGCGTTGACCAGGCTTCGTAGTACGCGCTTGTTGTGCTGTTGTAGTTCAAGGGCCAATTGTTGAACACCGACCCGACGAGTAAGCAGTTCGCGAGATCGTGGTTCCAACTGTACAGGTAGCCACAAGCTCCGTCCGCAGCACCGAAATTTATGACCCAGTTTTTCTTCGCAGGTTTTTTCACGGAAGTCGAGCCAGACGATGTTGTCGCTGCGTAGTTCTTGCTTTTGCTCTTCTCAGATAATTTGCTCTGGCCTCGCTTTCGCCACGGGTCTCTGTAGTCGAGTTCTTTCCGAGAAGGAGCGCCGTCTGCTTTGCTTTTAGTTTCATCATTTTCACTGGTGTACTTCTCTTCCAATACCGGCCTGACAAATCGGTCCTGCATGTACTTGAAGAGCACCTTGTCCCACTTCAGAGGCGGATACACACCTTTAAAATGGTCAAAATCCGGCCCGAACAAGTGTTCGATGGAGCACACGGACGAGGATGAGGAGGGTCGCGCGCCGAGTGTGCTTTTTTCCTCATCGTAACCGTCGTTCGAGGACCTGCTGCTTTTCAGCTTCACCTGTACAAATTTTTCCCAGGTCCACAACTCCCGTGGCTCTGCAAAGTGATCGCGCTTTTTTCGATCCGGGAGCCGCATCTTGTTTTGGAGGTAGGCACCGAAAGTGGTTTTTTTATTTTTCGCATGAATTTTGTTCTCCGTAACATCATCTTCATTCGATAATACTATCGGTGCAACAAGAGCGTCATCCGTTGGAACCACGACCACGTCCTCTTGTCCGTCTCCACTGAACAGTGGGGTTCTTTGTTGCGAAGTGGATTTATTCTCTACTTCTGTCCCGCTCTGTTCTGTCCCAGTAGTCATTATTTTGGGCAACACGAAATCTTCCCTGCGCAGGCGGTACTGGAGGTCCGGGGGTGGCCGCACCGCGGCGTACCGCCAGGGGTCGTAGCGCGCAATGTCTTCAAATTTGTAATACGCGGCGTGATATGAAATGCAAAAGCATCGCACTTGCACTAGTATAAAATGCATTAGAAATTAGCTTTAGCATGCTGAGAAATGAAATTTGTCATGCATATTTAACTTGAGAAAGAAATTTGTAATGCATAAATGCAATTACTACGAATGCGATACTTTTGCACAGGATACGTGAATCATGCCCTTCGCGTTCATCAACATGTAGCTGTTCGACCGGTCCACGTTGGACAACAGCCCCGCTTCCCGCTCCACAACCGCCAACCGGAGAAATTTCACGTGGATGTCCGCCATGGAGAGGCCCTCCAACTGCAGCTGGTTCTTCTCCTGTTGCAGCAGAAAAACCGGGTCCTGCGAAAACTGCTTCGGCAGCAGGCGGGCTTGGGGTTTTATTGTTCCCGTAGATGATTTTTTTGTCTCGGATGTAGTTGTTGTGCCTGCAATGCTGGTGTCACTACTTCTTGATGTACTATCGCGATTTTGGACGAACACTTCAAACTCCATGTTCCCAAACACGAAATCTCTTTCGTCGGGTTCGTTCATGTTTTCAAAAACGACGTCCTGCTCCCGAATCCGCCGCACGATCTCGAAGAACCGCGGGTCTTTTTGCACCACCCGGTGGACGACGAAAGTCGGAAATCCCAGCATCATCTGCGTGTTCGCGCCCATCTTGCGCATCGCCTCCTTCGATAAATCTTCAAACGTCGCCGAGCCGTCCTCCCGCAAAACGACCGGGATGCCGCCGGAGCCGGAAATGAAGGAGCTTTCCTCGGCTTTTTCTTCCGCTTGAGTTTTACTGTCTTCTGGAAGATTAAGATTTTCTTTGCCGGTTCGACTATAATTGGCATTGCTGTCCTCGATCGCGTAAACAATCAGATTGTCTGTCGTCGAAAACGACAAATCCACCACGTGCTTCTTCCGGAACACCAGCGGCACAATTTTCCGATACTGCTGCCACACGTTATATGCGTGCATGAGCCCGATTTTCGTCTGTTCTACGACGTTTTTCACTTTGCGGTTCGTCAGGCGGCTCAGGTCCTGTTCCGTAAACTGCAACACGGTTTCGAGATGGTAGTGGTCTTTCGCGATAGAATCATCACCGCTGTTAGCCGTGTTGGTGTTTATTTTTATCACTGGCGTCGACCGTCCGGTCCCCGCGGCTGTGAGAGTTGCAGCTGCTCTTGGGTTCGTAGACGATAACGATTCTTGCGGTTCTTCTGGCCGAGAAGTGGAATCACCTTGCACCAGCTCGTCCGAGGACGCGACAAATCGGGCCAGCTTTTCTTCCGCTGGGTATCCCCGTATGACTTCCTTCCGCAGCGTGCGCATCGCGTTTTCGATGGCGTACCACAAATTGAAGGTGGACAGGCCGGACACCACCTCGTCAAAGTAGGTCAAAATAAAACGGTCGTCCTCCGCGGACCTCTTTGTACACTCCTGCTCCCACTGCTTCCGGGTCAAGGCGGTGACATTCCGGTAGTTCACTTTGAACTGCGCACCGGAGATCGACTCCAGCTTCCATGGGTGCTTCATCTGCATCTCTTTCTGCATCTGGTCCCTGGTCTCGGCGGAAAGATGTTGATGAACCGCTGTAGCAGACACAGAATTTTTGCCGCTTTGCTGAGCAGCAGAGGACCCACCTTTGCTTTTCCCTTTAATATTCTGCTCCTCTCCGTCGTCTGGATCCGACTTTTTCCCCGAGTGAATCACCCGTCCCCCGTCGTACTCGCCGTACCGGTTGAAGCTCCATTTCGCGAGCAGCTGCGCCTGCAGCAGAATCCCCTCGGCGAAGTACAGGTCGACCTTCATCAAATCGTCGCGGAAAACCGCTACGCGGTCGTGGTCAGTGGCGGTTTCGAACTTTTTCCCGAAAAACACCTCCGCGCCGTGCTCGCGGACGAAGCGCCGGGGCAGCTGGTCTCGCGTCTCCTGTTCGAACAAAAAGCGGAGAAACTGTGCCGTCACCTTCGTTTCCTCCATCACGGACGCGGTCGCGTGGCACACCGCCTCGCGGGACCGCTGGAGATCCGTCTGGATACCCTCGTATCAGCTGCAAATATGTCTGTGTTTGGAAGAGTGCACTTGTTTTTCATTCGCATTTTGCAAGACCCATGAAGGCTGTGATGCGTGCCCGAGCATCACATTTTTTTTGAGAGCTTCCAGATGCCTGCTCCGCATGAGAAATGCCCTCTCTAAGTACCAAAAACTGGTCTTCTCTTGCTGCTCATGCAATACAGATTTTTTTTACAATCCAAACGCAGCATCACAAGTTGCACCCTTGCACACCCAGACATATTTGCGTTTGATACCTCGAAGTGGCTGGTTACAAACTTTCTCGACTCTTCCGACGTGTCAAACCGTCTCAGGTGCCGAAAAAGTTCCGGATCCAGGGTTTCCGAGACGTCGCCGACCAGCTCCGGTGGGGGCCGGAGAACTTCGGAATCTGAGTCTGGAGTTGGTTCTTGCTGTTTTGTATTTTCAGAACCTCCCGCCGCTGTCGTAGAAGCTGCTGTTCCGTTCACAAGAAATGCGACCTGTTGCGCCAGTTTCGCGACCCGTAGTGGATCGAACTCCAGCATCGCGTGGTTATTCAGACACAAAACCAGCATCGCATTGTGCACCATGGACGCCTGCGCCCGGAAGGACACGGACAAGACGGAGGCTTCGAGTGCTTCGGGAGACAAGCCCTCGGTTGAGCCACCCCATAATTGCCGGCCTACGTCAGCGAATTCGAGCATTGCGAGCATTGATTTCACATCTTCGTCGTAGCTAGTGTCTTGCTCTTGCGAGGTGGAGGTGGAACTGGAAGTGGCGGCCGTATTCGTCGTGTCCAGAGGCGCCGGCGCAGCGAATGCAGAGGTTCGCGAAGCAGGTCGCTTTACTTCACTTAGATCGTGCTTCTGCGATCTTTTACTAGTGCCGGGCGACATCAAACGTTCATCCGGGCTTTTAACCAATTTGGGCAATTCGTACATCAATCGCTCCTGTTGTTTTCCGTACCCCTCCGACACACTCGCGGGCGCTAACAATCGTAGCCAATAGGCATCGGAATGCGGGCTCCACCCGAAGTTGGCGTCTCGTTCTTGTTTCACGGAGTACTGACTTTTTTCCGTACCGGATTCGGTCCGCTGGAAGTACCCGAGGAAAAAGTCATTCACCAGGCTCCTTCGCGCCGCCTCTCGAAGCAACTGATGCTCCAGCTTTTCCTTCATTTTTTCCTGAGACAGGTGGACTTGGCGTTCTTGTGTAGTTGAGGCTTTGATGTTTACTGCACTTGCTTTCCCGGTTCTTCTTTCTACCTTCTCCAGCACTTTCTTCAGCCTTTTCTCGTACTCTTCCAGCAAACTCACCCCCACCTTCTCGCTTTCGAACCCGCTCAGCGCCTGCCGCAGAAACGCCGCCGCTCCGCCCTTCTTCGCGATCTGCTCGGAGGCTCGCTCCAGCCGCGTGTGTACCACCTGCTCCAGTGCCTGGTGCCCGCCGTGGCCGAGAAACACCGCAAAGGTGTCCGGGAGCATCCAGCCATACCGTCGCAAAACCTGTGTTTCGAACCTCGGCGGCTTGAGGCTGAGCACGTCAGAGTTCTCGATGGATTTCCCGTAGATCCACGCGAGCCGGTCTCTCGGTCGCGGGTGGTGGTCCTCGTCGTGTATTTCATTTGTTCTCTTCGTCCCATGAAGTAGATCTCCACCATCTGCTTTTTGTCTCCAAGGCGTTCTAGCCGTCACGTAGTCCTCTCTTCTGAGCACCCCCGGTTTCTTTTTCAAGCCTCCCTCCCGATCTGGGCTCTGCAGTTGCGCCAAACGCTGCAGCCAGAGCGGAACGGCGCCGGCCGGCGGACAACGGGGCAGCCAACTCTGCACATGCTGGGTCAGGAGGAGGGTGATCAGAAAGTAGATATGGAAGTAGTGAAACAACATTATTGAAAAGTGTTCAGCCAGATAATGGCTGGCTAAGGAGCGCACGGAGACGAACCAACAGAACGTATAGGGAGCCGTAATATATCTCGAAATGCAGTGTAATTTTTGCCGCTCTTAACGTAGTACTGGTACTGGACGATGAAACGATCGTTATGCGGGAGAAAGACAAGAAGAACCTCTGCAAGATTAGGAGCACCGATGCTTTTACTGATAGAGATGAAGAACGAGATCCAGACACATTCTCTCAACGTGTGCGATGTAAAGGACATCAGAGCTGCCACACCCGACGACGCTTTATTGGGAAAGGGTAAGGGAATGAAACCTGAGCCGGAAAAAAGACATATCGGAGGACGATCGGCGGGAGACGTTCTTTGCCACCACTGATATGAGACGAGATCGTTATCCTCATCGAAAAACTGATCACATTATGATTTTCGAGGAGCACCAAACGTTTGAAGTTGGGTAGAAAAAGAATTAAACACAGGATCACAGTGCCAGACGCAGAATGGCGCCGTACGGCGATGGCTCTGGCGAGTTGTATGGGTAACATGGCATTCGTAAAAATGCTGGCTTTCTTCGTCGTGTGGAGAGCAGGCACTATTCCAGATGCTACTGCAACTGCAAGTACATTTGAAAGTCTCAATCTGATGTTTCTGCGTTTGAGGTCCAAGACCACATCCTCCGCGTGCCAGTACTGGGTACCGTTCGTTTAGTACTTTATGAAAAGCAGTTCTCTCTTCTGCGTTTATTCCAAGCGACAAGTTATCACCACCTTGCCACTGGCGTAGTCGCGAAAAAATAAGTCCAACTTCAGTAGAGCAATCCCAAGATCGGAAGCGCAAAGAGGGAAGCGGCATACTTCACATTTGACGCTGCGTGAATGGTCCACCACCCTGTCGTATCGAATGCAAAAGCATCGTACTAGTATAAATTGCATCACAAATTTTGGCAAGAAGAAAAGTGGAATTTGTAATGCTGTTTTACCTTAGGAAGAAAATTTGTCATGCATATTTACAATTAGTACGACTACGATACTTTTGCACAGGATATGTCGCCATCGTTGCTATCGCCGCTAGGTTATGAACTGCACAAGTATCGTATTCGTATAAATGCATTACAAATTTCCATTTCCTCAGCATGAGAAACAAAATTTGTAATGCGGATTTACCTTATCCTTAAAAAAAAGATTTGTAATGCATGATTGCAATACGAATACGATACTTTTGCACAGGATATAGGTAAAGTATTCGACCCGTATACCGGTGAAGTGTCGCGAAATTCTTCACAGAGAGCTTCATCAGGCGCATTGTGGAAACCTTCAATCATGTTGGTTGTGAATTTCATTGGTTCGAGGGTAATTGCGAAAGCGAATTTGCACTGCGCATGCGTAAAGCTCCATCGAAAAGCGTATCATAACTTTTATCTTCTGTACCACGGCCCTGCTTGGCATTTTCTGTGGGTAGTCCCAGAGGGGCAGACTGCTGCTCAGCACTATCGTTGTGTAGGCGATGAGAACGATGAAGCCCAAGCGGCCATGCAGCGTGGTGAGGTGCGGTTTGCCGTTTATTTCCTTGTTTGTGTGAATGACGTAGTACCCACTCCACATTGCCACGGTGGCTGAAATTAAGAGCAAGTTGTGCCACAAGTTGGCCAAGCGCTGTTGGGGTTTCTTTTCCTCGTGATCTCGTGTTTTTTCCGTTGAAGCAGCTCCTTCTGCTCCTCCTGACGCAACAGGAGCAGCTTCCCGGTCTTCTACTTTCCCTCCAGTCCGTATCTTCGAGTTGTATACATTGACGAAGATTCCGCTCGTGGCGAGCGGAAGAACGGCTAATATCGTGAAAAACGGGTGCCAGAAAAACAATTTGCTGCTGTCTGGCCCAGAATAGAGCACGCCGATGCCCGCCGTGAGTGCGAGAAGGGCGCCGAGTTTCGTGCCCAGCTGTGAAAACGGGTTCGAAGGGGACGCCATGGTGGAATAATCTCCGAAAGACAATGCTTTTTTCAAAAATCGATCTTCACAGCAATGGAGCCCTGAGAGAAAAGAAACCTTGAGTACCTAGCCCTACGTTCTTACTTGAGCGCGCCAAAAACATAAAGTCGCAAAATCTTAAAAATAAAATAACGTTCGACAAACAGATTCCAACTGTAGAACGTAACTTTGGCGGAACCGTACTATGGTTCTAACAAGTGTCATTTTATCCTTTGCTAGTACATACGTGTTGTGATCTGCACCGACCGGGCTCGTGCGTCACCTTCCCGATCTACTTTCTCTACTGATTTCGAGCACTTTATTTCTCCAGCCTAGACAACCTGAACTGCACACACGGATCTCGTTCGTGTCTAGTTCCATGCCGGCAGATTTCTGTTATTTACCGATTCATCATAAACTTGAAGCACAGCAGCTGCATCATGACAATTTAAAGGACGCAAGACCAGAGCCAGACTGCACCATTGCAAAAGAATACCAAAGACAACACGCTTCAAACAAACACGGCACAGTTTTTGCTGAAAGATAAAAGCCTCCCCAGTGCGAAGAAGGATTGCGGGGACAAAGAACTGAAGTCCCCCGCCCCGCAATGCAACACATGTTGTTTTTACAGAGCTTCGTGAAATTGTGATAATTTTAATTCATCTTTCTACACCAACTCCAGCGCTTTTTCCGAGCCACAGAAACAAATCTGTAGTGGAACAACCAGCTCGGATTCTGCAAAATTCCTTCCTTCCAAACACATGTACAAGTTGCTATCTTATCTGGATGAAAAGTTCATCTCCTCCTGTTGTTGAATGCTAATTAAGTATGAAGATTTTCTATTAACGCTCAACGCGTCGAAGCCTTCAGCTTCACCGGTTTGTACTAAAGACGTAAAAAACTGGGGAAAAGAAAACGGATCTGCTCGTAATGAATGCCGTATCCTCGTCTCAACCGCCCCACCGATTGCAATTTTTTGCGGCGGCAAAAAACTGCATGTGCAAAAATTAATTATGATTTCAAAAAAAATCTGAACGCGGCAAAACCAAAACCAGAAGCATTAGCCCCTAAAGTAAACTCTGGGCCACGCTTTTGGAATAAAACACGATCTGCCACGTGATTTCTCACCCCAGCGCTTTGTCAGTCGCCGTTTCGCGTAAGACGAAGTTCAGGGCTTCCCGCCACGCCTCGCGTGCCAGGTCGTCCGCGAACAGGATGACCACGTTGGTTCCGCCGAGATTTAGGCGCAGCGTGCACTTTTCCTCGGCCGCAAATTCCACTTCCGCCAATCCTTTATCAAATGCAAAAATGTCTGAGTCTGGAAGAGTGTACACTTGTCATGCAGGTTTTCCATGCCCATGAGGTCTGGAATGCGGGACCTAGCATGGCAGACTTTGGGAGGTCTTTGACTTTGTCATTTCTATCCTGCATGAGAAACTCCCTCCCAACCTGGTTGATAGTGGACAGCTTTTGGTAATCAGAATCACGCAACACAAGTTTTTGCATGATCCAGACTCAGCATGACAAGTTCCAACCTTCCAGACCCAGACATATTTGCAGTTCATATCCTTCCAGCGGAAACGAGTCCACTTCCGCGAGCAGTATGGATGTGTCAGAGTTGAAATCGACAAAGCTGAAATAATTTGTCATGCTAAACCGACCGAAACCACTACACAACCTGTAAGGGCACCGAACCGCACGTGGTTCGGCCACCAGGTCATGCATAAAATGCAGCCCACAAAGTGCCTGTCTTGCTGAGTCGGCAAGTGAGGCAGATTGTAAGCCTGCTGAGGAGTAGAAACTGAGCCGCTAAAGTAGCATGCCGGAAGGCGTCTTCCTTACGCAAACAGCATGACAAACTGGATTTCGGTTCCACCCGAATTTGTCATGCACTGCTTCAAAATTGGGATTCCAACTGGCTTCCATTTTATGCATGACAAATTATTTGAACTTTGTCGATTTCAAACCTGACGCTTCCATAAGCAGTTCCGATGCCGTATTGCCGTCTTTGGGGGAAAGCCTATTTCGTCGCGGCGACTCCTCGTGGTCGTGCATGCGCGCGCGGTGCGACTTGATCTTGTGTGGGTACGTTCGTACCAGCCGCTCCCGCCGCTGTTTCACAAACTCGTCTTCGTCCTCGTCGTCCGACGTCTGCTGCAGCATATGCATTGGAAAAGTATCCCACTCGTATGAATTGCATGACAAATTTTATTGTCAAGAAGAAAATTGGAATTTGTAATGCTGAGTCAGGTAGGAGACTAGAACTAGATTTGTCCTGCATAGCCGCCATTCGTACGAGCACGATACTTTCTTTGTGATGCATACAGCAGCGTCCTTTGCAAATTGCTGCTCAGCACGTCTTCCGGCTGCGCATCTTGCTCCTCCGCGGTTGGTACCTGGAACTTCTTCCAGTTGAAGCTGTACTCCTTCAGGACTGACTCCGTGAGGAGGAAAAATGACTGCCGGTACGTATGGGACTCTCAAACGGTACACTCGCAACTGTTTCCATGAATTTGTCATGCGAAGCTACCTTATGCCGCCAGAGGATCAAGCTACTCCGCATGACAAGTCTCCGAAGTGCTAAACAGAGTCGAAATCTGTGCCAAATCTGTGATGCGAAAGCAGCAAGCTTGCCCCCTTGACTGTTGCTGTTTTGGCATTGCAAATTCTATTCCTGTAAACACTTGAGAATGTAACGTTTGAGAACGCCATAGTACGCCCCCGGCTTCACTTCTCGCTCCGCGAACGAGAAACACAGCACCGGTGCGCTCTCTTCGTCGAAAGATGAAGTTATCAAATGTAAAAGTGTCTGGGTCTGGAAACTTGTGATGCTGGGTGGCGTCTCATGATGAGGCTACAGATGCTGGCTCAGCATGACAAGTTTCTGAGCTCCTAGGTGTTGCCTATTCTGCATGACAAACTGCGCTTCTGCATGACAGAAAAGTGCAGCTCTTGGGTAACGCGCATGACAGACTTCGGGGTCATGCTGGCAGAGCATGACAGACCTTCCATTCTTCCAGACCCAGACATTTTTACATTTCATAGAAGTGCCGGAGTTACTACTAGAAGCTGCTGCACCACCGTTATTTGCCGCCAGCGCCTTGGCGTGTACCTCCGCCATGAGCTGCGGGTGCTTCAACACCAGAGCCTGCCTTCGCGCCTCGGGGCCACTGAGCTGCTGGATTGCGTTCACGAACTCGGAGCGGTCGCCGGCGTTTTTGCAGATGCAGACCGTGCCGCTCCCCGGCTGCGTACGGGGCGCGGGCGTACTCGTTTTGTGCACTTCCTGCGACTTCACGACGGTGAAGGGGCGGTCGGCGAGCCGGGGCGCGAGGTCCCCCCGCCACCCGATCCCGAAGTACTGCTCCCCCGGCCCGGTCCAGATGCGCACCACGCTGTAGTAGGGCTTCTGCCAGATCACCGTCGTCACCCGCGGGGCCCGCAGCTCCCACGCGGGCGTCCACTCGGTGCCGAGGTTGGCCGTGTGGTAGGCGGGCAGACCTTCCGCGATGCGCAGGGCGTAAATCGCCACGTTGGTCAAGCACAGCAGCCCGACGGACGTCCCCGTTTCTTCGAAGTACACCGGACACAGTGCGTAGATTCGCTCCTGCGGAAACATGTTGCGCTCCAGGAAGAGCCGGTAGACCCCCATGTTGACCGACGTGAGGAGGTCCTTCAGGTACGTCGCCCGCACAGACTGGTTCGCAAACACCTCGGCGGAGACAAACGCCTCCAGAATGCTGTATTTCGCGTTCGGCGTGCGCGCAATGTGCTCCGACAAGACGCGGGTCGCCATGCGCCGGAGCAGGTTGTAGTCCTCGTGGTGGAGCACCCGGTGCAGTAAAACTTCGTGGTTGTGCTTCTTCTTCCCGTTCAGCAGCGACGCGAACACCGCGTGCACGGTGGACTGCAGGTCGTACAGCACCATGGACACCGCAACGCGGATCATCACGGGGGGCAGCACCCGCTCAATGCACTTTTCGATGAAGTTGTTCTGCACCATGGGGATCGTGGAGAACTTGATGTAGGGCACGTTCGTGGTGATTACCGCGACGGCGGAGGCTAACTCCGAGCACAGCGCCTGCTCGTTCTCAGACAGGAACTTGCTGCGGGTGGACCTTAGCAGGTGCAGCATATTCCCTCCGAGCCGCTTCAGGAAGTGGCACACCAGATCGAACAGGATCAGCTGGTCGTCCTCTTTGCTGTTTTCTCCCGGCAGCGCGACGGCCTTGAAGTTTTCGGTCTTCGCCTCGTTTACCGCGGTCAAGACCCGAGCGATGATGCGAAGCAGCTTGGCACAGCAGTTGCAGGGAAGCACTGGGACAGAATCGAGAATCGCGAGCAGGCGTCGCATGGTGTCGAGGCTGCGAAGCTGCGCATACACGTTGAACCTGTGAGTGTTTTTGACAAACAATTTTTATCCGCTTCGGTCATATGTATCCGACTGTGGTCCTTCATCTGTTGTCGTGCATGATCATCAATCAATTTGATTCATATTGAAACGTTGTTACCAGGCGATGGCGAGCTCATGTGAAAAACTTTTTCTCTTATCATGCCAGCACCCTGTTAAGTACCTGAGCTTGTCTGTAACAGGCACGACCGCCAACATGTAGAGACAGCGCAAAACCGCGGCGACGAGGTAGCTGCGGTTTACTTTCCACGTGTCGTCCTGGAAGAAATGCTCGTTGCAAACAAACTCCTCAGGGTGGAATACGAACATCGCACTGGCGTCTTCAATATGCAATGCAAACATGTACGTCTAGGTCTGGCGAACAAATGCACGGTAGTTGTGATGCTGATTCTGGATACTATGGGAGAATAGACTCTGTCTTGCAAAACACTCTGTCTTGCATAGTCAACAAACTCGTCCGGCACACTACAACTAGGCATCCTGAAGAAGTTACAACGATAGAGCTTGTTCATGCTCTGTGTCGCGCAGATTACCAGACCATCTCGCAGATTCACGACACACTGCATGGCAAACCTCTGCTGCATTCATCCAGACCCAGCCATGCCATTGAATTCGATACTCGTCCGCCAAATGGTGGTCTTCAATCGCCATCAACGCCGTCATGAGGCTTTTCCGCCCGGCGGACGCGGTCGCGCCCTCCTCTAAATTCTGTCCCAAATCGTCCGGGGTGTAGTACAGCTGCGTCGGTTCCTCGTTGGCGGACCGTAGTGCGTATCAAATACAAAAATGTCTGGGTCTGGAAGGATGCAAGGTTTGTCATGCACATTTTGCAATAGACAATAGACACCCATAATAGCTCTAAGAACCCTGTCATCTTCCACCAAGTGAAACATCAATGGTGAGGTGAACCCAGGGCCCCTGGAGGTGAGAAACGAGGGTGGCACCTATAGTCGACCATACCAACTGGTCAACCAGGAAATGAGGAAGTGGGTAAGGAACACAAATGTCCCGGGATAACAAAACTGAATATCCCGCACAACCTCTGCCAACCACTGCCCTCGAATTCACAAATGAAAAGGCAAAAAGCCAATCCAACTCCGGCTACTCTTCTCATGCACATTTTGCACGACTCCTGATGTCTGCGATGCATGCCCTAGTATCACAGATCTTGTGAGGGCTTTCTGATGCCTACACTGCATGGGAAATGCCCTCTCGCCGTGACCCAAACCAGACCTCTTTTGCTGTTCATGCAATACAGATTTTTGGATAATGCAGACGCAACATCACAAGTTGCATTCTTCCAGACCCAGACCTTTTTGCATTTGATAATGCGATCGCCCGCGCGAGCTCCTCCTCCTGCGTTTTGCTGTAGGCGTAGACTTCCTGCTTGAACGTGCTCGCCTCGGACTCCAGCTGTCGGTAGTACTTCTCCCGCTCTGTCACGCCGGGGTCGGACAGGAGCTGCAACAACACGTCAATCCCCCCGGCGTCCACGAAGGCCTCCGCGGAAGCGGCGCGGTCGATCCACTCGTCGGCGTCCAGAAAGGGGAGATGCTGTCCCTCCTCCATCCCCCACATGCGCGCTTCCCTTCTCGCCAAGGTCACGTACGAGATGCCCGGCGTCTCGGGGTCGCTGATCGTGCGTAGCGCGTCGGACCGGCCCTCTAACACGTCCGCGATTCGCGCGACCACGCGGAAGCACTGCTTTTTTTGCGTATCGAGCTGGATGCCCTTCTGCCCGGATACCGCGTTCAGGAGGAACTCCAAGCTGCGCCCGCACCACGTCTGCTCCAGACACACGTCTTGGCGCGGGCCTGCGTGGAAGGCCTCCTCGTTCTTCAGCACGTGCAGGAACAGCGACTCCGCCTCCTTCGTGCGGAAGAACTTCCGCATCGAGGAAAATTGCGACGCCTCGACGAGAAAAGACAAGCAGTGGGAGGAGAGTTGCAACTTCTCGTCTTCTTCGTCTTCCGACCCAAAGGTATCCCGGACCGAGTTCCGGTAAAGGGTGTCAAACACTTCCGCCACGGCCAGCTCGGCCTGGTGGTCCCGAAACGCCTCGCCCACCACCGCATCGTCGGGCTCGCTGTTCTCGGGCGTGGCGCAGGTGATGATCCGCAGCATGGAAATCACCATGGAGAGCACGTACTCCGTGCGCCCCACCCCGACCACCCGCGTGTCGCTCATCACCTTGATCAGTTTCCCAGTTTCGTCCAGATCCAGCTGGGAGAGCGGGACTTTGGAGATGCACTTCATCACCGAGATGCGCAGCTCGTCACTAGGGACCTCGAGCAGGGACATCAATACTGTCTCGCGCTGCGCGCGATCGAAGCACTGCGCAATCATCTCCGAGGTGCTATCCAAGTTCCCGTAGTCGTCCCGCGGCGAGGTGCAGAAAAACTCGACCAGTTGCACAATGGCGATGAACACCGAGTGCATCAGCTCACTGGTGAGCGAGGCCATCACCGGGCCCTTGGTCAGCTTGCCGCCGTACGGGTCGGCGGAAGAGTCGCCGCCGGAACCGGAGGACGCTGTTGATGTCGGTTGTTTTTCAGCGAAGCTTTTTTTGTTTGGCTCAACAAGCATCAAGAAGAAGAACGCTGCTATTGTGCGGGCGGAACAAAAATTGACATGATATACATAGTACCTGAAACCGAATAAGGTCAAAATCATCATCAGGAGCTGGCACCAGCAACCCATTATACCCATCGCTTCCAGCCGGTATTTTTCGATTCGCGCGTACATTTGGTTGTACTTTTTTCCGCCGAGATACTGCAGCAAGGGCGTCACGTTCGACAGACTCTCCGCGACGTACCGAATGTAGTCCATGCGGACGGCGTTGTGGTACAGGATCAGTGTGAGCATGTTGCAGGCTTCCGTCAGCATGTAGGGATCCGCGATCTGGATGCGGATGATCTCGCACAACTCCTTCACCACGTGGTAACTCGTGGCGCAGTCGATCAAAATCTTCACGTCTTTCCGCATCACGGTGGTCAAAAATTTCAAAATTTCCGCCGCCGTTTTGCAGTCCACCCCGGGCATGGTCGCAATGTCGCCGTCCGCGCCCTTGGAGTCCCGGTACCGGGCGATGAGCTTCACATGCAACGAAACGGACTTGAAGTACTGCAACGTTTCCCCGAGGCCGCGCGCCTTCTGCCCGCTGCCACCGCCGCCTGCGCCGCCCCCGTCATCGTGTAGTTCTTCGGCTTCCTCCAAGAGTTTTTTTCTCTCCTCCACGGTGAGGGGTATCCTGCCCCGCGTGCTGCGGAAAACCTTCACGAAATAGATATCATCGTCGGCCTCGTTGTCGATGCAGTTTCGCGCAAACCGCACCGTTCCCATCCACATGCGGCGCTTGGTGAGGTCACCGAACAGGGATTTGTTGTCCAGAGCGGTCACCATTTGCTTGTGGAGGGCTTTGCCTGGGATAGTTGTAAGTGCTTGGTACGTAGTAATTGGTTTGTCAATCATGTATGCCCGGTTGAGAGGTAAAAAAATTGATCATAGATACATCCACCTTTCCCCGGCGCGGAACCGAAGGGCGAATGAGCGTCAATTACTAGCGCGATAGAAATTGAAATTGTGCTAATCGCTACTTATTACTCTTTGTCATATCGATCATGTACTTAGAACAAAATCCAAAACAGCAAACCGTGGGCCCGCAGGACGGTCTGTGCGTTCTCCCGGTACCGCGTGCAGGCGTCGAGCATTTCGATAATCGGCTCGTTCCCGGGGTCCTCGATAAACCAGGCGCCGAGGTCGGTGACGAGCGGTGACAGTGATTTTTCCGCGACGATTGGAATGTCGTACGCAAGTTTGGCGATGGCCTCGTGAAGCATCGTCGATTCCACGGTGATGTTCGGGATAATGATGTTCTCGATCGCCGCCGCGCAGTCGTCGTGCATCGTGCTATCAGACTTCATGCAGTTTGCCAGCGCCTCCACGCACTTCTTCCCAAATCTCCTGGTCGTCACCAGACTACAGCGGGCGAGTATCTGGATCACGTGAGACCGGATCGTGTCGTGCCTTTCTAGCAAGAGGTTTGCGAGCTGGAGAAACGTTTCAATAGACTCCGGCACTTGCGCGATTTCGCTGAAAAACGACTTCCCGCCGTACGCTTCCAAGTCGTCTGTCAGTGCGACGCACTGCAGCAACGCCTGGTCCGCGCACCGCTGCGCCTTGTCGGCGTGCTGGACGATTTCCCGGAACAAATTGATCAAAGACATCAAGCAGGGGAACTCGAGCAGTAAGGAGTCGCCCTTCTTCGCTGCCTCCTCCTGGCGCTGCTTCTTTACGCGGTCGTCGTAAATTTCGTCGAACCGGTCCATCGAGAGCAAAGGCGTGCTGTTAATCTCCTGCCTCGTTTCCGGGGAGATTTTGACATCATCCAACGCGGCGAGTTGGCCTATGGCGTTCTCAACCGTTGCATTCTCAACTGTTACATGGATTTGTCATGCATACCCGACTGCACCACATCAAAAACCTTTGCACCGTCGCCGCAAGCAGAACATGGATTTGTCATGCAAGAATAGCACGGGTGCGACGGAGAACAGAACCTTGTTGCGCGTCTTGCATTACAGATTCGGCGCGAGTTCTACTAGTGCTATTTAGCGCGTCGAGAATTTGTCATGCGAAGTAGCTTGATCGTGGCGATGTTGAAAGTGGTTTTGCATGACAAATCGTGTAGCAGTATGAGAATGTAACGCTTGAGAACCCCATATGGCCGAGGGCTTTGAGCATGTACACCTGGTACTCGGGGAACACGGTGCAGAAGGGGTTCTCCTTGATTTTCAGCGTCACCAGGTTCGGCAGGCGACGGAGGGACAGGATTCCCGCTTGCAACAGGGTGGGGTTCAGCTGGATCTGGTTGGACGACAAGTCCAATCTTTTCAGCCTTTTACACTGCGCCGAGATCGTGTCGAACTTGCCGTCAATGCGGTTGTGCGCCAGAATCAGCACCTCCAGGTTCGGCACCCCCATCAGGCTCGGGAGGGAGACCAACTCGTTGTACGCCAGGTTGAGCTCTTTCAGCGTGGACAGCTGCAGATTGACCTGGATCAGGCAGTTGTGGCGGGCCTTGAGGATCAGCAGGTTCTGGAAGCCGTTCTGCTCGCTGACGCAGTCGATCTCCGAGAGATTGTTGTAACTAAAGTCCGCGAGCACGAAGGCGAACTTTTTCAAGTCCTTGTTCAGCAGTCCCCCGCCGTGCCCCGCACGCAGCGACTCCAGGTTGTATTTCTTGGAGGAAAAATCGATGTTGCGGGCCCGTCCGCTCCGCCAGTCCATCCCAAACTCCTCTTCGAAAACAAGCTCATCGAGCACCGTGATCGCCTCCCCGCGGGCGCGTTTCGTTTGCCCCACCATGGTGAGGGGTTTTTGGAGGTGCAGGAGTAGTTATTGGTCAGAAACTAGGAGGAGCAGAGCCCGACGTGCGGAGGTCCTTACTCCACCGGCGAGTGGTAACTAACACAGGGCACTCGCACTATCGTGAGCGGGACGCGGTTTTCGTGCGTGGTAGTAGCCGCCTTGGACCGCAGTCCGTCGTTCACGACAAAGTCGCCCCGCCACACTGCGCGCGGACTGGGTTGAACTCCACCCGGTGCATGCGCAGGGTCCCGCGAAGCTCCGATGAAGCGCGGAACCGCAACATCTGAGCTTTCTCTGCTACGACCGCACGGGAACGGTCATGTTTCTGTGCCGCTGTTCGGAATGCGGTAGGTGCTCCTCGAAAAAATGAGAGAGAAAGGAACTTCTATCTAAGAGTACTTCAAAACAACCGGCACTCACGGTCACGGCATCACTTGCGCTCATGAATTCACTGTGAAGAAGTGCGCTCAAAAGTCTGCTTCTCTCCTCACTATCCGCGCGCATCCTCTGACGGACAGCCACGAAACCAAACATGATCTCAGCAAAGACGTTGCGCATGGCAAGAAGCTGAGGCTGTGCTTTTGTTTCTGTCAGCGTGTGATGGTCTGCGGTAATGGAAGGGGCAAAGGTTATTTTCACAGAGAATGTCTGAGTCTGAGTCAGAGATAATGTTAATGAAACTGTGGGTGTGCCATCTGCTTTGATTGTCAGTTGTAGCTTGATTAATAAATTGCTTTGTCTCGCCATCTACTCGTTCTTCATGGCATTGCTGTATTGATTTCCGTGGCCTTAGTCAGACCCGCAGCCGGCGTCATAGTCGCCCTCCTCGTTGTAATCATCATAGTGACAGTTGTCGTCGTTCTCGTAGTCGCCCCACTGCTCGTCGTGGCAACCCCCATGTCCACCGTCTCCATGATCGCCACGCCCGCCCTCATGGTAGTAGTAGACCTCAGTTGTACCACAGTTGCTCCCGCCAATGCACCCTGCATCGGCATGGTAGCGGCCGTCGTTCGCGGCGCTTTCGTATTGCTCCACATACCCGCGCCCGCCTTCATCACTGTGCGAATCCTCCTCGATATTAAGTTGCTGGAGCAGCTCTACGAGCTGGTCATTATCAACTGCTCGGCCTTTTTCGTCCTTCTTCCAAAGGACCTTCCCCTTTCCGGTGTGCGCACGGGGATTATTCAGAACTTCGAGAACCTGCACTTTCATGAATCGTACCAATCTCCATTGGGTCCTCTTTCATGTTCAATTGAATCTACAACTGCGGTTTCAAGAATAGCTACGTCCTCGGAGCGAGCGCGCTCGACAATACAGTCACAACATTCACATTGGTTTTTGGCTCGTTTTATGTTTATCGCTCCAGAACAAGGTCATTGAAGCAGACAATCAAGACTCTACCTCATCATCTGTCAGCCCCTTTCGGATACAATCTTTATTGTGATGCGTGTCCTTGTGCCACCTCGGGTGATCCAGACTACTTTTGATGGTATTCGTTCCATCGCGGCATTCCCAATGCTCAACTTGCTCGCCATGTTCATTAGTCGCGACACTGTGAGCGCCACTCCCGTTGCCCTTTTTGGCAATCCATCCGCGACGAGACGCTTCTTCGCGAAACTTTTCACCGGTCATGCAATACGACATCTTCGTGACAGCGTTTCCTCTTTTTGGTTCTCAGTGTCAAGGCGAAGAAAATGGATGAGAAACAAAAGCAGAAAGGAAAAATCAGTCGACGTTGGGAGGATGACGAATACTGCAGAAACTAATGTTCTTGAAGCAAATAGCTTTAGATTGATTGAGAATCTGAATTAGGTGCCTTCTCAATTGATTTTAACTTTGCTTGTTCTTGGTCTTCCGTGTAGTAGTACTAGTAAGATGAAGGTCACAACCGCAGTACTAGTGCAGGTTGACGGGTGCCTGCACGTGATCCAAGGATCTTCAAAAGGGACCACACAGGTCGATGGACCACTGTAAGAGCCAGAACTACGAAGCAGGAGATTCTAGTATTTTTCATACTGTACATGAAACACACGCTGCGGATGTTGGGATGGAAACCATCTCCGAGAACGTGCCAATCTCTATGAGCCAGCACCTCCTTTTTTTTCTTTTGTCGCACTGCCTTGCATAGGCACCTGCGATCTTGCTTATTGAGCCGATCTGTAAACAAGTATTCCACTTCAGCGTTCGCGCTTTCACTTCCTCGCTCATCTTTGCGAGGTGAGCTGCTTTGTTCTCTGTATCAAGATAGATTCTTAGGTGTAAACAAGGTCCAGGTCTTAGATAAAAGTCTAGTACTTAGGGTTACTTAGGTTTAATTTCGCACGATGGTATTCTTCAACGCCATAGATATGCTAAGTAAGCCGGCTTTTCCCGCAAGAATCCAGCCTTAGCACCAGCTATGCCACCGACGAAAGCACATCCCCGATGTCCTGTTCGCACACGAAGAGCTGCCCGTCAACCTGCTGGATCCCGGCGTCGCACTTGAATCCGTACAGCCGGTTCTTCTGCTCCGCTATGTCAAACAGGTGCTGGGCCGCGCCGGAGCCACTCGGGGCGGGGGACACCCAGTCGTTTTTGAAAACTTCCAGCGTAAAGTCCCTCTCGATCTGCCCCGCGCACGCCGGGTGCAGCAGGTATTCGATCGCGCGGTCGCACAGCGAGTTCTTGTTGATGGACAGGTGCCGCAGCGTCCGGGTTTCTACCAACGCCTCGGAGAGTGCTTTTGCGCCGGTGGTGTTTTCGCGTTCACCGATTCGGTTGTGGTCCAAGTTCAGCTTGCGCAGCTGGCCCCACTTTACCTGGAAGGTGATTGATGTCATCTTCTAGCATGGCGAAAGAACAAACACTTTTTCATCGTCCCTCACTGCCGATCGTCGAAGCCATGCACGGTGTTGTCTTACGTCGAATTATTCTTTGGAGGGCGAAGGCTACCGCCTGTCACGTAGGTGGGCAAAAAAATCTCTATACCAGTTCGCTAACGCACTCTGCTCCTTTTGCGCCGATTTCGTTACACCTTAGGTCTAGCACTTGCAGCCGTTGTTGGTCAACGGCGACGTCGTCCAAAAACAGTTCGAGACTGCTGTCGCGGAAGCGGAATTTGCCGAAATATATTTCCGTCAAGGAGGGGTTTACCGCAAGCATCTTTCCGAAATGCGTTGCGTGCTCGCCCTGCAGACTGAAGAGGCGTGGGTTTTGCACGTCAAGCACACGCAGAGTGTCATTGTTTACGTGGAGCACCTGGAAATAGTGATGCAAAAGTGAATTTGAGTTATTGGTCAACCGGACTTGCTCCTTCCCATCTTCGCGGCAAGCGTGGAATGAACGAAGCGACTTGATGTTGATGCTTGCACACTCGTTATCTAGTGGCCTCAATAGATTGAAATTCACTAATATACCGCACTAATCGCGATCAGCGCGTCGATGTCCAATTCTGTGTCGCTTGCGTAGAGCTCCAACAGCGTTGAATTCCTCTGCAGAAATGCGGCAAGCGCCAGCCCACCGAGCTTCCCGAGCGGGTTTTCGGAAATGTCTAGCCGGGCCAGAGACTGGACGTGGGTGTTCAAAAGCATGGACTCAACGCCGGCGGAGGAAATGGAGTTGCCGCGGAGCTGAGTTTTGTTTTTCATTTTCTTGCATCATTGGCGCGAAACTTGCTTTTTTCATACCTAAATCTTTGTCCTGGTGTCATCTGACGTTCTTGCATTCTACTTTAAAGAACGAATACTATGCAGCCTGCGATAGTTCATTCTTCAAGTTAATGTTAAAATTACCATCAAGCTTTTCAAGCTGGCGCCGTCCTTTATTATTCCGCTTGCTATTGTGGCGCAGCCAGCGTCCGTTAGGTTGTTGTACCTGGGACGGTCGTGTGAGTGTTTTAGCCGTGCCGACGGTGGCAACCTCACTTTTTATCAACGTCGGTAAATTCTCAATGGCGATCGAAGTTCACCTTCCCCTACTTACTACATTGGCAATGAGTAATGGACATTAAGATTAACCTATGTACAAACAACAGGCTACTTTGCATAATTCACAAAGTAACCAAACCCAATACGAGAGGTCTATTCTCGTGAGGAACTGCAGGCTCGATGCCAAAACTTTTGTCAGAACTGGCAAGTGGTCATCGGTCATTCTGGTGTGAAACGCCTGCGGCACACTCCCTCGCGCCTCCACCCACAGTTTGCCTTTCTCCTTCTCCGCACAACATGTTTTGAAGGAATTTATGACGCCGACCAATGGTTGCTGCTTCTCCGCTTCGCAGGCGGTAAGGTATCTGAGATAGGTGCAGTTTCGATTTTTCCCGGAAGAGCGAAATATTCAATTTACTTTTATTTTTCGACTTGATGCAACTTGTTGTGCAAAAAATTCAATAAGTCGTGGAATCCACACAGATAGGAAAATTCAGTACTCTTTCAGCACGGCCTCGTCCTCGAGTGCTGGAACGGAGGTTCCTTCGGCCATTATGATAGTGCAGAACTCCCTCTCCCCCTGACTTTGATGGCATCCACAGCAACACAGACTTTGCTGAAGATGCAGCTTTTGCATGACAAATTCACGACCGATTCTAGTGCTGTGTCAGCTTCCTGACCGTGTCATGCAAGCAATGCCACGAGGAACAGGGTGAGGCTGGATTTTCTTGACTTTGCATGACAAATGAGGGGGCTGGGGGATTGTGCAGTCTCATAGCCATCTTCTCGCTCCGCGGAGGATAGACCGCACCGGCAGAAGAGGAAGTGGCAACACGCTTACGCTTTCATGATCTTTATCACGGCTTCATATTCATTTGAGTATATGATCGTTTAACATTAATCTTAGTCCCGTAGCTACTAGCTGAAAATGCGAGACAACAAGAGCGGTGAACCAATGCATGCGCTTAGCCCGCCCAGAGAAATCAACGACATGCACCGGAACCGGAATACCCAACGGCCGGTGGGCGATTTCATGGCACGATGACGATAACAATCCGCGATATCGATATGATTTTGATTATGAGGAGCGTACGAAACAAAGCACTCCAATCGACAAACTCCTCACTCTCAAGGGAAGCTTCAGAATCAAAGACTCACAACAAGCACTCCATTTACTGCAATTTGACAGTCTTGCACTTGAGCAGGATCGTCCCCCCGGTGTAAGAAGCTTTCTCAGATTACTTAGTTACTGGTCCTAAGTGAAGTCATCTTCTTGAAAATTTGTCATGCAAAGCCAAACAAAGTCTCGAGATCCAGTTCCAACTTCTACCGAACAAAAACTACTATCCACTTGCCAAGCACACTACTACTACTACTACTACGACTGTTTTATCCTGCGACTAGTATTGTTGTCCTTTTTATTCGGCGCTACTATCGGATGTACAGCGTAACACTATCTTTTTGATTTCCCCGGGTGGGGTGTTGTTCTAGGGAGGTAGGGAATCGGCGACCCAGGTCTTTGTACTACTGTCCTGCCTGAAGGTGGTCCCGAAAACCATAGCCTCTTCCTTGCCTGCGTTCTCGCAGAAGAAGAAACTGCTGACCCTGAACTGCAACTCGCCGTCTTCTGTCTTTATGAAGAAATTGTATTTTGACCTAGGCCGCCTCGTCCACACCTTCCCGTTTATTCGTCGTAGTGTCTCCTTGTTCTTTTCTTCTTCTTCTTCTCTCTGCAGTTGTAGTCTTTGTCGCCTTTCTTCTTCCATTGCTGTTCGCTTTTTGCTCTTCGGTGCGCCTTGCCAAGCACAAGCTTATGTGCTTATTCACGCTCTTCTTGGCGTCTCGTATCGCTTTCATACTTATGTACAACAGAGGTAAGAAACAAAGACTCCTGTTTTTTCGAGGCAATTCTTTCTCGGTGTGAAGTTTTCGAGTGATTTGCAGTGATAATTTGTCATGCATTTTGTACGTAGTGCGACGAATGGAAAATGTGAGAGGTGAGGTCACGCTGCGATATTTGATAAATTCCCATAGAGGTCTTTGCTGTAAACGTAGTGGGTTCTGCTAGAAACAACGCAGAGTTTTATTTTCTACAAGAAGGAGAAACACAAGCGTACGCTACGACCCATGACAGAAGGGCATCGACTTTTCCATTTTTTCAAACGGATCTAGTCGGAACGCATCGGCGGGTCAGGGGAAATAATGCTTTTTACACAGCCTATTCGTTCAGGCAATTAGAGAACTGTAAATCCTGAAGTTTGTATCGAAGAGCGCGATTTTTGCTGTAGTTGTTACAATGAATCAAGATTGCGTACTGTATCAATTGTGGGGCTTGTAAGTAAGATTGATTTGGTCTAAAAAGTCAGAAACGTGTGCTATTTGCGATCCATTATCTTCCATCGTTCTTCTAGTTTTAATTTGTAATAAAAATGTAAGTGTTATTGTCGTTGTAAGAAGAAGAAGAAGAGCTGCGAAATTTGTGTTGCTAAAAACACTATCTAAGTTTTGTTTCGTAGAGAATTGAGCTTTCCCATGTGCGGCTGCAGCCGTCTTATCCCTTTGCGAAGTCCTTAGCAGCAGCACGCCACCTTGTTTCACGGCGAGGACCTTCATCAAAATTTGAGCATTGACCGGCCTTATACCTGCGTCAACGTGCAGTGTACATCTACATATTGTAACAATAAAGGACGAGGACGAGGAGCAGGAGGGTGAGCATTTTCTTGATTAGCTTACTACAGGTACAGAGGTAAAAGCTCAACATGTTACTTCCGCACTGGTTCTTGTTAGGTTTCGTGTCTCGTTGCTGCGATACTCCTGAAGTCGTGGTGAGACCGTCACTGTCTGAAAGTTTGAAACGGTCTCGCTGGCATTTGTTTTTAGAAAGATACTCTTTCGCTTAAGGCAATCGGCACTTCTTTCTCGTTTGAGGCTTTGGGTTGGTGTAAAATATTGAAAGTCAGTTGTTTTCATCTCGTTGGTTGTGAACTATATATTTATATTATACTTTTGGTTTTGTGTACTAAGTTTTTAGCACTTCATCTTGAGCGTAAGCTTGATGTCACGACACGGTGCTTGCGTCCGAAGTTACCGCCGGACGGTTGCGCCCAGTTCCTCTTCCGGGGAAGACACGTCGGTTTCCGGGTCCGCCGCAGACTCTCCCATTTCCGCTTGCCAGTCGGCGTCGTTGCCCACGCCGTCGTGCGTGATTTCTTGTTTTGCGTCTTGATCGGATGCTGCCGCCTGCCAACAATTTATTCTGGATTTCAGGAGAATGAAGGATCAATCTTCGCCTTCGCGTGCGCGGATCTATACGCAGACAAGTATATCATCAAGCTCAACCACGATGCAGCAGGAGTTACAGCTCGTAGAGTAGTATGTAAGTAGGTAGAAGTTTTCCGAGGGGGAAGAGAAGTAGCCCGATGCTCATTTGCAAGTATACGTCACATTGGAAATAACGAAGAAAACCTGAGCGAAGGACGACCACGGTCCATCGTATGGCTCCCCGGTGAGTGGCCATTTTCCCGTCCGCTTCGCAGCGGCCCTCAAGTGCGCGTCCTATATTTAAAGTCAGTTGTTTTCATTGGTTGTGAAGTATTTATTATACATTTGGTTTTGTATACTTCTAAGTTAGTACTTCTTGCGCGTACTTAAGCTTGATGTTACGGAACGGTGCTTGCGTCCGAACTTAACGATCAGCAGGCTCAGGCATTCCGCCCGACGCCCAAACAGTGGCCTCTCATTGCAATACCTCCGCCTTTTTCTTTTCCTCCAGCCGGTTTCGGATTTCCGCTGCATCGAGTTCTAGTTGTCGGATCTGCTTGTACGTCAAACCCATCTGCAGATGATGTTGATACGCATACGCAGCATTGGATTTGAACTTTGGTTCTTGTTCGTGCAAGCATGCCCGTTGCGAACATAACCCTCGCCAAAGGAAAAAATAAAAAAGTAGTCGCTGCCGACGTTACGCGACTCCTTCTCCTACTCAACCTACCAGATCACGCAAAATAAAACAAGTATCTTTATACAAGCGGGACCGGGCCCTCGTGTTTCGGGTCGAGCATCATCGACAGGGCGCGAATATACTCCGGCGTCATGGGGGGGGGGGGGCTCGGACACCGTACGACCCGCGCGAGTTTGTCTCGCGCGCGAGTCTGTCTCGGGAGGGGCCCTACCCTCTTCCAGCATGAATGGTTGAGAATCGTCGTCGGGCGAGCTCTCCTTCTCCCGTCGCCTGCAGCAAAATCGGGAAATAGGGTTCGTGGGAAAGTTCCACGACAGTTGCAGAAACGCGGCTTGTTCACCGCCAGGCTGCACTTCCGTCACCGCGGTCGTCGCGGTGGACCAGATTTGGTCCGCCGCGGTCCTCGGGTACTTTTCCCCAGCACCACCACCGAGTTGCAGGAAAGCAGCGTCGATTTCACTTGAGCAGGCGTTCGCGAAGGCGGTGATGTCGGCGCCCCCGCCACCGTTGTCGGTCACGGACGGAGGGAGAAACGGACACTCCTCCTGGCTGAGTTTGTTGTCCTTGTTCTCATCACGCGCGACGAACTCGTCGAAGAGACCGTTCTGCTGAGCCCGCAGCACCACTTGCAGTCGCAGCCCGAAGGTCTTCCCGTTCGCGGTGTTGTTCAGCATGCTGTTGATCAACTCGATCTTGGTATCGGAATACCCCGCACGGGAAAGCCCGTTCTCCTGCTCTGTCGGATCCTTCGGTTCCACCAACAGATCCAAAAGACCGGCGCTCTTCTCGTCGCGGTGCAACTGGTGTCCTTCCGTCGGGGACGCGGATTGGGAAGCAGTGGTCGTTGCTGTGGTCGAAGCATGATCAAACTTTCCGCGTAGGTTGCCACGTACCGGCGTCACGAGCGCGAGGTGCAAGTGGAGGCACAGGCCGAGATACCCCAACAACAGAGGCACGTGCTTCAGCACGACCTTGTGGCTAGACAAGGCGTCAGCCTGCATGTTCTTTGAGTTTTCTGTCAAAGCGAGCCACCAGCTCAGGCTGCTGAGAACAAACAGAAGGTGGAAGACCGAAACTTCGTCTCTCCGAAAAGAAACCGCCCTGCAGTTGAATTGTGGAAGGGTGGGAAGACCGGGCTTCTATCTTCGTTCAGAGAGTTACCTTTACGCTTACGCAGCATCAAGAATTACGACGATGACGTAGATCACTGTATGCTAAGAGATGCCGTCCCTTCATCTACGCGGCAAGGTCAAGGTCTTGATCTCTTTCTCTTTCTCTTTCTCTTTCACCTCACCCCGATAGTACATCAAAACGAGACATAACAACCACGAGAAGCGAAAACAATCCAAATTACCTAGAGCGCGATAAAAATGCACATAGATGAAGAGGAGTGTTGCTAATCGGAGCGATATGTTTTTCCCAAACGAAAATTCATCCCTTCCTTACTTTCATCCTGAGGAACAAGAATTCCATCTTCATGTCGCACGAATTGACAATTAACACCGAAGCTAGCGACTGGGTTTCTATATAAGTACTAAAAGTATCTTTTGTTGTTCGCTTGTGAAGCGTCGACTCAGACGTGCAGCAGGCCCCTACTGGTGACGAACACGAGTGCGCTGCGCCACTGAGATTAGTGTGGTCAACTCTCACTGTTATTACGGATGTCGTGCCTCGTCGACCTTGACCTTGAGATCGTTTTCGCAGCAAAATGAAAATATTGACCGAAATTCCGTTTTCAACAGAACCCTTTAGCTACATTTGGTTTTTTGGTTTTTGTCCGCTGGCGGTTTCACATCGTGTAAGTAAGTCTAAGTACAAGTAGGAGAAGCTTAGCAAAGTAATAAACACGAGCAGCAACTTCCTATGGGATCCCTAAAAAGCAATGCAAATTTCTGTCCGCGTCGCGAAATTGAACGAGCGGAAACGTAGCAGAAAACATATAGACGAAAGCGAAAAAAATGTAAATTCAGCAAAAGGGGAAAATCCAAGTGGAAGAGATTTTGCAAAATGAAAATAAAGAGTAACACGAAAGAAAAACAAGATAGAAAATCGAAATCGCATCGGTCTTCATCAGAGTAGTCAAAAATTAGCAAAGGTTGATTCTTGGAAACCTATCAAAGTAAGTGGCTCTTCTATTCCTATTGTTCATTGTGACATAGATTTCTAAAGTAGTATCTTCTACGTCTACCGGCATAAGCAGCTTCGGCTCATGCAGATTGATCATTATTTCCTCCATTTGATCTGGATGCAGGTTTATTGTTTGAGCTAAACAACTTTTTCAAGTGTAAGTCATCAAGTACAAATTTACATTACCGCTCATTTTCACGTACGAAAAACATATACAAGTAGAATTTGAATTTCTGCAAACGAGGAAAATTGGAGCTGCAAAAAATTTTCTCCAGCACAGCAGGTCCGCGTTTTTCGTTTTTAGAAGTCGCACTGAATCTACTACGTTTGACGAAGTTGTGAAGCTCATCGTGCGTCTGCGTGTCCTGTTTGTTTCACCCCTGACCGCTGCTTTCACTCCTCCGAGTGGTGTTCTCCCGCGTCCTCCGCGTGCTTTTTCTTTTGTTTGAATTCGTGGTCTTCGCCGCTCGTGTCGCCCTCGTCGTGCTCATGGCCACCACTGGGCGCTTCGTTACTGTCGTCCTCCGGGTGATCGTCATGGTCACTGTCCGCCGCGTATCGTAAGGAAAAATCCCCCCTCCCCATATCGATGAGGCACGCCTCAGAAAATTTGCCATGCTGATTTGTGACCACAAATTGCATCTATGACGCAAGAGAGCAACGCCACAGGCTCCGCTCCATTATGCAGGCGGTTTGTAATGCTGTTGGGTCTATGGCATAGACGTTCCTCATGCTAAGTGCCTAGGCCAGAACCTCTCGACTCCGGCACGATATGGGCCTGCAGTCCTCTACTGCAAGACAAATCTGATTTGTGTACGCAAATCCAGCACCAGAAATTTCGTTTCGATGTGGGGAGGGGGAATTTTTCCTTCTGATACCGCGCTATCGTGGTGGTTCTTCCGCCCGTGATCATCATCGGATTTGAATGCCCGATAAAACAAGCGAAAGCCACCTCTGTACTTGTGCAAAAATGAATACACAAACTACAAGTCTGTCTTGCTTAGTCTTTCTTAGCAACATAGTAGGCGCATTCTTCATGAAATTGCTTCTATTCATTTTTGCATTGCAAATACTCGTGCTAGCTTTTTTCTTTTTTTGGATAATTCCGACATGTCATCGGAGGCACCACCCATGTCGTCGTCAGGGTGACCCCGCTGGTGTTCCGCATCTGAGTCGCTGTCCGGGAGGGTATACAGATGCCAAAATTTGAGTCATGTCGTACAAGTTCGTGCAAATGAGGGAGGGAGACGAAACCGTTCTGGTGGCGACATCTTCATCGCAAAAAGAAAAATGGCAACGCATAATAAGGACCAGAAACAGGAGCCCGGCTCGTGATTTTTGCTCAACGCGTGTCACTTCTCAGTTGCATGGCTATGGCATACTTTAGAAATTTTCTACTTCTACACGCAGGTAAAATAGCCACATAAACACATAACGCTCGCAACCGGATCATGTTCTTGTGTGCGACCGTGTCAGAAATGACTCAAAATTTTTCTTTTTGCCTCGGGATAGTCGCGTGGCCGCTTTCGGTCCTGATTACCAGCATTGCTATCCTCATCCTCATCGGACGAATCAACATACTCTACATTGGGTTTCGTGTTCTTCACGGAACCGGGCGGGAGCTCCACACCCTTTTGCCCGTTCACCGGCACTATCCTGACCCGCATATTCTCGCCATGACTCAAAAGTTTGGTATTTGCATACTCCGCATCGGCCTGAATCAAGTTGAAAATAACCTAGTAGCTTGTTGTCGTGCAGCCGCTGGCAGAAGAGAGGTAAAGCTAAAGGCAGCTGGTGCTGTAATGCTATAATGGTTGTCGCGTCCAGGATATTTGATCTTGAGCAGGAGCTTCGTCAACATTTAGAATGACATCATGCACATTAAGAGACGCGCGTCAATAAAAATTTCAGTGCCGATTCGCACCTGAGATGAACATGAACTCGCGTGCTGTGCTCATGACGAAAAGACCGCTTCCTGTTCTTCACCGAAAGAAATTTTTGCATACGAAACGATTTTGCAAATAAATGCAGAGACCTTCCTCCTTTTTTTCGACAAAAAGAGCTGCTACTGGTTTTCGATGCGATACGGTCGTCGGGACCATCGCCTGGCTCGCCGCTGTCGAGGTCGCGCAAGCCTTCATAGTCCGGGTCGTCCAGGTAGTCGTGTTTTTTGTGGTAGTGGACCCCGTCCACCATGAACTCGTCACTCGAGCCCTTGTCCTTCTTGCGCTGTTCCTTGTGGGTGCGGTCGTCGGTGCCGTGCGACGCGTCGCCGTGCACACTGACATCCGGGATGCTCCGGTCGTCGCTGCTCTCGAGCGAGGCTATGGCGTTCTCAATCATTACACTCTCAACTGTTGCATGAATTTGTGATGCAAAATGGCGATCAGGATCTACATGATCAAGCTCCTTCGCATGAAAAGTTCTCGACTCGCTAGATAGCATTAGAAGCTGCGCCAAACCTGTAATGCAAGAAGCGCAATCTCCCCCCCCTTTCAATGTTGCCACTTTTGCATTACAAACTCATGTAACAGTTGAGAATGTAACATTTGAGAGCTCCATAGAGGAGTGCCCTTCGTTGGAATCCATGTCGTCCAGATCGTCGCCGGATTCCTCTTATGCACTTTGCAAAAGCATCGCACCCGTGCTTCTAATTGTAACCAAGCATCACAGATCTTCTTTCTTACCTGATGCTGCGTGACAAGTTCCCGGTTTCTTGTTGTATATGGATTTTTTTGTCATGCGATAATTTATACTAGCACGATACTTTTGCACTGCATACCTCAGAGATGTCCCTGCCGTCGGCGCGGAACATGGGCCGGGCAGGCTTTTCCTCGTGCACCGCGTCGGAGCTATCGGAAGCCCCCTCGTGGGAGTCTTCCACCTTCTCGCCCTGCATGTGAGCCTATCATGTGCAAAAAAGTTCCCGCCCAAGACTCGAAATGGGGAATCCGCTAGACAAATCCAGAAGTTTTGGGTGTCAGGCATGACAGCTTCTTTGGATCCACAGTTTTGTCATGGTGTCTAGCTAGTGCAGCCGCATCACAAATTGCCCGCCTGATCCTGATTATAGCATGACAAAATCGAAAACACACCTACAAGTTGCTCCTCATTGGGCCGCGCATGAGAAACATTTTAAGCATGCAGATTTGCATAAACAACTCTAGGGTGGGAGCGTTTGTGACCAGAATAGCGCCCTCCTCTTTTTCATAATCTCCTCCGGATCGATCAGGCTGGGGTCTTTTTCATCCTTCTTCTTCTGCGTTACCTTCGTGCCCTCGGAAGACGCGGTTTTTGAAGTTGCGGATTTGTCATTTTCGCTTTTCTTATTTTCGCTGGCGTTCATCTTCTCGGATTGCTTTTTAGCAGCCGGGTCTTTGGAAGCGGCAGCTTGCTGCTCCTCCTTCATCTTCTCTGCAGAAGTTTTGTCTGCGTCGTTCTTCTTGCTTTCCGTTTGTATCTTGTCCTCCTTCTTTTTCGACATATCGTTATCGTCCTTCTTTTCTGCAACCTCCGAGACCACCACGCCCACGTCTTTCTCGGGACCCGCTTCGAGGAGCTCGCCGGCCGGACCCTTGTCGTCGTCACTTTTGCGTGAAGTAGAAGCACTCGCAGCCGGCTCCGCGCTGTCCTCGTCGTCTTGGTCCTCGTCCGCAGTGTGATCGTAGTCCTCCGAATCCGATCCCTCGGGATGTGCGTGGTCGTCGGCCCCTGCCGGCCACTGGAAGTCGTCGGGGTAGATTGCCTGCACCGGGGTGTCCATCGTGACGTTCGGCATGCACCGGTCCATGTAATTGTAAATAAACGTCGTCGCCGTCCACTTCGTCCCGCGGATAATCTCCTTCCCTATGGATTGCAAATATGTCTGGGTCTAGAACAGTGAAACTTGTCATGCTAATTCTGGATTGTGAAAAAATCTGTGTTGCATGATTACCAGAGGTTGTCCTTTTTTGGCCAATTTTTTTCGAAGAAGTTTCTGATGCACAATAGGCACGAGAAAGATCTCGCGGAATCTGTCATGCTATGTCCTGCACACCAGACCTCATGAGTCATGGAAAACCTGCATGACAAGTCTCTGCTTTTTCCAGACCCAGACCTATTTGCGCTTGATATTCCCCTCGTGCTCGCTAATCGGATTGATCTTCGCGTTTTTGTCGCAGCTCCACCACACCGCCAAACGGCCCCGCTTGGGAATCACCTGGAGAACGAAGGTGGTACAACTGATAGCTTTGTTTTTGACTTCCAGGAGCCAGCTAGTGCCATTCACTTGTACCTCTGTAGTACACGACCTTAACGCAGCATAATTCCTCAGCACAGCTGCCACATGCGAACATTTTGTCAATAGCTACGACGATGGCAACACTCTTCTATCTATTGTGAATTTAAAGTTAATACCTCTTTCCCAAGTTTCGGAAAATCGGTTGCGCCGCCCTCTTCAACGTCGGTCATGAACAAGTGCAGTATGGAAGTGCCAGAATCGAAATTGACAAAATCGAAATGATTTGTCATGCATAAAATGGATTCGAGTTCGAACCCAGTTTCTAAGTGGCGCATGACAAATTCTGGTAGTGCTGCCCAAATCCAGTGCGTAATGCTGTTTAGGCAAAGAAGGCTGATTCTCTCATGCTGCTTTAGCAGCTCGAAATCTAACCCCAAACAGACTCACAATCGGCCTCACTTGCCTGCTCTGCAACACACGTATTTCGGGTCATGCATTTTATGCATCACAAATTTGTCGATTTTGTCAAATTCGATCCTGACAGTTCCATATGCAGGGTGGCGATCAGGTTGTTGGGTTTCCCCGGGACCACGTACTTGTTCCACCAGTCCGTGTGAATCGGGTGCCCGTTACCCGGAGAATACTGCCGAACACGGGTGGTGCCTGTAGTAGGATTTGTGGTTTATCGTCCTTACGTCATAATTTTTTTGCTCTTTGAATCTGATCTTGATCCCTTGCAACTACAGCACCGATGTGCGATGCTAGGTCAGAACAAGCACCGTATCAAAAAGCGATGCAAATTCATCACATCGTGTCAAGTTGAACTAGTACCCGGCATGTGATTGTCCAAGTCCAGCAGTGCGTGTTTTCGCAGCTCCACTTTGCGCAGCAGCGGGTGCGCGGTGACTTCCAGCTCCGTGACGCGGCCCGTGACCGACCCCCCGTGCGAGACGTCGAGCGCCGGCGTGGCTGCCTGCATGATGGCGTCCATCTCCGCATCGGAGGCAAAGTTGTCGATGTAGAACACCCGGGCGTCCTCGTCCAGCACCACTTTCCCCTTTTCGGCGGCGGCATTCGCCTCTTGCTTCGCTTGCTCCACTTCGTCCCGCCCCACGTACAGCGGGCCGTTCTGGTACTTCTGCCCCAGGGGCCAGCCCTGGGCGCGGACCCCGTCGATTTCGAGTAATTCGTCCGATTTCCTCTTCATGTTCGCCTCGTTCTTCTCCCGCTTCTGCATCTCGCGCCGGTTGCAGTGTAGAGAGGAAAACGATTTTTTTGCTATCATCTTTTCGTTTTGGTGTCAGTATCTATTTTGCCGCGATCATACTAGTTCAAGGACGGCTCTGGTGGTTGCGGTATGATTTTTGTGGAACAAACGCAAGCGCTTTGATTACTCTTCACACATCTGCACCATCAATTAGAGGCAAACTGCTGAATTCCTATTCTAATCCAAGATGCAAAAAGAACTACACCGTTGCTTCTTGATAACAATATCCTGGTCACGGTTTGTATCTTGTGGCCGTTCATTTCGTCCGTGTAGGCCTGCACGCGCTTTTCGTAGGTGCGCAGGGACTGCGCCGCGATTCCGTAGACTCCCTCGTTGTAGGTGTAGAATTTGCCGTTGCGCTCGGGGTGCGCAAAGAAATCGAACCGCACCATCGGAATGTTCCCCATTTCCGCCGGATGGAAAGCCATGTACAGCTCCGCAACTTTCGTAATTATCTCCTCAAACTTGGCCCGCGGGTTCTCATCCAAGCCGCCCCAGTTGTTCGCCAGCACGGTCCACAGCTCCGGGTTGTTGATGCCAAACGTTCCGTTTTTGTGCAAGCAGTTGTCGAACTCGTTGCCCTCGATGCTAATCCAAAAACCCAAAATCTGCAGTTGATGTTGATCGATCATGAGAAATGCAGGGAACAAGCATGAAGCATGTTGACGAAATTTTGAAAATGATTTTTGGATGCAACAATCGCGATCAATCTCTCGAAATCGAGACATGAAGCAAAACGGCGAAAAAATGAAATTTCTGTTGGGCATATTAAACTACTTTAAGAAGTATACCTCTCTGCACATCACGTTAACGCGGATCTCTAGCGGCGACGTTTCCACCGACAGAACCTGTCTCGGGGTCCAGGTGACGGGCGGCATGCTGCCGACGGGAACTTTCTCTTCGACAAACCACCGCGCCTTTCGTGTCACTTGATTCCATACGGTCTTTTGCATGTACCTTCAACATTTGTACGCAATCAGAATCACATTCATCTGTGAAGACCCACTTCGATACTACACATGAAGATGACTAAAAATCAGAAAACTCACACAAAGATGTTCTGCTTTTTTCTGATTGAATCCATTGTCTTTATTGTACTCGTGGTAGTGCGGGATGTGTTCCGAGAGGAGGTAGGATAGCACTTGGTTCCGGGATGTGAAGAATTCGTCCTTGTTTAGGTAGAAGGCGAACGTGCGGTAGCCAAAATCCAATTTCTCCAGTTCCTCCTCGCTCGGTTTCTTTGCGTTGATCCGGGCCTCGTGGTCGAAGTACTTGCGGATCTCAAATTTGTTCCACAAAATCTGGATCCACACCACGCCGATGGAATTCGTCCCGTCCGACGGCTTCAGGATTATCCCGTCCGGGTGCTGTTCCATGAATTTCGTCTTCGTTACCTCGTCCAGCATCGCCAGAAAGTGATCCGTGGTGTTCGCTTTCGACCGGTCCTTCTGCAGGTAGATGGGCTGCCCGTTCAGAATGTTGGTGGCCAAATCCTGAAACAAACCGCGTTCAAACCCGTCCTCTATCGGGCCTTTCAGAAACTCCTGCTGGTTTACGCCAAACTTGCGTAAAACCTGATCGACAAAAGTTAGTCAAGTCGTGTCGCATATTTTCATGATACTGTGTGCGAGTGCGAAACAATCATAGAATTATGTACTTGAAACGGCGACGGGGCAAATACGTAGTCACGTCAGCAATACACACGAAGATTGCGACTCAACAGCAGAAAGGTCGTGTGTGCGACCATGTTAAAGATCCAACCACAGGACAGCTTCCGCTGTATATTATCAACTGCATCTGTATACCGGTTTCTGGCTGGCTTTCCGCGTGAGCGCTTCCAAGATGTGGTATTTTTCCCGGTGCAGTTCGTCATCGAGTGCCATGGTGTCGGCGTAATCCTCGTACGACTGCACGCACATGTCAAAGTTGTCCTGCTCCTTCCACGTTTCGTTGATAAACCACCCCTCCAACCCGCGTCGCAGCCACGCGTCAATCTCGGCGACGCGGCTGTTGTGTTCCGCCCGAAACTGGTCTTTTTCGGCTTGGCACGTGTGTTTCCCGCACATCTGCCGCTCCTTTCGCCGGTCTTGCACCTTCTGTTTAGTGCTATCCGGGTACATCTCCCGGCTCATCACCATCGCGTTTGCGGTGGACAATATGTTACCACCTGGAAGATGCTGGTGCCCACCGGAGAAGAGCGCGGACGCCGCGAGCGCGGAGAGCGGCGTCGCTAGTCGGCAGCTGGTGCGCATTGTTTTAGATTTTCTCGTCGGAAACGAGGATGGTGACCTCCTGGTGAAAAAGAGTTTTCCGTCTGATGACCCCGCGTCGCTCGCGGAAGCTGTGGGTTTGATCGGGCGCTTGTTACGGACAACAGCCGACGTGCTGCAGCTTGACGGATGTGTCGCCCTGTCCAGCAGCATGACAAAGCAATGCGCCGTGTGTCACACGAGTCGCAATATGCCAGTCGCACCAGCAGCGCCGGGCGGGTGAATAGAACTGCAGCAAAGAGAAAACCGAAAGATCTTCGCCCGGAAACAAAAAAATGGCGACAGACGTGCAGGAGAGACGATGGACAATCTTGGGCTCGTCAGCGCACTTTCTCTAGTACGCTATGGTGTGCTGATGGTTCTTGAAGCTTCTCGGTATCTACTGACTGTGTGTAGATTGTCCTATACAAACAGACTACACTCGTGGATTTCTGTCACTTAATGGTTTCTCTCACGCGGCTACTTTCTCTCACTGATTCTCCTCTTCTAAGTTGTATTACGGATGTTGTACAATAACAATAAATTGAAGATCATCATGGCACGGGAGTGTCGATCTGGATGGCAGTCCGCTGACGTAATTATACAGGTGCTACAGGCCTTCCGCCTCCGCGGAGCAAAATGGGACCCATCAATTCTTTCCCTATCTTTACTGGCTCCACACCTTCTTCTGAACACAGAACAACACTCACAGCTTGCTCACACTAAAGTAGCAGCAACCACTCCAGCCTTCCCAGGAGCTTCTTCCTTTTTTGGTTTTGAACGCGAAGGCACTACTTCTAAAAGAGACGATCCACTAAACCGCACATCTCCGTGAGTTTTATGATGTCAATCTTGCAGGAGGTTTGTTGTAGTCAAACCACACCTGCCACGACCCGGTGCTAGGATTTTGACATGGCAGATTCAACTGACTCTCCACGACCAGCTTAGTCGTTTTTCTTGCGGAAGGAGCAGCCCTCGGACAGGCGAGCCAAACCCCCGGTCGGCTTGCACAAGACCACGTTGCAGTTGTTGCACAACACAACGGTCTGAGCGTGGCTGTAGACGGTGGTGATCTGGAGGCAACCTGTTGTTTAAGTTTTTGTCAAACGGTTAGATTTGTGCAATTAAAAAACTTCTCCTCTCTCGCGAGCCTCCTCCTTACTACTACCTTTATTGCCACAAAGAGCAAAGCATTTGCACAGCCACACACAAACCCACATTTCAGAAAGAGAGGCTGAGGATGCAAACGAAATTTAGAAACGTGCATGAGCATCCAAATCCTAATATCGAAAGCAAAAGCATGCAGGAGGACGGTGGAAAATAATAAACTGAAATCACAACCAGAAGAGGTGCATGGAAAGGAAAATGTCAGCAATTAATTCTGTCCGTATATTATACCTGGGCATTTCACGTCCATGAAGAAGGAGTTCGGGGTCTGCACCAATTTCTTCAGCTTGTGGAGCTTCTTCTCCTCAGCCGGGAGCGGGTTCAGAAGATCGATATCCATCTTGTTGGAGGGTTTGGAGTAGTGCCTTACTACAAAAAATGTGCGTTCGCGCGGTTCCCTGGAAAAGAGTTGAGGAGTGTGAGAAAGATACTGATTTAGATGAGAAATGGTACATCGGATGTGGAAACTCATTTAACGTAAGATCTCGTACAGAAAATTTAGGTTTTATATGCGTTGTTCTCCTCTTGATCGTCGTATTTCCTTCGTTTATTTCAGGATCCTCTTCACGACCTCGATCGGTGATCAGATCAAACACACGCAGATCTTTCATACTTTTCATGAGATGAATTGCCACATTTCGTACGACGTTCAAGGTACTTCTAGAGCGGCAGATCACTTTGCGCTTTGATCTTTAAATTTCAAATGCTCGTCTGGATCAAAAAATTGGCGACCACAGCTTGATGGCATGAGAGCATATACATTCCGATTTCGTTTCAATGCTGCGGTTTCGAAAATCAAGATTGGCTATCTTCATCTTGGCTTTTGAGAAGGAAGTTTTCCAAGTTTTGATCTGTTGTTCGCCGTGATTTAGATTTTTTCCACTGGCACTATGCAAGTACTTTACTTTGATCCTTCTTATTGAGCATGAGCAACGACCACCGGCAGGCCACATCTTCTAAAAAAGCAAGGTCCAGTCTTTGAAACGACAATGAGTTCTATCTAAACCTCGAAAGAGAGGAGGAGGAGGACCTTATTCCGGATCATATTTCATTATTTCACAGCCCCAAACATTGCTAGAGCCTTCTCAACATCTGCGTCTGTCAAGCCTGTTGCTTTCTCGATCTTTAAAAACCGCGCTTCCAAAGCTTCGTCCGCAAACTTCAAATCCGCATCGTCCACGATGACGACAAAATCCCTTCCCAAATCAACCCGATTCGCCGCGAGCCACGCCTCGATCTCTCCCGGCCGGCTGAGCACGTTCCCGCCACTGTGAATCGGAGTAACGTCAGCGATCTTTAAACTGAACTGTTCCAACGCTTTCCTCACGCAGTTCAGCGAGCCCGGTTTTTCGCGCCACGTCGACGTGAGGACGATCTCGACTCTTTGGTGCTGCACAGAAGTTGTAGGTGCTCCCGTACTAGACGTACGCGTTCTTTTTCCACAGCGCGCCGCATCAATATCATCTAAACGCACGATCTTCGCCAATCTTTCCAGATGTGTCGCGAGCAACTCCTTTCCTTCCAAAACTGGCCAGGACTCCTGGAGGTTTTCGTCCCGATGGATCAGTTCTGCCGCCGTGGCGCCGACTGGCAAGTGGTTCTCTCCCAGTGGGTGTAGCACGCCGTCCACATCCAGAAAGAGGATACTGCGGGGCGAAGACATGGAAGCATCTTTAATATCCGCGCTCATCAGAGAGTGTAGTTTAGACAGGACGACTCTCGTCCGCTATTAAAAGGTAATGTACGCTGCAAGGCAAGGTACTTAGAAGACACCGAAATCGCCGTCCCGACCCCATATTCGGGAGTAAGTAAATCTAAGAGACGGCCCAAAGAGAGAACAAATGCTGTATCTTCAGATTTTGATATTCCAAGCACTGCTGCAGAGCGCACTACAGTTGTCTGTCCGGGCATTCGACCTGCACCTGGAACTCAGTTTCAAAAAACCAATGTCAGTAGTACACAGTTCCACTTGTGTGTCCTAGTCTTACTTACAGTGGAAATTAACTGCCGTTGGTTCGATGCTGCTTTTCTGTGCCAATTCTACGCTCGATTTTCTGCCAGCAGAGGCTCTCTCGCAACGTCTTCTGCCGCTTCGTCCTCCCCAGCGTCTGTTTTCCTCCCCGCCCGGATTTTCGCAGATTCCTCCGTTCGTTCCGGGTTCGGCAGCGGCAGTAACTTCAGGTAGTAAACCGCAATGTGCTGCAAGACGTACAGCACGAAACACGCGACAAAAGCCGCGGTAATTTCGCGAACCACCGACTTCGCTGTTTCGGACGGTGGCCAATTCTGGGAACGAAGTTCCTGAGGTGTTATTTGAACGACTATTGTTTCATTTATGTAGAAGTCGCGACAAACTTCAAGCACGTTGAGGGTGTTCCCAAAACAGCGAGGGGAAAATCACACTAGGCCTCGATTGGCCAGAGCAGGTACTTGTACTTCTCCCTATCATACTAAACTCGAAATAAGTTTTGCGCGGGATTTGGTGAGTAGAAAGATTCATTGATCATATGAATGTAAGTACTTACCTCCAGCAACACCACGAAGCAAAAGAACGTCAAGGTCACAATCACGGCAATGGTCACGCTGTATTTCGCCCTCGTTCCTCCGGCGGGAACAGTCCGGCCGAGGTACAAAAACCCGAATAGCGAGAAGGCAACGAACACCCCGATCGCATAGTACAAGGGCATTTGAAGGGCCGCGAAATCGAGCGCCATTTCTTTTCTTGCGATTCGCTTAAGTTTTTCTTGCGATTCGCTTAAGTTTTTGTTTTGGTCACTCGCAAGGACAGAAATAAAACGAATATGTATATGACTGAGTCAAAACCTTCCAGGTTGGGCAAAAATCTGCGCAAAGCTGACACTTCACGAAACGGAAGTAGCTCATTGATGCAGAGACATGAAAGCACCACGACCAGCATTTCTTGTTGCCCACGACAAGCATTTTTTCAATCACGCCCAAAACTGGAAGTGATCCTGACCTTCTTGAATGACCAGTTGCTGCAACGATACAACGAAATACCAGTGCGGCACGATTTCAGCAACGATTTAGATGACGACTTTGTGCCAAGGTGGAACCCTTATCTTCAGAACGGTACAGTAGAATGAGGATCGAACCTTGCATACATGAACTTACGACAGCCCCGACATCACCGAAAAACTGTGAACGAAGTAGTAAGTACTAGTCCTGGCTTAAAAATATCGCAGCTTTTGCCGAACAATCAGTGCGACCAGGTGCCGTGTACGCACCCGTGCGGCATTGCGCAATCAATGAATTCCTTTCAGCTGCAATTTTGGGCTCTAGTAAAAGAACGAAACGGAAACAATTTAGCGAATCACAAACACAAAAGCATTTGCAAAATCAGTCTGGTATGTTCTTCTCACAGTAACCCAAATGCTGTAAGTACAAACAGAATCAGTGTGACTCTGAACCAAAATCTTATATATGTGCAGGAGCAGGCGTGCGGTTGAGAATCAGTGTGCGTCTCTTTTACGCAGTGCCAGTTCTTTCAGAAGGATACTATGTGATGATTCCTCTTAGCATTAGGTATTGGTTTCATCTGTGCGACCGCTGCATGACGAGGCTCTTTCCGAGCTGCTCGCGTCCACATCGACATCGCTACTGCACACAGAAACTACATGACGCCAACATCTTTCCGCCGACGTTGCCACGCACAACGAAGTTCTCTTTACTCTTATTTCCCTCCGCAGATCGCCTGGCAGATGCCGGCCATGCAGCTCCCCCCGGATGCGACTGTGCCTCTATCGCTCTGGACTGGCGCTATGGGCATTTTTCCCTTCAGAAACACGTTCTTCGGCAAACTGTCCTCGTCAGCACACCATCGTGTTGCGGACTCACAGAGCTCTCAACTGAGAAAAAGAAAGGTAAAAGAAAAAAGAAAGCCAAACACAGATAGTTTGACTTTTACCTTGCTGTAGAGAGACAGAGAGACTGCACTACTAGAAAGTTACGGTTTTTTTTTTGTGTTTTTTATGAATGTCGCGCCCGGAGGGCGATATTGGTAACCAAATGCGTGCGCGAAAATCTAACCAGCGCGAAAGCCTAACCAGCCGCGCGGCGAAAGCGCGG